AGGAAAGATATTAACCATAGAGAAAACTTTAAAAAGCAGCATATTTCAGATTCTTTTTCGCTTAGTTATCGTGGGAATTGTGTTCAGTTTCAATCAAACTTTAAAGAGTTTTTTATGGACTGAGAACAGATAGACTCCCATCTTGATGTTGGTGTTTGAAAATAGAATTATAGAGTATGGTCTCGACCAGCTATTTTCTAAAGCCTCTTGTGTTAATATTTGTTGTGAAGTGGTGATACACAAATAAAGACTGACTGATGAATTGCCTTAAACAGCCACAACAGTGAGAGATGCAGGCAGACCAGAACAGTGATCCATTTATCGATGGTACTTGATCGCCATTGCTTCTGTACCTGAAAAGATTCATGTATTAAAGCTCCTGTGTGAAATTTTGATTTGTTATGAAACAGAGTGAAATGAACAGTGTTGCATGTCAATGATATTAGTAAACTAATCAGACCACTGACAATAAGATTGATCATTTCTACATTGTAAATTTTAAATTTTGCAACCACAGAGAGGGGGTATGTCAATGAAGATACAGCCTTTGAAACTTTTTTGCATGAAGTATTTACAGTGACTATTGAATTTCACTGAAAAAAAGAGAACCAAAGGAAGTGTTTGTCTATCAACACCAATTTCACAGAACAAGATGAAATCAGCAACAGTACAAGGGTTTAAACTTTCAGCTTGAGAATGACCCCCCCTCTCTGCCTTTCCACAACCATTGACCTCCTACACTAAAGACACAGGTCAAGCAAGGTAGCCAAACAATGTTCAGAGCCTTCAGCATCTCAGGGCAGGGCTTATTGTTACTTTGCATCTTATCACTGTGGAGCTTTTGAACTACCTCAGAGACCTCTGCCAAGGCTATAGACAAGTATCTTACTGGATCTTTACCTAATTCTCAAAGATCATGTCAGTAAGGTTGTAGCCACTTCTGACATCTGGCACGGACCTGCTGTTGTTGTTGGCAGTTGTATGGGGTCAACTGGAAACAGTGCTGCTGAAAAGACCCATGTCGCCCCTTAGTTTTGGGAAGGAGGACACGTTCACGTCAATAATTCAATTTTCTAAGCTGCATGTATACATGGACAAGGAAAGAAGTCCAATTTGGCGGAAAAAAAAATAAAATTATGAGCTTAGTCCGTTTAAGCTGTGCATGTAAACACACTGACTTATACCAAAGCATCAAGTCTTGGTGCAGTGACAGTGATGCTCTTCAAGTACCCTATTTAGGCCAGGGGTATGTCAACTTCTGTTTGAAAGAGTAGAACCTAATTGAAAGAGCACAAGTCCGAGACTTGAAGACAGGTCAAGGGTCACTTTTTAGTGAGACATCGCAATACTTCCCACAATACATCACATCATGTTGTCACATCATGTTGTCACATTAACCCATACATATTGACACACTGATGGCAGAGGCGGATTTGTACAGAGCTCATCGGTTTTTGGCTAATCCCATTCAAGGGGGGTACTGTCAGCATGTGGACAGCAGGGCCTGGGATCAAACCCACAAACTTTTGATTGAGAGATAAACAACTCTACCACTGAGCTGCAGCTAGCTAGTTCCACTGGAAATTGGTTATATTCATCCCTCAACAATCAGCATCCCACACAAGACGCTGCTCTGTGCTTTCACCTTAAAAGGCCTATGACAGCTGACAGTCATTATGTAAAAGTGGCAAAAAGGAGCAGAATCATCTTACGGCAGAAGAGGTTTCACATCAAAAAGGTGTTTTCTCCAGTGGTGGAAACATGACTTTAAGCCTGGCTGTCTCCAATATCACAGTAACTTCATTTCCAGGCACTCTGTTTCTTTTAAAGCTAAAGAAAATCTGCCATTTCTCTTTGTTGCTGAAGTTTATAAATGGAGCTGGATTACTTAAAGAGTACAGACGGTACACAGTGGCATCACTTTCCCACCAGGAAGCATCTTAGTCATACTCAGTTACTTAACATCTTGATGGCAGGGAAATGACTTAATGAACAGGTTTTCAGATCTGTAACTCATGTTGCCTGATTGCACAGGTGTGTGTCAATAAGTCAGCCAAAATGAGGGATTTGAGGCTGCCGGGTGACTCTATTCTGCCTTCACTAATGCTACTGCCCCATAATGATAATAATCAGTAAGACGTATGCACTGGTCATGGTGCTTTCCTTCATCACTTCTCTGTTAAATCTGAAATATTTTCAAAACTACTGTTAGGATTTGGTGCCCCTGGTGGGAAAAATGAGTAATTTCTTTCTTTGCAGGTATTGTCTAGGATACAAGTAAGCATGTTTCCTGACAAAAATAAAATAAATAATAATAATAATAATAATAATAATAATAATAATAATAATAATAATAATAATAATAATAATAATAATAAAAACACTTTCTTCTAACAGTCATAATATAAACCCAACCCTGAAAAAAATAAAGCAAAAAAAGTTCAGTCTGTTTTTAAAACCAGTTAAATAGTCTTCACAGAGACTCGGGCTGATCAAAAGGTAAAACTGCTTGAACCTTTTTGTTGCTGTGATTTTTGTTTTGATAAAAATGAGATCAAACACATCTGTGATTAATGCTTTTTTATGAACAATAATTTACATTTTACAAAATGAAATAACAATTATTTAGTCATTATTACTTTAACATCAGATGTTTGCAATACTGTACACTGTATTTAAAGACACAAAGGTTTAACAATCATGCTGATCCATAGTTGTACATAGTGTTGATACAGTACAGTCTATACAGTTACGACATATTGCAATTATTTGGCATTCAATTGTTATTTGTTTGGATTTGTTCTTGGTGTTTGCATGCGCGTGTATGTCTGGTTTCCCATAAAATGGACACATTCAAAGTGACATCTGGCATCAAATGTCTGGTTTAGAGTATGGTTTAGGGTATGGTTTGGAGCATGGCTGTTAGTTCTGAGGGAAGTTTGTTTCCTGTGACAGAGAACGGACACTGCAGTCATTTTGGGTTCACAGAAGGTTGAGCAGCTTTTATCATCTCATAAGAGAAATCTACAATACAGTTCATTCAGGCTGGAGGTGTCTTGCCGCAGGATTTGCTTTTATTATTTTGGCAATAATAAAGTACTGAGTTTGAATGTAAAAATATCTCTATTGTGGTGCAGGGCTGTGCACACAGAGAGTGCTCTTTGATTCTGTTTAACCAATAGAAGGTGAGCAGGCTGTTTGTTTGATTTGCGTGTTTTGTGTGTCGAATGTGACAAGTCCAAGGGGAATACTGTGGCAATCATCTGAAGAGGCCAGGTTTAGGGGTGAGATTGAGCTGACTGGAAGATCTGCAGTCTTTTTACTTGACTATGACGACAAATACACAGCTGTGAGTGTATATGTGTGAGAGGAAGATCAATGAAGGTTGACAAAGAGTGTGAAGCACGAGAAGACAAGACAGACCCAAAAAGCAGTAAATATACCATTATTCAAACCTTATCTGAACTTATGTTTGGTGACACTTAGATAAGCTTAGCAGGTGTTACCTGACTGTTGCAGTACCACATACCTCTTCACTGGAATCTATCATGTTTGACTCTGTAAGTTTCACGCCCTTGTATGGGCATCAGAGGGGCGTTTCCCTACTAATTACTGACAACCCACACCTTCTTCAACTTTACAAGGCGTTCATAATCATTTTAAGAGCACTGGAGCAATCAGTACCGCAAGTTAAAAGCAGGTTTATGAATCTGCTGTATTTACTGGCTCTTCATTATATTGCTTAGGGCAGTGGTTCTCAAGTCCAGTCCTTGAGGCCCACTGTCCTGCATGTTTTGGATGTGTCCCTGCTTCAACACACCTGATTCAAATGATCAGCTCGTTATCAAGCTCTGTAATGGCTTAATAACGAGCTGATCATTTGAATCAGGTGTGTTGGAGCAGGGAAATATCCAAAACATGCAGGACAGTGGGGGCACGAGGACTGGATTGAGAACCACTGGTATAGGGTAACAATTTCATAGGCATGATTTTACAGACATGTATGCTGTGTTTTGCAGCGAAAACAAAAGGCTAGAAAAAGAATATGGGTGAAATCCTGACAAAGAGAACAGTTAAGAGACAGCTGTCATGCCTTGAATTGATAGTGAGTACGCAGCATGCAGTTAGTTACACTTTCCAGTCCGCTCCTGACATTGGTTATTGCAGGTACTCTGTGAGAGGCAATCAGTTTATTTACAGTCCTGGTTCAGAGAGCCTTCAAATTGGGGGCAGTAAAATAGTTGGTATGACCCCAACATAAGGATCATTAATACAAATAACCAGTTATGGCAGGCCTCACACCTTTAAAACTTTCTGAAAATATGTACAAACCTTTTCTTGGCATATACTAACGAATAAGGCCCAATGTTTTCAACCAAGTCAGTGTAGTAGCTACTCTGAAAACTTTGTGTGAAGTCAAGTTGAGTGCTGCTTCTGTTCTCCATCATTGAGTCTTCTTATAGTTACAAGATACATTTAGATTGAGTACCACTTTAAGCTGACTTTGAATATTCATAGACACAGACTACAAATGGTCATTGGTGATTTTTATACAACACTTTGTGTATTTGTAATATGACACTGGTCTGTGTTGTGGATGTGTGCTAAAACCGAGTGTTTAAAGGTATCTCACGATGAAATGAACAAAAATTTAGTTTCAAACTTGCCCATGCAGATGAGGGATATCCAAGGAACCTTTGTGAGAACTTTCCAGGTTCCTGCCATCCCCCGGACAGCTTGTAACCAAACACAGAGCTGTCCTCCATGCATCACACACGTTTATGAGACATGCAGCATTGCTTGTACAAGGTTATTGACTCAAGCGCTTTGACACATGTCCCAGATCACTACGGCTGGGACTGGGAATTTCTAAAAACCACCCACCACTAAGTGTAAATCAAAGTGACGTAGTTCGAAAACAAGGTCACATGTATCCTGATTATTTTCTCTTAGTGCACATGGCATCGAATGTTCACATTCACCACTGTTACTTCTTCACTTTACTGCTTCACTTCGCTGTTTTCCCCCGTCTGATCGATCCAAGTGTTGGGGAAGCTGGAGGCTTTGGGCGTGCGTCTCCCAGGTCTCAAACCACTCCTGGTTCCAGTTTGTGAGCCTCCTCCACCTTCTTGAGCCTGCTGGATCCTAAAGGCCTCCCTGAGGTTCTGAGCTCGAACCTCTTTGCTCTGGATCTCCTCCACCAATCGACTGGGGAACCAGCCCCTCTCGCCGTCATGGAGCCTTTCCCCCATCATCCAACCTGGAGGAAACACAAAGAGTGACACCAAGATGTTCAGAGAAGGAGGATCTTTTAAATAACAAGAGTACAATAAAAAAAAAAGTGATCTGAGACTGTGCACACCATCATCTGTTCTCTCCAGGAGGTTCAAGACATCGGCCATCTCAATGGAGAGTTCATCTGGCTCTTGAGACGAGTATGACTGAATACACTGCACCTGAGGAGAGTCTGAAAAACATCACAGAGTTTAAACTCTGCCCTCCTGTTTAATGTTTGCAGTTGAACTCTGTAGCTGTGAAGCTGTCTCACCTGCTTGGTGTGCACTGGTCGACATGAAGCGTGTGCGGCGGTTTGGAGTGAGAGCACACATCCAACGAAGCTTATCACTCCTGTACACAGAGCAAAGGTAATATCACCAAGAGTTATGCATCATTTGCCATCTTAGGTAAGATAATATTGTGCTAACACCAAGTGTAAAAATGCCAGTTCTTGTTTTACGTCTGTGAGGATGAGCTGTTAGCTTCTTCACTTTCTGCTGCACAGAGCTGCACTCGCCTCCTGATGGAGCTAAAAACTGTCTTAATGGGCTATCTCCTGAGCTGATTCATGATAGATGTGACATAGATTTTACAAGCCATATCCTGTTTCCTTGAACAAACAGCTTATTCAGATTAAGAATAAACAACAGCACTGTTCTCTTTCTTAGCAATTATCCCCATCCTCTTTACAGCTCCTCAGAAATCTTCCACAAAATGATCCACAGAATTTCTCTGTGAACCCTTACTCGCACCAACCATGTTTTTCTGTCAGTGGGCCCTCCCATCATGACAGCCATATGCATCCAGTTTCCTCTGAGCCCCAGTCAAAACACACATTTGATCCCTGTATCAGATACTCACATGCTGCTGGTCTTCAGCATGTAGTTGACTTGACGCTCCTCTTGGTTTTCCAGCAGCTTCAGATTGAACACACTGGCCAGCTGTTGACCCTGGTCCTCCAGGTCCTCTGTTCTCAACATTGCCCGAGAGCACGAGTCCAGAACCTGGAACTTGTCCCCACTGATAACAAATTGACTGAATTAGCATTTATTACAATCTCAGTTTTATAAAAGCCCTGGCTCTGTGCAAAATGATCAAAAAAGCAGGTTTGAAGGTCTGTAAATCATTTAAAGTCTGTATTTGATTGAACATAGATAACAGATCAAATGTTGAGACAAATTTTACATTTTCTTTTGTAAACATATCAACTTATTTTTAAGAGCCAATTCAAGACTAAAGAGACCTCAGATTGTGAAGATTGCAAAAACCCGATATCAAGCAGTGTGACAATATTTTATTTCCAAAACTATGTATACTGGTCCCAAAACTATTTCAGGTGTGAGAGGAGGTGATGCAACCAAAAGGTAAATATTTCTGAAGTGCTTTTCTGATATCAAATTTTGTTTTCATGAAGAATGAGATTTTTCAGTTTTAAGATTAAATATGTTGTCCTTTTTCAGTCACATATATGGTTTAAATGATTTATGGATCATCATAATCTGTCTTAATGAACATCTTACGCAGCATCCTAATTTTTATTACCTGGAGCTGCGTTTGGTGACCAGCAGCAGGTTGTTGAAGAGGAATAGGTAAACAGGTTGGTAGAGTTTGCGACTCTTCATGGTCCTGGTGCTCTTTGGTCCAGCCATCAGCTGCACCTCACCTTTCTTCAGGAGCCAGCGAGAGTGGGAAATGATGGGCACAGACTGCAAAAGAGTGAAAGGGGTCAAAAGTGAGGTTTGAAGTTTTCATATTTTGGTTTAGGTTCATCAATGATCCTTTAAAACAGTGGTTCTCAAGTCCAGTCCTCGAGACCCACTGTCCTGCATGTTTTGAATGTTTCCCTGCTCCAACACACCTGATTCAAATGATCAGCTCGTTATTAAGCTCTGTGATGGCTTCATAACGAGCTCATCATTTGAATCAGGTGTGTTGGAGCAGGGAAACATCCAAAACCTCCAGGCCTTGAGGACTGGACTTGAGAACTACTGCTTTAAAAGAACATTTGAATGATTACCAGGGATTGCAACAACATGCCTTTGGTCATAAAATCAGTAATGTGCTTTTCTGATATAGAAAGTGTTGATTATTGCTGTTGAGAATGTTAAGTAACAAGATTAGCTTACCTTGGATTTAAACTCCAGTGTTTTCTCAATGCTGATGAGCTCCTCAGTGCGACTCATTTTTCGCACACCCTCATTACATTCTTTAACAATCTGAGGAAGATCAACAAATACATACCATCAGTCCCTAACGGTCCAAATGTCAATGTTATAGTTTATTGTTCTGGTTTCAGGTGTTTTGCGTAGAACAGTTAATATCTTATCACACCCTTTCTTTACCCTCCAGGAGAAAGAAATGCTGAACATAGCAAGCTGCAGAGACATGGCTTCAACAGCAAATACACCCATACACGTTTCTAGATTAACTTTAAGATATAACAGCAGATTGTGCTTATCTGATTGGCAAGAGACAAGTGTTTACATAAATGTACACACTCTCATATTGTTGACCCGACCCAACTCAAACCTGAAGCTCACCATTTCCAGCTGCTGATGGGCTTTTATAGCATTAGCTTCCCTCTCAGAGTTCTCCTCAGCTTTTTTCAGGATATTCTGTAAATAGAAAAAACTCCATCAAAAAAGACTTCTTCAGTGAAACAAACTTTAGCATAACTTTCAACAGATTTAAGAATTTAAAAAGTGCAAATTTTACACTATGAGAGAGGTTACAATGTCGTAAAATTTAAAATTGACTTTAGTCCTAGATGTAATAAACAGGAATAGTTAAAACAATGTATTTTAGCTCATATTGAAAGAGGAAATCTTTGCAAATGTGGGGCAAACTTCTACATTAGAGTTATTTAGCTCTCACAACTATTAACAGGACATACCTGCAGCTGGACAGAATCTCTTTGCAAGTCTTTACAGACCTGCAGAAGACTCTATGTTGTCTGACTCTTTTGCAAAGGTACATTTTTAATAAAACTTGTGTTTCAGCTCCTCATTAACTCAAGTTTTCACCAGAAAGGCCATGTCTTTATCACTGTGATCTGCTGCCCTCTGATGGACACAGCTATAAAATCATGGATAAAGACACCCAAAGGGTAATTTGAGTATCTCTCGACCTGGGCTATTTTTTAAACATATTTTAGGTAAAGATTGATAAAAAGGTATGAAATTGTTTCTGAATTGTTTGAGAAGCTTGTTTTAGCCAGCAGTCATGAAACCACTCCTGAGAGCTGAGTCATAACTATTCAGTTGATGTGATGTATTCCTCCATTAAGGTGACTTTTTGTTGTCTGCCAGACTCAGATTGTTATTCTGATCATGCAACTTCCTCCTCACAATGAAGCAGAGCTCGGAGGCTGAGCTGCATGCAGAGGCGGCGTGCAAGGGACAAAGAACATTAAGTATAACGATGCTATTCTCCAACAGATGCAACAACAGACCTTGTTATTACATTTCACTGTAGGTTTTTACAGTGTCATGTAAATAATAACAGCAATGGTTCTCATTGACAATATTTAATGGTGTTAAAGGCCTGGAGTACAAGTGGCTTACTTTGGCGTTTTACTGTCTGATAATCTAACTAAAGCAGACTTCTAACTGTCCAGCTGGTTGTGTCTGATCTCTGCTGCCCAGCAAAGCACTAAAGACTTCATATCTTAATTTTGGAGAGTAAATTTAAAATCCACATCGTCACCCTCTGCAAATTTTAAATGATGGACTTTGACAACATGCAGAAAAGTTAAAGAGCGGTGAAAACTCCTGCAAAGCTCTGTGTTTGGGAATTAAGCGGACTCTGACACAGATTGCTCTTGGCATGTTTTAGCGTCTTTCTCACTTGTTTAACAGCTGAACAGCTTATTGGTTGTTCTTTCACAGGCTGGCAGTAGCTGAGTGCAAAGTTGAAATAAATTAACTAAAAATAAAGTGATTTGTGCAGTCAAAAGTGGAGTGTAACACCAAGAGGAGCTCAAAGCTGTACACATCGAAACATTCACAGAGCCTGGCAGGGCTTCACTGCAGCCTACGTGTCTGACGCCATTATGGAAAAGATCAATCATCACTGCATAATTACAGCTGTATTCATGCCCTAATGTCTTCATTCCAAACATTCTTATGCATATATGCTGATTACTGTGCTATGTCTGTGTGGAAATTTTAATTCAGCAGAAGAGCAGCAGCTTTTATTGTCTTTTTTTTTTTAATGAATTTGTTGTTTAGTATACGTGGTGGAGCTGTCGACCTGTTTTTCTTCTGTAAATCGACAACAGAGGAAGTCTTTCCTATTGTACCTGTACAAGTAGCTTGAGCCTGGTGATCCTCTGGAAAGGAAGGATGAGGAACGAGGTAAAGGACAGACCCCGAACTCGAGGATGGTTCTCGAGAGAGGCCATAGCCTCCCTGAATGGTTGGTTTGCCTCTCTGCACAGAAGAAAGCACGCTGATCAGTTTATCATACTCACCACAACAAACAGACACACACACACACACACACACACACACACACACACACACACACACACACACACACACACACACACACACACACACACACACACACACACACACATTTTCTTTCTTTTGATGAAAATGTGAGAGACAGAAAAATAAATGAAACAGCTGAGTCTAGAAGACAATAATCTACACAGAAGTCCTTCAGTTTGGAAGGGAAACTCACAGCAAACAGATTGTTCATCATTTTATAATGTCATTTTGTAAATGTGTTTTGGATATTTTTCTTTTTTAAAGGTATATTTTAGGAGTTTTTGCCTTTATTAGATAGAACAGCTAAATAAAGAGAGGAAAAGTGGAGAGCGTAGAGTGAGGGAAGACATGCAGCAAAGTGTTGTGGCTGGATATTGAACTAGCAACAACTGGGACAAGGGCTGAAGTCTCTTTACATGAGATGCTCAGACCACTCGGCTGTCAACACCCCTGTCAACATCTCTAAACTCATTTGTTTATTGTTTTCATCATTCAGCTTTTTCTGCTTGTTTATATTACTTAAAGACGGCATTGAATGTTTATTTATGAAAGCCCTTTAAAATAAAACTTAACTAAATTATTATTGCCCTGCTATTAGCCTTGTTTAAGGGTCCAACCCACAACGCATATGGTTGTACTGATATTCAATAGCATATGTAACTTGTACCTTTGCTGCCACATGCAGTCTGCTCTTGTTTCGTGTCTGATTGTGGAGATGAGCTGTCAGCAATGAGCCACAAACCTTAAAAAAAGGCCAAAGCTTGATCTCAAATCACTGCCTGAACTAAGAGTGGCCCGGTGCATTTAAGTTTACTTTTAAATTTAACAAATAACATCAAACCCGGATCTCTGCATGAACACCAAACCCTAATACAATAAAGCCCTTCTTGTCTCGTGTTCCCCAACAGAGTGCCTGTCTTGTGGGGCTGAGGTTAATACCACACTTAGAGAACTTTCCAGCAGCATGTTGCACACTTCCGTCATCCAACTTCAATAAACACATCAGGTGCCCTTACATGGCCCTGTTTCAAAGACAGACACGGACCAGCTTTTGCATTCCCAAATTTGGGATGGATGGTAGTTCAAGATTTTATCCTTCTATGTTAAAACATGGCCCTGCAGTCTTTACTTCACTAAATCAAATTTATCACAGTGGTCATAAAATGTGTCATAAACCAAGACTTGTTTCTGCATTTTCAAATGGTAAACATCAAACTGTATGCAGCTGAGCCATGTTGAATAAAACAATCTTCTTCTGTGTCCTCATGAAACAATCTCTCCAAAGCTGCCAACATGTCAGCAGGACTACAATTCCTGTTGAAAGCTATGGCTGTAACATTCATGTTGGTGTCTTTTCAACTGCTGTAACCACCAATCACTCGTCAAAGTTGATGCCAGGTGAAGAGCTGTGATTGGAGCCTCACACTATGTTTAACAGCGCTAAAACCAGGAAATGATAATGGTCAGGTTCATTAGAGGTGCCAACAAATCAATGTGGCAACAGAAAGAGGCTCTTTCTGTTGCCAACTACGCCCAACAGAGGAAAAAATCACACACATCAGTCAAGTATGATAATGTAAACAAAAGGGCTGCTATGAAAACATTAGATTTCAGCACCTTGGTTGATTATTTAGGAGCGCTCTGTCAACCAGAGAGAAAATTGTTTTATTTACAGAACAGCTATTGTCACTCTGTCTCGGTGTCTCATCCCAACACCTTGTTTTACCAAGTCAAAAAGTGTTATTTAACACTTTGCTTTGCTTGTTTTTCCTGACTGGTCTTCCTTTGTTTACATTTGCCGTATAAATGAACCGGATTGAATGTGATATCTGAATCTAGCAACCTGATGGAAGAGGAAACATGGTACCAAACAGATCCTCTGAAGCATTAAATTATTACTCTCCTGGTTTTCACACACTTTTTTCTTGTTTGTAATACCTCAGCTGACGTAAAAATATTAAAAAAAAATCACACTGCAGCTCACCCACTCAAGTGATTGTATGTGACAAGTAGTTTAGCCTGCCACTCCTAACGCCATAACAATAATAATAATAAGTGTGATTAGACTGACACCACACTTCTGAGGAGTCAGTTCACTTCACAAAACCAACCAGCAACAGCATCAGGTTGATTCTCTGACATTTCCTCTCTTTTGCCTCATCACTACCAAATCCCAAACCCTTCCACCTATTATATTATAACAATAATCTTCATGTCTCTGAGGTATTCCTGGCGCTTGGCACACATCCAGTGACTGAGTGTCACCTGGCATCTGCAGCTCATGGGAAAGTCACACTCTTGCTCAGGTATGTGTTTGATGAAGAGGGACATACGCATAAGACTTAAGTCCACCACACCCTGCAGATCACGTTTGTCATGATCTGAACCTGTTCTCTGCCAAAGAGAGACAAGCTGACAACACTCACAGAAGAAAAAACAGCACCGAATGATGTATGACGCCTATTATTCATTCTTGCAGTTCCTCTCTTGCCAAGCATGAATTCATCAGCGGCAGCCAAGCGGTTCAAAGTTTGACTCAATAAATGGTTACCTGATTCATATCCTGCTCTACAGTTAAACATTAATGTGAGAGAACATACTCAGATTTACCATATGGACACCATGGGTACACACTCATGATCCCTGGGCACAGAAAAAAATATTTACATTCTCTGTGTGTTATTTTCTCCTTATTTTAAGCTGTATAAAAAGACTTATCTATCACCTGATGAAGGCTGGGATCATTCCCTACTTCCTCTCTTCCTCACTGCTCGTCTCTCTTCAGCCATCCCATCAAATACCAGAATAAATATAACAAATGAAAAACGATTGAAATCATTTTTATCTCAACTACAAGCTCGGCTGAGTCAGAGAGAAATTGGCAAGAGTGTAAAGCACTAAGCAAAACTCCAATTTCAAACTCCTGTGAAACTTTCACTGGCAAGAAAGAAAAATAAATGTCAAAAATAAGAAAATGTTGTGAGAAGAATTTTCCAAAATAGATCTCAAAGTTAACAACAGCAGGGTACAAAAACTCTAAAAAGAGCTCCAGCGCCAATTATCCAGCCAGATTTAAGATTCCAGTACTCACAGGATACGTCTGTAGTTCTTCTCCTGGTACACCTGGTTTATGACATATTTGATGAAGACATGGAAGTGCTCCACAGCGTGGTACGAAACAATGTCGCACACATCAGAAATCAATATGGACTCCTCGATTCGGTGCTCAAGGTCCATCAGGAACCTGAGAACAACAGGAGAGGATTATTCAGGGATGCTGAGATTGACTGTGTTTGCTGGATTGGAATATATCAACTGATACCTCGTCGTACCTTTCACTGGCCTGCATCACCTCCACGATGTTGGAGAATAGGAAGTGCATGTCGGAGTTACTGAGAGTGTTGACTAAAGCGGGGTTACGAAGAAAGTGAGTCTCTAAAATCTCCAAACTCTTGTAGTAGGAGGCCTCTGAAGTAACAAGCTCAAACATGGCCTAGACAGGAAAGAAAATCACAGTCATGTTGAGATTCATGCCAATTACCCGCTGGTGAGACAAAATCCTGAAAATCAAGTCTTAACATTAAAGACTTCTACCATGTTTTTCAGTGAGTAACAATATTTTTCACCATGTTCAGGTTTTTGATGTGTTTAACAGTGGATCATAAAGTGTAATTATCTGCTGTAGCAAAAAAGGGCAATGCAGTCTGCACAATGAGTGAGTGAAGAAAAACACATCAATCATCCAAAAACCACTTAAGGAATAGATTCGCACCCCTGTTTTTTTCTAAAACAAAACAAAACTGCAAACTGCATCCAATCACAACTTCTATAACATGTGGCCCACATTAAACTGTTATGGAAATTCACTTTCACCAAAAGCAAGGTATCGGATTAAATGTTTGGCCCCAAACAGAAACCAAAATCAGCATTCTGAGAAAGATAAAGACTATGTAGGTAAATGTTTGCAAAGTGTTCACAAATTAAGTTCACTGTAGACTCTCAGGAAAGTATTGAACCACGCATAAGTCAGTCGTGTGCCAGATTTTTGGTTTTTGCTAAATGAACACAATATAATAACATGACAAATCTTCAGTTTAACATGTATTTATACTTTCTATATTGTTAGTTCAAATTTAGGATCAATTTGAGACTGTAGTTTATGTGTTTATTCATTACACTTTATTCATCGAGGAGAAAGTCACCCAATTACTATGTTTTGTATAAAGTATATATTTAACATACAGTATGTAACAATTGTGTAACTGTGAATTAATTGACTTAAAACTAAGTATTTAAAAATTTGTGATCAAAATTATATCCTACAATCAACATTTACATGCGTACCAGAAAAGACGTTGTGGTAAGAAAACCTTCGTTTTAATATTCTAGATACAGAACATATTTTTTTCACAAGTGTAAACGCTTCATGACCTTTTTTTATTTTATTTTTTTTTGTGGCTTTTCAATCAAATGTTTATTTTTAGACTGTATTTAAGCATTTTGTTTATTTAAAAGACATAAAGAGTTTGACTGATCACACCTTGTTATAAGAAGAGAACTACTTTGTAACATTATCCTTACTGCCAGCTATCATTTCATGTTCATTTAAGGCCTCAGGACAAGCGGTTAAACTTAGATCTCAGTAATGAATAAATAAAAAAGAATTCACCCAGCCTGGGGTTGAATTTCAATCTGTTAATGCTTTAAAAGCATCAGAAGGTGTGACGCCGTTCATGAAAAAGTGAAAAATAAATTGGATAATTTTCCAATTGTTTTGTCAAATTTGATTTCAATTCAATCCAGGCCTGAGCTCCATCAGCTTCAAACGAGATGTCAGCCCCACAGGTCACCTGGAGAACATTGAACTCTATTAAATATTCTTACAATTATTCCCAGAGAGGATGTTGAGTCATTCTGTTTGATGTTAAAAACAATGAAGAAAAGAGATTTAGCAATAGCAAATGGAGCTGACATTTTGAATGAATGATTCTGTTTGACCTCTAAACAATACAAACAAAAAAGACACATAAGGAACTATTACTTAGTCATTTAGTATATATAGTCCAACAAATAGTTATGGTATTAGTTAAGTCCAGTAAAACTGACTGTTTCACAAATGTTTGATGAAATAAATATGAGAGTATTTTATTATTTTTAAAACTCTTCAAACTCTTTTGAGGCTTCTCCTTTTCTCTGCTTGGTGTGGTTCGTGGAGTCAAAGTAATTTATCATTAAATTGACATTTCAACATGCTTACATAACAGACTGCTTAATCTGAAAAAACAACCACCTCCACGTTACACACACACACACGTACACACATGCACATACAGACATTGTACACTCCCTGAAAAAGGGCACTGCGCTGCGACTTTATGACGGATATTATCTCTGGTTTCTTTTTGGGCTGCACCTTGTTCTCTGACGACACATTTTGTTCATGACTTCTCACCCTGTTTGTTCTTGGTTTGAGGAATGAATTTTATGAGGTGGACTCCAATAAGGCTTTATAACAGATGAGAGAACAAGATGGTGGGAAAAAATGGATCCTGCAAAGTATAACAGCAGTTTGTGAGTCTTGTTACTTTTCAATTCTTCATCCATTTTCCTCTTGCAGCCATGTCCAGGGAGGTTGGCTACAGTTCGGTGGACCTTAAACTTCTGAATAATATGTGCAACTGTAGTCACCAGAACATGAAGCTGCTTGGAGACGATTTTATCACCTTTACCTTTATCATGCCTGTATATGATTTTCTTTCAAATCTCCAGAGACAACTCTCTTCCTCCCCTTGCTCTCTCTGGTCCATCTTCCAAACAGCACTGTGACTAATTGTCACCATTTAAATCAGCAGACTGATTGATGACAACTCTGAAGACCCCTGTGATACTAATTTGAGGACACACCGTAGTTCATCACATCTCTATGGTCAAATTATTTTCAATCTTTTCTAGGGGTACCATCATTTTTGTCCAGGCCTGTTTCATTAGTTTGTTTTTTTAAGCGATTCTGTTGAACCACAATTCAAAAGCGATTTCTGGTTTTCATCAGGTAATTTTTAGTTAAGTTTTGTTTATTATTACTTTTGTCAGTTTCAAGTTATTTCAGTGATGAATGTGGGTTTGTTATTTATTAGCAGAGAGGTATACGCGCATGTCCTTTTGCAGACCTGATGACAGTGACAAACAGCGGCTCTTTATAACTTGATTTCATTAAAGTCTCAGCTCAGTGTTCATTCCAGAGCCTCCTATAACCTGCCTTATTTTTCCTTTTGTACTTGTGTGATGTCTTTCATGATCACACTCATGTTTAAAAACAGCTCCCTGAGTCTATACAGAAACAATTCCAGCAGGGCTTTTCTTTGTCTGCCATCTCATGAGCAGCTTGAGCCCTTAGCGGAATTGATTGATTTAATTCCTTTGTTTTGGCCAGGTGCACCTACTTCCTGGCAGTGTACAACAATATTATAATCCAAATTTACAAACCCACATTCTGTGCAGTCTAACCTCTTGGTTGCATCATGCTAATTGCTGGCTCCTCTTCAACACAAACCTCTTACCTCCTGCATGATGACTTCTTTTTGCTGCAGCTTGTTAAGCAGTCCTCTGGCCAGTACCTCATCCAGGTTCTGCCACAGTGACAGAGAACGGGCGCTGTTCCTTAGCTGCAGCTGTAATGCTGGAGGGGGCACCGGATTGGACCCCTCTGGCACTGTCCCTGTAGTGGCTACTGGAGAGAGGTTCTCCAGCTGTCGGCGCTGCTCAATCTCCTGCTGCTTGGAGGTGTCGCGGTACTCCTGGTACAGGAAGGCTGCACAGTCACAAGCACAGAAACACACAGGTTTTAATTTGTGTTTGTTTTGGACAAAAGCCTGAATTATCGCTGTGACCATGTGATTTGATTTATTCAACACAAAAAGGCAAACATCTTGGCTGTTCTCCTGGTTTGTGTAAAAAAGAAAAAAAGGCTGACCCAATGTGTTTTCATCAGTGTGACTACCATCTCCTTGATTTGTAGTTGTATTTCGTGAAGACATAACAAGTGTAAATATGTTTATGGCTGCATCCCAAGAGCTTGCACCAGAAATGTAGCAAAATCAAAGCTAAGTAACCCATTGCTTATCTAAGTATTTGTTAAAGCATATAAATGTATATCTCAAAGCAGACACAACAATATCAAACCTAATCTGTAGAAAATCTTTAAAAGGGTCTGATACATGAAATGTCCTTTTCCTTGATGTATTGCTTTAGTTATAGCTCTCTTGAAAGAAAATATCCTGACGTGGTGCATGACAGACTGTCAGAGCTGGAACAGAACAGAAGATGTCTCCTCAGCAGCCTGACAAACATCCACCATGTTTACATTTTCTTATTGGATCAGAGCTCCCACACAGAGCTGAGAGCTGCTCGCCTCTTACAGTTATACAACTCCAAAAAAACAAAACTCACAGGCATCTCTATCAGAAATGTCAAACATGGAGGGGAAATACTGAGTTATTTATCATCGGGGAAGCCAGATATAAATAAATATATTCAGTGGAATTGGATTGATGGCTGAAAGCTTGACATTTAGAAACTATCAGTTTGTTCTTGTCTGGAGAATATCACCACATCAATACTGCTGAAATCTTCTCTTTCCTGTTCACTGAAGCCTACACTATGATCGGTGCGTTTGCGTCCTCCAGACTTCATTTTTTTCGGCTTTACCACTTAATCTTTTAGCAAAGCTGCTGATAGAATTTGAAATAATTAATTTAATGAAGGTTTACATAAAAATCAGTGTTTTTTAAGTAGGTTCAAGTTGACTGGTTTTATTGTAAGATTGGTTGTGACCAGGTGTCAACAAGAACTACAGCCTCTGTCTGTCAGGTGGGCTCTTAAACCACTAGGTTGACTAGCATGATGAATGAAAGCACAGGAGCCACACTTAAGCCTTTAGCTCACAGCATGGGTAAACACATACCTCACATAATAGCTGTCCTTTATATTGTGGGATGCTAGCTTCAAGACGCCAACGTTAGCTGGTTAACCTACCAACAGAAGTGTGTTGGGTTGACTTGGAGCAGTGATGAGGTCAAATGACTCATCAAGATTCAAGCAGATCAGTATATTTGTCCATATTAGACACCACTCACTAAATTACATAAGTTTACAGGCTTGAGTCATTGCGTGAATAAGACAGGCTTCTGAGCAGTGATCCGCAACAACGGCTTATGGACTCTGACAGCAGAATGTAAAGCTACAAGACCAGCTCAGCAATAGTGGACAAATTCCCATTGTTAAATGGGCTGGAAAAAGTTCTCTAAGAATTAATCCACATGTTGAACCACTAGATGTTGTCACACCTGATGTGAAGACAATGGCTAGTATTAGTATATCTCTATTCTTACTCTAACTTCTTCACTTGCTACGAGAGTGTGATGAGTCAAGCAGCTTTTTGCTCAGGTTGTTGGGTTGATTGCATTCGCAATGCAAATGTATCACCTCAAGGTTTGATTAAAGGCAAGCCAGGACAATCTTGGCTCACAGGGTTTTCCACATCAGAGTGTGATTCTATGATAACATGTGCCTGAAGCATGGACTGTATATACTATGGATAACTTGGTCCCGCCTCCCGCCTGTATACAGATTTGAAGCCAAAAAGCTCTAGGTATTTCCACGATTTTTTTTTTATTTCCTGAAACCAGCATCGCGCAGTAGCAATATGCGCATTCGGTGGGAGAGTCGCTGAGATGACACTCGGCTCAAACAGCGTATTCCTCGGGTGAGCTACGCAATCCCTGAACGCCCATAGGCTGTACCAGGTGTCAATCATAGAAAACATGAACCCCCTAATAACTTTTAAAAATGGAGCCTTACAGAAAAAAAGAGGACTTGAATACAAACCAGTCTTACTGTAACTACATGTCAACATCACAAGCAGGGGGGAGAAAAATTTATGTTCTGTGTAATTAATTTCTGAAGTTTGTCCACAGCTCCATAAACTTTGCTGGCGGAGGCGGGATTTATGACCTATACTGCAGCCCGTCAGCAGAGGGCGCTGTTCTCGGAGTGGCTTCACCCAGCGAGGGGGCAGACTCTGTCCATTCTATACACAGCCTACGGTCTGAACAACCAAGGTCAAGGAAGAAAACACCCCCCTGTTTCTGAACAACTTGTACAAACCGTTTAAATGTACAAACATCTTAAATAAAGTTTACTGACCCATGTTGTTTCATGTACAGTGTATGTGTGTGTCTGATTTTGTGTTCATAGAGATAATATGTCAGAACAGATGTAGTCTGACACATTGCTATGTTTCTGTAGCTTAAACACTGAGTCACAGTGGAGACTCCAACACATGCTTCCAGGACATTGGCTCGTATTTGCATGAAAAGATAATTATTTACATGTATTTCAATAATACAACAAAGAACAGCGATTTCATAGTTATATTTGAATAAGTTTGTGGGTAAATAACATTTCTGGCAACAAATTTGAAGGAGAGATACATCAAAAATATGTGCAAAAGTTGATATTTGTGCACTACTTTGCTGGCAGGTAATCAGTGTAGGTGTGTGTCTCAGTTTCTTAGAGTTCAGATAAGAAGTTTAAGGTAAGAACAGATGCTTCTCTAAGGAACATCGGTTCTGTGTGTATAACATGCAGTAGGTGACTTTGAACACAGGGGCTTGTTGCATAATCTCTCTAAGTCATATACTGCAGATTTGCAAGGTGGGCGTCGAACAGGAATGAGACTTACATAAGAGCAGGAGAAACACACACACACACACACACACACACACACACACACACACACACACACACACACACACACACACACACACACGCAAACTGCAGCTTCCCATACATCTGAAAACTACCGTCAGTATTTCTGCTCCTCTGAGCTTCAGTCGTGCAGGTGAGCTACCGTCTGGGTAAATGTGGACTAATCTCTGCAAATAACCATTACCCTGAGTACACAGTGAGAAGCAGTCTGTCAACAGGCAGACTGTCAGCTCAGAGATGCCTCGGAGCGCAGAAACAGGTCATAGATCTGCAGGAAACAAAGGCTGAAGGAAGGGACGACTGCATGGGCTCATTGATCACATCTCAAAACAAGCATGTTTGCTCAAGAGGAGGAGAAAACACAGACCACACTCGACCTCTGAAGGAAATTCCTACTCTTATCTGTGATCAGATTAGTTTGCTCAGATCAGCATTAAGACCATGATCTGCTCCTGAAATTGATCTATTTCTGGACTTGTAAACCAGCTAATTTCTACCAGTATTTGGACCCATAAAAGGTCAATGTGTACATTATGTTTAAATTAGGTTAGGTATAATAACTGACAGACAATACCAGGCATAATGACCATGACAATTTTAACCTTGATGTGTCTTTAGTCACACGTTATCGCTCATCTGTTGCATAAATCTATGACCTATTTTTCATTTGAAACGTACTGCAGCCACCTGTCATACTGATAATTAAAAAGGTGTCAGAGCACCTGTTCTCGCTTTCCTGCAAAAATAACACACCAAAAAATGATGTAATCTATAAACAATCACACACTTTCCTCTTTAAAGACCTTTATAATTTATTGAATCTCTTCAATCGTGTGCTAGACCAATTCTGCTCAATTTTCACCTCCTATTTGTTCACTGTTTTCCTCCAGAGCCAAATGTTTTTTTTTTGTTTTTTGTTTTTTGTTTTTCTGCGGATGATTAAACTGTAGGTGGGACGTTTCTGGATCATATTCAGTGAATACGTCACAGGATCACCCTTTCATTTTTGCTCCTGCTGGTTTATAAAAATACCCATCATAATTAAAAACGTAGGGAAAGAAGAAATGTGTTTTGGGGTTTTCCCTTCATTCTGGATAAAGAGATGACTTGTTTACTGCTTTGTCTCTACTCACCGATGTTTTTGACGATGTTGAGGCCGTGGCATATCGTCTCCCCATTGCTCGGCAACCTGAGGAGGAAAATAAAGAAGCCCATGTTTAGGCACGCAGGACAATGGCTGAAAGAAATCACTTCATGATTTTTGACTATTTAAAGAAGTACATGGTGGATCTGCTTGTGCATTCCAGCACACGGTTACACAACAATGATCCTCCTCTCCTCTGTTACACCCAAACACAGGGAGGTTTTTGTGGATTTTTGATGGAAATCATAAAAACATCCTTCACGCCTCTTCACATTCACACTCTGACCACACAGTGACTCACTGCTCAGTCATTCTTTCACCTGCTCTCTCATCAGTTAAAGTCACTTTTTCCTCAGACAGTGCTCTCTTTTTGTTTTTCTACCTGTAATATTCAGTTCACACAAATTCAGAGATAAGCTCAATAAAATGACTTGTTTTTTTCTTCATTTTCTGTATTTCTGTGTCTTACCTGATGTTTGCGTTCTCCCGGTCCGCCCCATCTGAACCTCCCTGCTGTGAGCTCATGGTGTTTCCTCTGACCTCCTGGACGCTACAGGCTGCGGCTGTTTGCTCAGGCAGCTTTTTGATATCTCCGCTCCGGATGTTGTGAGTCCGGTAAGTGATTGTATCGGCAGTGAAATCTCTCTGCTGGTTGTTGGAGGAGGCAGCAGAGATGTCCACACTCCTCCCTCCTCCCACTCTTCCTCCCGTCCTCTCTGCAGCGTCTCTTTTGTACAGAGTGTGTCGGCTGCTGGCCTCCCCATTGCTTGGCAACGCCGGTCTGGAGTGATGGAGCTGTGGTGAAGGCTGAGGACTGAATTTAACAGCAGAAAAACACGTTTGAGAAACACATCTTTAACAGGCATCTTCATTTTCACAGAAACACTAAGATTAATGAGAGAAATATTCTCAGGTTGTGCACATCTGATACTCTGGACTATATGTCTCTTTATGTTGACAGCAGGTGGATTAAAGATTGCACAGATCTGATTGGAGGTTGTAAACCTGTTGTACTCATGCCTACCTCAGTAAATATTAGCTTTCTTGCAGAACTGAAGTTGTTCTCTCGTCTGAACATTTGTCTTCCTTCCAAAACAATCACAACAATCTCTGTAAATGTCATCTAATCTGCACAATGGAGACAGTTGTGCTTTTCAAGCTTTTTCTGATTTCACACTTCAGTGACTGAGGTTTGATTATTTCTATTTCAGATGCTCTTGACTGTAGTTTCTAAATCTGAGAGGAAGAGGGTGAAAATGTTGGTCTTCACATTGAAACAGGGAATGTTTTAAGGATCCAATGGATGCATTTTTAATTCTTTCATCTGGGAGTTTCGAAAAAAGGGCCAAATTAAAACATGTCCTCCACTATAACTGTCTCCGAAAACCATCCTCTCATGGAAACAGGCTGCACCTGTGGACATTTTCAGATCCTCAGAGTGGCTCAGATGTGGTGCAGGTTCTGGTCTAAATCCAGGATGTAATTGGACCCTTATATCTGACACTGACTGATCCTGCAGGATTACAGGACTTTGGCTGATCCCTGAAACAACTTTTCAGTGAAATAAAGTCAGCATTATTAGAAACTATCACAAAATTCAGCCGTTGGAAATGGAAATGAACAGGTGAGTGAAGGATAAAAGATCAACATTGACAGTGTTTGCTAGGACATACTTACTCCATCTTCCCCTCTGAGAAGCAAGAGTCATGTGCATATATATATGTATATATATAAGGAAGGACTGACAGACAGAAGAGTGTATGTTGGTTATAGACTAACGTGGAACTGTAGGAGAAGGTTGTATCACCTTATAATGCATCAGATTTCATGTACCACTTTATCAGAGACCCTCAGAGTGCTTTCCATTGGATACATCGTTCATTCACACACACGCCGGTGGTGGTAAACCACTCTGGTAGTCACAGCTGCCCTGGGGCAGAGTGATGGAAATGTAGCTGCCAGTTTGCGCCTACGGCCTCTCCAACCATCGCACAACACTCACATTCATACACCAGTGGAGGACACACACAGGGAGCAAAATGGATTAAGTGTTTTGCCCAAGGAGACAACGGTCAGACTCAGGATAGGGGGTAATCGAACCACCAACCTTCCGGTTGTTTGGACAACCACTCTACCGCCTGAGCTACTGCTGCCCCTGCTCCTTCTGCAGCTACATAGAACTTCCTGAGGACAACATGTTAATTTCATCAACCCTCTCATACCTGACTATAAAACTATTTTAAAACACTTGAGGTGGTTTTAGGGACGGGGTACATGCTTCATCACAATAAAGTCTGTGGTTTGAATCCTGCTTAGAATTCATCGCCCCAAGCATGTGTGGATGCCCTCCGGATGTTTTGCCTTCCTCCCACAGCCACAGAGTGTTACTGGTCAGTCCTTTGACTCAGTGGTGCCTAGCTCAGGGTGTAACCCCACAAACCATGAATAGGACATGTGATCAAGGTTGTGGATTGATGGTTCTTAAATTCTTTGAATTCTATCATTCAAGGTCTAGTTAATCTGATAAACCCAGACTTGACGATGCAGTCAAAGTGGGATTCCTAAATTGCAGTGATGCGGGACAAACATCAGATGGTCCCACTTTTTTTTCAATGAAGATCTTCAAACCTGCTCTGTTTGTCAGCAAACAGACAGATTGAACGCTCGGTTCTGTCTATAGACACTCAAGAACTCTACCTGCTGCTGTGGGCAGAAGATGGCTTTTACTTTTCAGCTCCAAAAGAGAGCATAAAGCCAAAATATGTTCAATCAGCTCAAATACAGTTAAGACTTCAATAGGTCAGAAAACACACCTTTCTTCAATTGTTGATGAATTTATAGCCTCAGCGTAAAAAGGAGGACATAAATGTTGGTTATGGTGTGATTAAGTCAAAGTATTTTTCGTGCAGTGGCCTAAATCTTGTCTGTCTGAAAACAAAACGTCTTCAATATATTTCCCTTTTTCATTAAAAAAACAAAACAAAAAAAACAATAGCCCATTATGTCATGCAGAGTTATCATGAAGACAGCAGTTATAAGCATTCGCCACAGAAGAAGAAAAAGACAGAGCTTGTTCAGGCAGGCATGGCAGCACAGCCCAAACTAAGATGTTACAAGGAGCCCTGGATTCTGATCCAGCTGATTGATACCTGTAAAATGGTTGCAAACATAGCAAAAAAACAAACAAACATCCATTTCTCAACCTCATTTGCAAAGTTTCTGCCCTCTCATTTCATTTTTTAAAGGAAGAAATGAAATAAATAAAGTTTATATCCAGACAAGTGTTCCCTCTTTTGCTGTTGGAGGACCTACAGAACTGTGTTCCAGTCAATCTCACACTCATTACCAAAGGTTAATTCCTTAATGACGTATGTCTGTGTTATGTTATTTCTCCACTGACAGGGGTTTTTATCCCAGAAATGGCTCTTTTAGTAATGCATAACTGCATATTCCAAAAGTATCACACATCCTTCTTTGAAAATACTGAACTTCAAGAAAGCAATATATTCAGCAGGGTTAAAGATACTACCTGGTAAACAAAGTGTAGTCCCCCCAGAGCCACCACAGAAATGAGTTGTGGCTGAACTATATATTAGGGTACACATATTAACCATTATTTACTTGTTAGCACAATTCATAGTAGCAAATTGACTCTTAATTAGTTATTATAAAGCACTCATTAAGACCCCTTTCTCCATGATCATGATCTACATCTAATAAGCCATTAATTGGGGTTTTTCCTACAGTAGTCTCTTTATTATTGCTGCTTATTGATTGCAAACAAGGTGGTTGTAGTACTTTAATAATCATCATTAAAAGTGGTACTACATCAAATAGTTGTCCTCAATGAGGCTTGATAAATATGGACTATTCTTCTCTTACAAATCCACGCAGTTTCCTTTATCAAAAAACTGTCAACTGTTAACCATACAGCAAGTTTAGTCCACCAATAAAGGATATATTTCTCTTTGTGCTGACTTTGTTCTTCTTTTACTGGACGGGAGTAGGACCAGATTATTTCACTTGATCTTCATTTTTTTACATGATGCCTATCAGGTGCAGTAGTGGATCAATCTAGTATGAACTGGAGGCAACTTTAAAATAGGAAACTTTTGTGTATCGTAAGTGTCAAACTAATTGTGGGATAAGTAATGAACAAGACCTTACTTTAAAACAGAGAACATAATCCCAGTTATAAAGAATGACTTAAGAGTCATTAAGGACCGTTTTAACACTCGTAATTGTGTTTTGTTACAGGAGAATAGACCACATTTGTCATGTCTCATTAAAAAAGAATGACTATTTGGTGGTAGTACAATCTAAGCCCTTACTCAGCAAAGCAGATTGTAATGAACACACTGCAACTTCCTTATTTGCTATAGATAAGCAATGAAACAGGAGTTATCAAGGGAAATCCCCTTATAACTTGTGTACAAAATGTGTATTATGGTTATTGAGAATAATGAGAATAAGTTCTTTATCATGACTAATTAAGAGCAAACCTGCCACCATTTAAACGCGCTTATAAGCAACTAATGAATGGTTTATGTGTGTGCCCTAACGTAAAGTGTTGCCTGAGATTTTACAGGGTGTGTTGTGAAGAATTGTGTCCCTTAAATAGGCCATTAGATATTTGCTTATGTTTTGGGCTTTTTCCACCCTGTTATATGAAAAACAGTTCACCAAAACAACCTCAGAATAATTTCATCTTGGCTCAGGATGTACTTGGATCTTTCGATAAAAGTTCTGATCCTTTAACCTTGAACACTGAGCTTTCTGCAGACGCCTGAACACATCAGGAGACTTCAGATTCACTGACAATGAATCAACCTTGAGTTTGTGTGTTCTTTATCAAAGACATGATAAGCCATTTAGAGTACATTACACCAAGAAGAAAAAAGATGTGTGTGTGCGTCTGTGTGTGTGTGTGTGTGTGTGTGTGTGTGTGTGTGTGTGTGTGTGTGTGTGTGTGTGTGTGTGTGTGTGCGCGTGCAGTGTTTGAACAAGCATGCTGTGTGTTTGTATGTGCGTGTGTTTGTGTTTCTGGGTGTGTTTGTGTTCGGCTAGAGGGTTGGGCAGTGCAGGCATGCAGACTCACCGTCTGGCCCGGTTGAACAAGGGTGACTTCTGAGGCGAGGGAGTGCTAGAGGGGGCAAGTCCACCTCTGCTTGAGGGGCTGTGATCAGAACCGGGTCTGTTGGGGTCTGCAGAGCAAGAGGAAGAGAGAGAAAGAGAAAGAGAAATAAAGAAAAATAATCAGACGACAAATTTGTTACAATCAGATCTGATAAAGAGGAACAAGGAAATTAGACTGTGGTTATTAACACTCCCTTTTCAAACACTTGTCACTGTCAGACAAGCATACACACACACAGACACGCACACATACACACACATAGCACGATGAAAGATGGAGACAGATTGTTCTTGGTTGTCGAGTTGAAATTTTTGTTGCTGCTGAATGTCTTTAAACTTTGCCCTTTTTTCTTCTCCTTCAAGGAGATTCCAATCCTGAAGTTTGACAGTGCTCAGACTGAACAATCAGCTGGTAATTCTGGTGTCAGAGCTATTTTTCACTCAAACAGAAAAGACAGAATCTCAGCTGCTACACGATACTGTGGTAATCCCAGAGCATGTGTGTGTGGGTGTGGGTGTGTATGAATAATTTACTCACAGAGTTCCTGACAAATAAATACAGAATCTCCAGAAATCCTCCGCACGCGCGCACACACACAGAGTTAAAAAGCTTATCGTTTATAACTAGTTAAGAGAATTCAACACTTTAATTCAGGTGTTTATTAAACTATTACTGTGTTGTTTTTGGCTGCACTGAGCTGAATCCTTGTCAGCTGTGTTTGAATACCAAAGGAACAAATCACAGTCTTTGTTTACCTGCTTTAGGTATGAACTATTTGATGGTTTAGCGCAAAGGGGGGAAGAAATTAAAATTAGGGGGACTTGTGTTGTGGAGGAGGGTGATAATTTGAGCAGAAGACATCCACATTTCATCTGTTGTGAGAAAACCTGGGCAAAGATAGCTCTGGATTTAACAGGTCACAGTCATGAATAAAGACTAACGCTCATTTATAAAACTGGCATTAGTATTACCTAAAGCAGAGTAACTGGGATTTCATATGTTTATTTTTTAACCATTGGGATTAGTCTGTTAGAGACACTACACTTGCATTTCCAGTGTGTGTTTCTCTTAATCAGACCCCCAGTGTTGAAAAATGAAGATAATGCTAAAGTGCAAAAAACCTTGTTTCCTTGTGTATCTACAGGAGGCTGGATCCAGAAGTCAAGAAAACCCCATTGATAATGCCCATAATAAAAGTCCCATTAGTCTATGATGTTCACAGCCTGGTACGATAATCAACCTGAAAGCTCATTTCCTTGTAGGTGTGTTGTAGCTGTAACGCCCTGCCTTGGATCCACTCTTTTATATGTTTCTAGATTAGCAGGAAGATAGAGTCAGCATTTCTTAAATGGCAAATGCCGTCTTTGGGCTTTATAACACCTCTTCAGAAGCCAGTGGGTGACAGAGAGCTTACATCCATGTTTTAACTGGATTTGGCTTCTCTGTTAGCATTAATGTGCATGTTTGCAAGTCTGTCCGTTGTCATTTCTTTTCTTTAAATTAGCATCCATTTTTAAGGAGACGCTTTGCTTAAATGATGGGTGCTTTAAATTTGCGTTAGCATTCATTCTTACAAGGACATTATTACTGTTATTAGTACCAGTCTTTAAATAAGGGTTAACATCATGTGAAACTAAGACGGCATGATGTTAAAAATCCATTTTTGTTTTTAAATCAGCATCTACAGAGGTTTGAAAATAGATTTTCATGAGGGTGATCATACATCCTCTTTTACCTGGACATGTCCTCTTTTTGGGGGGCTCTCTGGCTTTGTTCGAGGAAGTTTTGTACAGAAGTTTCAAGTTTGTATCATGTGGACTTACTGAGTTAGAAGTGCTTAAAACACATTCGATCTGACCCGAAAAACTCTCAAAATTAACTCTGTGTGACTCCATGACTCCGCCCCCGTGTAGTCATGTTGTTGTTTTGGGAAGTCAGAATATGGTCACCCTATATTTCATAGACTTTACAGAGTCATTTGCATCATTATAACCTTTGATGGTCTGACTGACATTTTGATTTTGTAACTGGTTTGTTTCTCAGTTTGTGCTTATATAAGATCAAAGGGAGACATCAAATGCTTGGTCATGATTGGTCAGTACTCCACGGCAACAGTCTGTTATCTTTTGTTGGCTCTATGTTGCTTTATAAAAACAAAGCATTTTAATGGATATGGCTCATATGACCTTATCAAACCACTGATTGAAGTCTCTGTAATTTGAAATTTTTATGGAGGAAAAAGAAAGATGAAACAGCCCATAAAAAACACACAAAGTCAAAGACACAACAGACAAGTACTTGATATGAGCAATAAAGTAATATAACATTACAACAGCTTTAAAGCTTTCCTCTCAAAACATGCTCACTGTGAGTACTGTGAACCTAGTGTGACTGTGAGGGGGTTATTTTAGATGTTCTAACCAAGGTACTGTGAAAATGCTGAACAGCAGAAAGACACAGGACCTGTTAGAGGTATCAGGCACACATTTACATTTGGTTGTTAGAGCTGGTGTTAACAATGATTTTACTTATTTCTGGGTCTAAACACCATCACGAGCACTTAGGCTCCCCTGTTCTTTGTGTCTTTTCTCTTTTTCAAACAAAACCTATTATCAATGTGATTTAGGTATCTAGCAATACTTTATTCTGCACATAACAACTGTTCATCTTCATTTTTTCAACCAGTGCACTTCACACAGTTTTTGTACTTACTGAATGGCTGATGCAAAGTTCGCTGTTTTGCGCTACAGTAGACGTACAGTGGTACAAGAAACCTTTACACAGGGGTACGAACTCAAATGTGGATTCAAAAAGTTTATTCTGTATGCAGGTTATTAATTCACCAATTCACACGTTCGAATATTCACCGAACACTCCGCCTAATTCTAATATGTTAAATCTTTTAGCTGTAACGCAGCTTCATCGGCTCAATCCTGACAAACAATGCAACCTCCAACACAAGCCGTGCATCTTAAACCTGCACAGTCCTCTGAGTCAGAGCAAAATTGACCAATTTATCCCAAATATTGACAATACTACATTTTTTTAAAGATATGAGCATCTTCCAATGCCTACAACCTAAACTTAACAGCCAGGACATTAATGATGTACACATATGTTGTTCGTTTAGAAAAAGACTCTGTTTTTAAATGAATGGTATAATTCTGTACAATTTTAACTTTGGTCCAAGAATTCCAAGAAAATAGTCAAAATTTGGAAAATAAATTTCAGATTTTATTTTATACATTGGCCTTCTCTCTTATATTATAACTAATTATGATAGTTTATGACTTCAAATGTTACTCATATGAGATCTGTATCTACTAATCAGTAACTGATGTTTACAGAGTCCAAAGCTTTGTGTTAACTTCAGGGAACTTTATAGAAGTGTAAGAATGAAATTGAAATGATAATATCCTCTTCTCTTTCTCATCACATAAACATCCAAGGGTGAAATACACAAATGATGGTCGATTTAGACTCAAAACTAATAAAAACAGCAAGGACCTCAGCATAATGGCATGATAAATGGGAACAGTTTCGTCTGAAGGTGTGACGTCACGTTATCATCCGAAAAACAACACTATAATCACTATAATCTCAGAATTTATTGTGAAAGTTTAGCAATATGAGGTGTCTGCAGCACACAAGCAGAAAGCAAACAGCCTGTTCACCATCTGTCCATCTATCTATGAATGTGTGTATGTGTGCATGTCTGTTTGTCCGTCTGCTCTTTCCATCAGACCACACAGCAGCTTCTCTCCTCGGCTCGTCCTCCACACTGCATCATAAAAATAGTTCTTCTTGTGTAACATAGAGAGACACCAGCAATATTTTACTGAGAAAACCTAAGCAGCAGAATCACAAACACATGAAGCCTGAAGACAGGCTGGTGTGCAAATAAAAGAGGCGCTGCAGTTTCTATTTTCTAATTAGAGCATTTTTCTGTCTTTTTTTTTTCTTTCTTTCTTTCTTTTTTTTTTTGTTTTTGTAAAAATTCTAAAATTAGGAATCCTTTTGTCAACGGAATCTGAATTAGTCTCTTAAACTGCCTATAACAAGTTTTGACGATTACATAAGGCTGATGGTGATTCATCTGCTGTTTCTTATAGTTAATCATTTGGTCTTTAAGACACTAACAAGTTGTTCATCTAGCTTCTTATTTTCCCAGAGCCAAACTGATAATTTAGTTAAACAAGAGTCTACATTTAAATGATTGGAGTAATCAAGGAATTTATTAAGGCAAACATTTATTTAAAATTGAAAAAGGGGAATTCTTATATTTACTCTGCAAATTGGGATTTTGTTTGTTTTAAATTTCATGCATAAAATGATAATTGCTGCAGCTTTGTCATCACATATGGCAGGATTGTGGTGGTTGTGGGTTTGCGGTTGGCATACAGGTGAATACAGAGTTACAGATTATACGTGGGATTTTTACCTTGAACAATGAGGGGAGTCAGAGTCCTAAAGTAAACTCTGAATCCAACAGCTGTGTCTCATTGAGATGTACTAATATAAAATTATGTCATGCTCCTGAGGGTGTTTGCAATGACAGACGTGTTCAGGCAAAGACTTTTCCCCTGCATCAGTGCAAAGAAAACATCCAGTTACACAACAAATAAAGCAGGTGAAACTGTACAGCCGGAACAGAAATTAAAGAAAGAGGTAATTTGTTAAATAAAAAGTTTGATACTACAAAGTATTGCATAAAACTGAATAAAGCTGAAGCATCAATGACTTCTTATTCACTCTGTAAACCCAAGATTGACTGTTACTTTTAACTACTTTTATACGTGGCTTGATAATGTTGAGAATAGGCTTCTTTTTTCACTTATTAATGTGCTTTCTAGAAGATGTCGTTTTACATTCAATGACCTCTTTTACAGCGCCCGATTTTATTTCATTATAATGCTGACGACACTCATCAATTGTTTTCAGAACCGGATGAGTTGGTTTCAGTTGTTTTCAGCTTGTTAGATAATTATGGGAGTGTTTTAATCTATTTATATCAGGCCTAGCAAGGAATATTTCCTTTCCTTCATTATCGGTAAAAAACTCAGCTTCGCAAACATCACCAATAACAGAGAGAAACTGAAGTACAAGTCTGTCGAAGTGGAGAATTTGATGAAGTGAGAGACTGCTTTTTGCCCTGTTCACAGAATTCTTATTAGTATTAACATTAAACTTTCACTAAAACAGAGTTCTAAAACTTTTTGTTATAGACAGTTGTGACCTGTTGCTATGAATCCCCTTTTTAAAGTTGGTTGAGTAGTTCTTGTCAAGGGGTAAATCACTGAGTCATGAACTTCAGATTATTCAGGGACCTCCAGGCTAAAAGTAAACTTTGTCTAACTCATGACTACTCTGACTAACTAACATAATGTATAAATTGTCTTTTTTGTTAGCCTAGCATGAGCACATGAAATTTACACTTTACACACACTGAGGGGCAAAGACTTCAGGGCGTGTAACCATCACTGATAAACCAGCGATCAGATATACCATTTCCCTCTAATCTCAGAATCAAGTCAAACTTTGACCTGCCTGAAGTATGAATTTAACTGGGGGTGTAAATCCCTGGGGAATTTTCGCATATCTGATTGACATAATTGGTTTATATAATTAAATTTAATAATTAAAAAAAGGCAAATCCTGCTGGGAAAGAACCACTCTTTAAGTTAATAGCACTTTATCAACCTGATGCACAGGTGAGTGATTCAAACCCTGGGAGAAATTTCTAGGTGTGTTGTCTCTTTGGTTTTCTATTTTATGGAAAAACACCCCAGTGAAACTGTGAAAACAAAATAAAACATGAAGTTTGGAGCCATGGTGACAGCAGTGTGGTTAACAGACTACTGAGTTAGCATAGGGTTATAATAAGTTATGTAATTTGTTTGCTGATTTCTAAAAAGCTGTCAGACGTGTTTTTCTTATTTTTGTGTTGGAGAAGTTTTTCTCCAAACAAAAATATCAGTAAAAACTAGGAAAACTGTAGCTGTAAAACTAGAAAATGTAACAGACAATTATTGATTTGTGTCTCTTGAGAACAAATCTGTTTTATTAGTGATTCTTGAATTCGGAGTTTCTGGTCCCTCTGGCCAAGTGAAACTACGCATGTTCTCCAAAATGTTGTTTCCATTTTTGAAATCGAAGACCAAGGTCAGACTACACATTATAAGGATGTTTATAGCCCAGATGGCAAATGTGGGTTTTGGAACCAACAGATTGATCATTTTATCCTGTGTGGTGTGTCATAGCGAATGACAATCAAGGCCACATCTGGGAATCCTCCCAACCCAAAGTCTGGCATGTTTGATTTTTCATTCTGCCTACGTCTTCACAGAGCGCTCCGCAAAAATGTATAAGCGCAGACAAACAAAACTGTGAAGCAAAAGAGGGGTGATGAAGTTGACGCTCTGAGATTGAAGTGTGAGTCAGAGGGAAACTGCTCAACCCTGGCAACAACATCCCTGCCTCTATCATGGGTTGTCAGGCGTCTGCTGTGACAGACTGACTGACAAAAGAGAAACGTCGGTGTGAAAAAGCTGACGTACTTTAGAAACATGTTGAGTGACATCAGGCTCCATCAAAAGTTCCATTACAAAGCATTAAGTTTGAAGAGTTTTATCCCCAGTGGTTTCTCACCTTTTCGTCCTATTCTGGGCAGCAATAGACAAACAGGGTTCTGTATCATAAATCACAAACCAGCTGGGATATAAAGACTCAGAAAAAACAAGAATACTTAAAAGAGTCTTCAATTTGAATGGTTTTTCGAAGATGTGTTTTATCTCAACTGTAAAGTATACTTTTCTTTATTTTTGCTTCTTTACTTTCCTCTGTTTTTATTCATCAAGAGAGCAATGAAAATTTTGCATCCACAAGACATTGCTTGCCATCAGGGATGTCAAGGTGCATGTATTCATACTGAATTGTGCAGGTACAGGACTTTTGACATGGTGCAGATACACACTGATCCTTACAAATAAATGCATGTGGAACAAATAGTCCTCCAAATCTTGAGTTCCAACTAAGGCCTGGACATAGGAGCCCACCACCAACAGCATGCTCGGCCCATCATGGTGGCCACAACGAACAAGAACCAAGAGTTTAAAGCTCTCCTGCAGTCATTAAGGTTTACAGTCTGGGATTAATTGTACCAGTATGTTCAACAGCAATTTAAACGTTAGCGTTATTAGCAATATTGGGTTCATTGGTGAAACAAAAAAAGGAAACAGCTAAATAGCTTTTTTGTTGTCCTCCTCAATGGACTGGTATAGGTATTCACCAAAAACACATAGACATCTAAGGACTTATCTTTTCTAAACACACTTTGCTTTTTTATCAAGTCAGTGAAAATGTCTGGCTTTTCCACTTTTGACAGTCATGTCAAATTATCCATCCATGCGTGGATCTTTAGTCTCTTCCTGTTTATTAGTGGTCAGTTATTCAAGTAACACTCTGTAGCACACAGTAATTCAGTACATTTACATGTCGTTTAAAATATATATATATATCCTTGGAATAACTGAAACTGAACTTTTTAACTACATGTCAACATGTTGGTGCGACTGAAATCTAACCAAGTCAGTTGTTTTCGTAGTTGCACAAACATACCTAGATAATGTAGTTGGGGATCACTTCACCCTTTCATGTATATGGCTCCATTGGATTAAAACTGGCCTGAACTGGACTAGGCTGGAAGTTGAATAGCATGAATGTGTTGCTTTTAAGCAAACAAAACCTTGACAGATGAAGGATGTATTAAAAGAAGAAAAAACTTTTTATTGTATGAACAAACAGTTCAGAGCTGTAAAAGTGATGGCGTTTTCATCAGTTGACGTAATAGGTCAACGGGGAGATGACAAGCTAAAAGTGGGAACGTTGCTAGCAGTGGTAGCAGAAGCGATTATGCTTCTGTTAATAATCTGATTCTTGCATGGTGATTGTAAACTGAGACAAGGACAGTACTCCAGTTTAATCTATTGAGTGACAGCCGTAGCTCAATTTAACGGTGTGTGCGAATGTATTATCCCCTCAGAAACCTGAGGTAACTTTTGCCAGATGGAAAAAAGCCAGAAACAGCTAGTTATAGCTGCTGGTTGTTGTATTCAGGGGATTTTTAGCCTCCAGCTGGCTCTGCTCATGAAACATCATCACACTGTATCACAAACACTAAAAGGTTTTATAAAGGATGGTTTGTTTCCCTTACTCTACTGAACCAAACTATGACTCAAAACTAAGGTACAAACTAATATCATAGATAATTGCGGGATTAAAAAGTACATTAATGTCTCAATGTCCTTATTACACTTTTACCAAAATGCTACCAAATACCATCAGCTGTCAGCTGTCATGAATCTTTTGAAGAGTGTTGTTTGCATTCACAGCGGGGTTAAATCTTTGCTGTGACTGTTCCTCCAGTTATCTGACATGCCATCAGGTAACACCTGATCGTATCTCTGAGGAAAGGAGAATTATCTGTCTGTGAAGATTAACAATACAACTGATAAAAGGTGACCACATAAAATTACATGTATTTATTGGCCAAAGATTATTGTTTATCAGATTTTAATGGGCAGTTGTATACGAAAATACTCAGCCAGTTCCGGTTTCTTTATTTTGTCAGTCTTGTTTAGTCATGTGAGTGGATTTTGTCACATTATTCAGCACCGTTTCATGATTTAATGTTACTGTTTTAAATGTGAGTGTGATGCCGACAAGCTGCTGGAGTTATTGTGCGTTGAGTAATCGTTTGATCCCTTTCTATGAGGCTGGACAAAGTCTAAGCTGTAATGCTTTATTGTGCATTTAGTTTGGCTCTAAGGAATGCTGCATTCCTTCAACGAACAAGAAATAAGACAAAAAACCATTGTGATCAATCCAGTTGGAGTTATTGTTGCTCTGCCTCTTGGAGACAGTTTGGTTTTGATCTTTCAGCAGGTTTGAAAGTCAAACTATCGCCAGAACCTCTTGTCTGTTTCATTTAAAGCCTGACGAAAAGGCGCACTAACAGGTGTATAAACAAGTGTATTCTGCTGTCTCATTCAAACACACAGACTTCAGGCTGTGTAGAGCTTGCAGTCATGTGGTCAGAGTGTGTGTACGACCTGTTCAGGTGTTATTCAGACTATTGTGCGTCTCAAACAGAACAAGTTTCTCAGGTTATTTTCATTCAGACATCAGAGACCGAGCCATTGTTCTTCTTTCAATGACAACAACAATGTTCAGTTTCTACTGAGACTGTTAGCACGGAGCTAACCTGCTAACCTGCTGCCGTGTGTATCAGATTAAACACTCGTGGCTTCAGGGCCAGAAAAGCAAACAGAGATGTAAATGATGCAGAGATCCTCAGGAAGAGGAGATAGAGTCTTACTTTCGGACAGGTCTCCTTTCTTCCTCCTCATGGAGCGGTAGAAGCGGGAGCCTCTCAGTTTCTCTCTGCTCAATCCAACAGAGGGTTCATCTTCATCATCATCATCCATGTGACCTGGAGGAGTCACAACTGGGGGCTTCTCTGTTTCTTGTGTCTTCCCCCCCCATATGCCCCTGAAGAGGGCAGTCACAGACATGACGGATGATTCCTTATTCTTCATTGAAAAAGTGAGCAAAGGACAAAAACTTTCTGAAGGATTTTTATAGATATTATCCTGAATCCAGGAGCAGATCCATGTAGAGAAATGAAAAGTTATGAAAAGTTAATCCAAAGAAAAATAAGAAGAGATTCCCGGGCTCTGAGTGTCGTCTGTCAAACAGTGTTGTTAGCTACACAGGCAGTCTGCTGAACCGAGAGAGTGTATTTCTGCCTAAGCTGTAATTATTGCATTTATGACTCTCTCTCTCCTGCTCTTTGTCCCTCCTGTCGGCCTTCCTCCCTCCCTCCCTCGTCGCTCTCTCTACACCACCCTGTTACGTGCTGACATTCCTGAACTGAACCTGGCCTTACCAGCCCGCCTGACTCTCTGCTCCTAAACTCTGTCTGTGGAGGAACCTGAAAAGCCACCTGATGACTAAAAACAGTCTGTTCACTTCAGATCACTCCTCTAATTGCCTCACATTATTATTAATGTTCAGGTGAACTTAAACAGGTTGAAGCAGGAAATCAAAAGCTATATGAAGCAGTGTGCAGGGGGTGTGTGTCACCTCCCTTTGTGTGTTCCTGTGTGTTAACATATGTGTGTCCCTGGCCCTGTTGGACTGTACAGTACAAGAGTTTTATCTGCAGTCAGCTGACAGGGAGAGTTTAAAGTTCACTTTCTCCACACAGCAATAAGCTGCCTTTGCTGCTGCTCACGCACACACACACACACACACACACACACACACACACACACACACACACACACACACACACGAGATCTAAAATCCGTGAAACAACCAGCACTATGTCTGTAAGGAGAATTCCCTACATTGTTTTCAATGCAGTAAAACATTCATGGCATTAAAAACAGATTGTGCTCATGTATTTCATGAACTAGCTCGGGGTTAACTTGTTTTTTTACTGTTTCACCATCAACCCAGAGTATTCCCAAATATTTCAGCTTTTTTATATTTATTTTTATTTTTATCCTCCTCTCTGTTTCTGGTTTTTCAGCTGGGTAGAAATTTCAGCATATGGAAAAGCCTGATACTGACTTGTGGAGCTGACACTGAAGCCTGCCTTCTGTCCCACGCCGCTGAAAAGAAGTACACCCACCAAGCTGTAGGGTGAAGATTCTACCTGAAACTTAGTCAGTCATGGTGGACATACTGCTCCTTCTGACACTAAAGCACAGAAACTCTGCACACACAACAGCATGACTTCACACTGGAACAAACGATAAGCAAATAATAACTACATTTTGAAACTTCCAAATGCAGGTCATTAATTCTACTGCACCCGGCATATATTATGTAACAAATAATACTATTATATACCAGGCTATGTGAGTTAAAAGCTATACTTGATGTTTTAAATGACCTTTAACCAACATAACTCCCTTAAATGGTTTCAGATTTGCAAAACTAAACTTACAAACCTCTGCTAAGCAATATCTCAGCAATGCATTTTTTTGTGGCTGAAGACTGCATACAAATAGTAAATGCACAAGAGGCAGACACCCTCTCTACCTTTAAGAGTAGGCTTAAAACTTCCTTTTGCTAAATATTAATTAGGGCTGATTCAGGTTTGGGCCAGCTCAGTTATACTACTTTAAGTTTAGACTGCAGGAGGAACAAGAACACAGAGTGCCTTTCTCTCCTTCCCTATCTATCTGTCTGCATGCAACTAACTTTGAATCATTATTTTACTCCAGTTACAAAGCTAATGATAATGGCAGAACTTTATGACTCTCTCTAATGACTTGTTTTAATGTCAAACCCCATCACTTAGCTCAACATCATTATAACAAATGTGCTATTACTATAGACCTGTTGACTTTAATTTTCCATGAATCAAACTGAGATCAGTTTTTGATAATTAATGCTGTTCCTGGTACACATGTTTGTTCCATTATCGCTGGCATTAACCGTACATGCTGTGTGTACCATTTTTGTAGTTGTTGTTTTTTTTTCTGCTCATCTCTCTGCATCTCCCTCTATCCCCTCTTTAATCTTAACGCAGTAACGGCAGATAACTCTCTAACATGAGTTTGGTTCTGCTCAAGGCTTCTGCCTGTTAAATGAACACTTTTTCTTTTCAACTGTAACTTGCTAGATGCTGTAAAGTGTCACACTCATGGTAGCACTCAACCTTGTCCCATCTTGATGTTGGGCTTTTGTAAGTATAATTGAAGAGTTTGGTCCAGACCAGCTCATTTTGTTAAGTGCCTTTGTTGTGAATTGAGGATGTACACATAAAGATTGGTTGACAGTTTTGTGCACTTGATTGGTAAAGCTGGACATTGGTCAGTTACTTTGAAATTTATCATTACTGAGAATGTGATTCATTTAGGTTTCACATACTGTCAAGCAGCATGGGTCACTGCTGATAGAGGTTAGGTGTCAGATCAGTTCACTGACAGCAGGCAGAAGAAAACTAAAAACTTTTTGTAAAGTAAATTCATTGATTGATACATTTTACTGTTAAAATACAATAGAATGTTTTTGTGTGAAAAGACTACTTTAATGTGTAAAATTAACATGTTAATTTTAATAAAATAATGTGTTTCATTCTGTCCACAAGGGGGTGCCAAAATTGACACAAACCAAAAGTTCTTATAGCAGCTTTAAGAAAGGGGGTTAATGTTTGATTTTGGTGTCAGTGCTCAGAGGAGGGAAAAAAACTGGAATCGGTGGATCAAACCTTGAAAAACCTGAAACTAGCTCAATAAATTTTAGTCAGTGCATCTTCATGACAGGATAGAAGATAAATAACTATCAGAAGATAGCCCGTGGGTTCAGAGCTCTCAGCCAGGTGCAGAACACACCTTGCACAGTGTAAATAAACCATACAGGAAAAAAATGCATTTTCATCTACTTTAAAGTCCAAAACAAACCATTTGAGAAAAGCTGGTTGTGTTCAACATGTTGGGATTTAGATGGAGCTGGAGAATGGAGCAGCATTTTTTACATTCCCCAGAGTATTTATAAAGAATTTACAGGGTTTTTTTTCGCTGCCTAATGGATTTCATAAATCCACTCTTTTTCTAATTTTGTACGGATGGATTTACATTTTCTTTGTGTTTGTGCAGGGAAACAACTTATTCACTGTCGTCATGTGGAAGGGAGATAAACACAAACACTGAAAATACAAATGATTACAAATGAAATATTACACTACGAATAAGATTGTACAGCCTTTGTACAACTCTATTATTTCTATAAATCTAAAATGTTGTTGTTTATGAGACTTGTGAGATCTTTAAAATGAATCAGAGGTTTTGTCAGGACATCAAGAAGGGTGAAATACTCTCTTTTATTGTTTTTGCCCTCTACTTCCTGCTGTCTGCTCAGTTTGGAGCTTGTGATTTATTTTTCTCAAAGGGCTTTATGGGAGAAACTGAACACAGAGATATGATCTTTTCATTACCAATCTCCCCTGAGACTCAGTCAGGAATACCATCTAATTAATAATAGAGCCCTTTGGTTGCTTGCTGGAAGGGGTTGGACCTCACCAATGTGCAAGTGAGAGAACTGTTTGCAATTGAAAGATTGCAAAATGTGCAGTCACTGAAGATCCTTTCACACCGGGACCGTTTTTGTCGTGCGATTATCTCGGACGTCAATATTTTTTTCAAACCCGTATCCTGTCAATACAAGCATTCACATCAGCGACGTTTTCCCGTTCTGCGATATTGCGGCATTTATTTTTTCGGATCATGATCGATTTTTTCTAAAGTTTCGCATTCTTTGTGCCCACTTCTGACCAATTAAATTGCGTGTTGTTGCGACGTCTGATTCACCGGTATATCCAACATGGCCGACCGGCTGATTGTTTGTGTGTCGGAGAACAGAGTAATTTTTAATAAAAGACACAAACATTACAAAGATAACGACCTGAAGGAAAGCTTGTGGAGAGTCACATTGTCGGATCTCTCATATGACGATAGTTTGTGTGTTTTAACAGTTCGTTAAACGTCTTTGTTTTAACTTTCATCTATGCAAAAACGTAAGCTAATGGTTGTTACCATAGTTTCATCTGCTTATCTTATTGACTATGATTGGCTATAAGTGCTAACCGTTTGGCTTGAGCGTGTGATGACATTTCCAGCTTTTCTAGCCAATCAGAGGTGAAGGGGGCGGGACTTTCCCCAGGAAAAGTCTTCCCCGGGATGCGTCTTTTTCCCACCGGAAAGTCGCAAGATCACGTCAGACTTGATGTGTATAGTCAGGCGCGTCAAAAATCTCCTCCAAATATTTCGTAATTTCGCGTTCTATATTCGCGTCGGCCCCGGTGTGTAAGGACCTTTAAGTGTGAACATATTTAAAAGCCAGATGAATAGCCTATGATCAAGAGAATTGTAAGAGAGTTGTAAAGTGGAGCCAATGCAAAGCTCTTGTACTCTAGTGTTGATTGTAAAAGAAGCCTCACACTTACAGTCGAATCTTTGGTTTGCTGGGATCCAATCTTAACCAATTATGTGTGACTTCGGACAAAACAGATGAACAAAGAGATGCAGAGACAAAACAAACAGGAGGGACACAGGAAAATAGAGAAAATTGTATGTAGCTGGAAGTCACACATTTTTAAATAAAGCTTTGCAGAACTATGTTTGTATTTAGAGAGCGGCCATGCAGGATCTTCAGGTTGACAGATGAAGAAAAAGGAGAAGAAAGTGGTTATTTTGTGCTCTAAAGTAACTGAACTGAATTTATATTAGTATCTCAAATGCCTCACAAATCTTAAGTCAAGTTTCCAACAACTTAAAACAAAATACTACTCCTCAAACGTAGAGGACAGACAACACAAGAAAGAGACTGACCTGCCTGTAGAGGGCAATATCAACATCCTCAGCCTGCGGTTAACAGGAAATTCATCATCCGTAGAAGAAGAAGGATCTCCTTGGTTGTTGCCATGGTTGTTGCAGCGGCACACATGGATGAATGATAAAAAAACAACAATACTGACGGAATTGTCTTCACTGTTTCTGTCACTGTGTTGCAATAGCGGAAAATAATGGCTGGCAGCAGACTGGAGCGGTTCGGGACCGTGTTCTCCCGGTAAGAGAACAACTTTACACCGTCGGTCTGTTTCTTTCTGCTAGCGTAACGCTCCGTCTAACAACGATGAGACCTTGACATGTTAATAAATGAAAAAATCTGGTCGTTTCTCAGTTATCACAGACTGTTGACAGAGAACCGAAAGACAACTTTAGTAAATGGAAAGAAAAACATGAGGTTTAGTTTCTCAAGAGCATGACCGAGTGACGGCTCAGCGTGATGACGTATTTTGAATGCGACAATATGAGCTCACCTCAAAGAAAAAAAAGTGAATTACGGCAATAATAAAAAATAAGTTAAACTTACAAGTTACTTAGGACCAAATCGTTCAACCTTATTCAAAGTTTACATAAACAGAGTGCCGTATTTTTTGTCTTAATTTCTTCCTAAAGGGATATCCCGTCGTAAAATTAATTTAGGGTCAAACACACCGTAATAGCGAGTTAGACACCCCCTCGAGAGGTGAATGTTGCCGACCGCTTGCTTCTCTAGTTATACCAACTTTAGTAACATCTGCTCGATAGTAATAAACAGCCATAAACAAACCTCAATCCAAAACACCACTCTATAGCCGCAAATAATGCTCAGAACAGCACCTAACTTCATCATCAGTACATAAAGGGTCCCAGCCACAGTACTAGCCACCAAACATCTTTTTAACTTTGCCTAATTTTTTAGCAAAGAGACTAAACACAACTCACCTACTCTCTTCCAGCAGCTGCTTGTTTGTAGCGAGATGTCAGGCCAGTCCGTTAAAGACTGCAGTGGGGTGACGCAGCTCAACGAAGAACATTTATGATCATTACTTTATCATTTCCTTGAAGTAATAATCACTGTAATCATTTTGCACTGCAGACGCGGTAGTTCTTCTGCCTTAGCATCTTGGACTGATTGCATTTCCAGGAAAAAACTATCATAAATGTTCTCCCTTGAGCTGCGTCAACCCGCTGTGGTAATGGACTCGCCCGGAGGACTCGTACGAATAAGCGGCTGCTGGAAGAGAGTAGGTGAGTTGTGTGAAACAAGAAATCAGGTAAAGCTAAAAAGATGTTTTGTTGCTAGTGCTGTGGCTGGGACCCTATATGTACTGTTGATGAAGTTAGGTGCTGATCTGAGCATTATTTGTGGCTATAGCGTGGCTTTTTGGTTGAGCACGTGGCTCTCTGTATTGCTATCCTGTGGTCATTACTAAAGTTGGTATAACCAGAGAAGCAATCGGTCGGTAACATTCATCTCTCGGCGGGGTGTCCAACTCTGTGATATGTTGTGTTTGACCCTAACTTGATTTTACGATAGAATATCCCTTTAAATAAAAAACTCTAAATAAAAACAAATATATGAAATGTTATTGTTTAAAAATGTAAGAATGAGACAGGAGCTAAAAATAACATATTAATGTTATCATGTGTTTGAAATGAAGTTAAAGTGTTGTGTGCAAATCCGCTCTTTACTGCCAATGGTACATTTGTAAATTTCTGATATATTAAACCTTATTTTGTGATTTTCAGGGTTCGAGATCTGTTGCGCTCTGGAGTCGTAAAGCATTCAGAGAAACCAATCTGGTATGATGTGTACACAGCTTTTCCTCCAAACAGAGATCCTCTTTATGTGAAGCCTCTGCACAAATGCCAGCCCCAAAAAAAGGATACTGTACCTGAGATCTTCTACAAAGAGGATGCCATCAGAGCGTAAGACTTCCTAACACTGGTTGATTTAATTTAAAGTACAGAGAGTGAATGCAGAGCTTTGTGATGATGCATGTAATGTTTTCAGTCAAGTGTTTGCAATGATTCCTAACGCATAAAAATCAACAAGACATGGCAAGACAAGACTACAAACAAAATGTTCTCAAATTTGAGCTTGTCTAGATATTCTGAAAAAAAGGTTGATGATATGCTGCTGTTTTTACATCTCTGATAACAGTTTTTGTGTCTGTCCATGTTCAGGAAGTTCTATGAGGTGTATGCTCCTGGTCGACCTTTTGAGCTTTCGAAGTCCAGTTTTGTCTCTACCTCTCAGAAGTATGTATTTCAATTTAATACACATAACCAGTTTAACTGTATGTTTCGAAAAATGTTTCTATTTTAATGTGTGTTAAAAACACAATGATCTATCTAATCCTTTGTGTCTGCCGTGTTTCTCAATGCTTTGTGTTTCTGCAGGTTTGTAAATAAGTACACAGAGTTACAGAGCCAGGGTGAGTTTAAAGACTCTGTTCTGTTTGAGGAAACAGGCAAGGCTTTACTCGCAGAGGGCATCGTGCTCAGACGCAGAGGAGATCCTTTAGTAAGTAGAACTAGAAATAACTACAGCTATTTGAAAACAATCAGAGCTGTAAAGGACTAATCGACTTACAGTTTGCAGGGAAAACAACTTATCAATTAACCTAAAAAAATAACTGTCATTTCTGAAATAAACTGCATGCCTTACTTTTATGTGTTAAAACCGGTTTATTTTCAAGGAGTGGTGACAGTTCTGCTTTTATCCTGCAGGTGTCAGCAGAGCCCAGAGACCAAGTTCTGGGCCTGAGGTTGTCACAGCTTCTTACCGAGCAGCAGACAGCTTCTGACAGCAAGGAGACAGCACAACCCAGCGAACACAGTGACACAAACAAACCGTAGACCTCAGCAGCTGGAGGGTCATGTGATCAGCGGGTCCACTTTTATAGGCAGAACTTGTGTTCTTTGTTATATTCACAGCAGTGAGTCCTGATATGATCACCAGGATCTCAGCCAATATGATGAACTGACAACAGCTTGTGACTATAGATGTGCAGCTTCATGTGTTCTGGACTGATGTCGCTAATATGTTAACTATAAGAAGTTACAGCAGGATGTTGAAATGATACTAAATCAAAAGTTTTCTCAACTTGATTGTCTTCAAGAGTCTCAATTTGGAAATTCGTGCATGCTTGTAATAAAGATATTTATTTCTCTGCATTGTGTTGACACAAGTAAAATGAGGCTATGGTAAAAAAAAAAAAGGGTCAATCAAATCATTTCACTGTTAATTTCACCCTTACTTTGTCATGCTATCACAATTAGCTCACGATTATAAAGTTTTCCTTTCAACATTATCTGTGTTTGGGGGGGCTGTATAGGGAAAATTAGACTTTTTGAAATGTGGTTTATGAAGTATTTGCTAAGAGTATGTATTAGCCACAAGAGATTTTACTCAGCTTAGCCTTTTGTCAAGAAACTGGCGATAAAACTGAAAAAGAAACAAGCCTGTCGGCCCCTCCAAACAGGGTCAGCTCTACCATGTAAGAGAGCAACTTGTGATAAACACTGACTCAAACATTTACGTCTTTGAGGGTAAATACACCAAATTGAAAACTTGCAGCTCTTTACCATTTCTTCATGTCATAGATGTAATATATCTGTTACTACCATAGACTGTATATAGAATGGACAACTTCTGCCTCCTCGCTGGGTGAAGCCACTCCGAGAACAGCACACTCTGGCGGCGGGCTGCAGTATAGGTCATAAATCCCACCTGCGCCAGCAAAGTTTATGGGGCTGTGGACAAACTTTAGAAATTTATTACACAGAACATATATTTTTTCCCCTGCTGCCTGCGATGTTGACATGTAGTTATCGTAAGACTGGTTTGTGCTCGTCCTCTTTTTTTTCTGTGCAGCTCTGTTTTTAAAAGTTATTAGGGGTTCATGTTTTCTATGATTGACACCTGGTACAGCCTATGGGCATACAGAGATTGCGGAGCTTACCCGAGGGATACACTGTTTGAGCAGAGCATCATCACAGCGACTCTCCCGCCGAATGCGCACAATGCTATTGTGCAATGTTGGTCTCAGGAAATGGAGAAAAAACACAGAATTGCCAAGAGCTTTTTGGCTTCAAATCCATATGCTGGCGGAAGGTGGAACCAAGTTGTCCATGGTATAAACAGTCTATGGTTGCTACACTGAAAGCCTTCTGAATGGCTGTTTCGATCTATGATATACGAGTGTTAACTTTTGCTCAGTACTCTGAAATGTTAATTTTGTTATTTTTGCATCTTAGTTTGAAAAGAAACTTTTCATCTTCTCTTGCTGCTACACACACACACACAGTCCAAAGTAATCTGTCTTACTTCAATCTGATTACAGAACTGAAGTTTGAAATTGAATTTTGTCCTATGCAGGTCTCTGTGTGTGCATCCTAACTTCTGATGATGATTGGTGAGTTGTTGCTCACTGGAGCATAAATAATCTGTTTTGTTATTTTCTCGCTGTAATTCAATCTCCACACTGTCACAAAGGTAATTACCCATCATTTATTCTGATTCTATTAACACCTGCTACCTCTGGAAAACAGTTAGGACAGGTAAACTGCAGGGATCACTGATGGCTCTCCAGTCTGCTTTGAGCTTCAAATATACTTTCTAAAGTATTTTTATTTTTTTTGTTGCAGAGCTGTAATTTGTCTTTCATCTCTTCCAATAATCCAGCATATGTCTTTGTGCAACGTTATATCTTGTACAATCAAAGGTATCATAGTTCTCCTGTATTTTATAAGAAGCATGTTCCCATTCTCATTTTCCCTGGATTTATTGTACCACACAATTTGAAGCTTCCTTTTTTCTTGCTCACCTTGAGTCGAGAAAGAAAGAGACAAAACTTACTGTAAATTAAATTCAAAGTCATGCTGTAAAAAGAAAAAAAAACAGGAGATTCTCAATTGAAAAATATAAAATAGAGGGTGTCAACTCCTTCTTGTCATTCACACTGCAACAGTTCTCAGTTCTGCACTTCTTTTAGAAATCATAAATAACAATAGGAGGACCCCACATTGTTTTCTTGATGTTCACGCTGTAAGTACAAGAAACAGTTAGGGCCTGTGTCCACTGACTCCTTTTTTCCTGTGCTAGGCGAGCCAAAAACCCAAGATTGAGAGTGCTTTCTCAGTGTTTACTGGGCGCAATTACCAACGTTGTCCCACAGCATTTTTGCTCGCCTTAGATGTGACTGTTGAATCAGTAGTTATTTTTTTCTGCTTCAGGGTGCCAGTTTGGGGTTTAGTTGCATGCCTCGTGTACAGAGGCTGTAGTCCTTTAGTGGTTGGGTTTGAGGTAGGTTTCTACCTGTAGTCCTGCTTGTAATTGCCAAGCTGCAGTCACTCGTCTTGAGAAACAAGGCCCATGCGCAAGTGTTAATACAACAGTTCCCTGAGTATCCTTACTGCAGTTTAAAGGACTGAACAGAAATAGAGATGCAGTGAAGTCCAAATTCAAACAATTTAAATTTCTAAAGCCACACAAACTGCAACCAGGAACATACAGGCATCATCTGTGTCTCTTCATAAACCATCCTCTTAAACTTTTCGGAGGATTTCATCTGATGAGCTGTGTCATTGGCTCTGTCGCCCACAGAAGGAAACACATTACGTTTTCCATTTTTGTCTTATGAGTAACATTAAATATTAAACCGTCATAGGAAGGGGGACAATGAGAAAATGGCCGTTATTAATTATCACCTTGAATAAATGATAAGATCTGATCTGGATCATCCATCTTCCCTCATTTTCTGCTTTCTTACGTTTCTTCTTCTGTCTTCTTCTTCTTCACTGAGAGTCTCTGTAATATCGTGAGGAGACTGTTTTGCGGGAAATTTTTTTTTTTCCTTTTTTGACCTCTGAAAAGCAGCAGCACTACATGAGATGTGTTTGGAGATAAAGTCACCATGCACCTGTCACCTCTAAGCCACGCTTGTACGCCCACATGTCTGTCACTGCAAACTCTTTGTATCCTCTAAAGAGCCGAAAAGCAGAAATTGTCCATCACACACTCGGGATAAAAGTGCAGCTCCTCTCAGAGTAACGTCACGTCTCCTCTGTCTGTTAGTCTCTGACCTCAGACGGGCTCTTATCTGCCCGAGCTTCAGGACAGGAACAAAAGCTGCAGGACACACAAAAAGGTCTGATAGGCCATCGGTGGCTGGGCTGTCTCCTCACAAAGACTACCACTATGAAATTGATGAATGGCAGTTGACTTGTATAGCAATGGATGGTCTAATAAATGCTGGTATGGCTGATGGATGACACACGTTAAGGTTATGTCCTGTATGGCCATTTGGCGTACATAATGCAAGCGTCATCCATTTGTAAGATTTATTGATTGATGGAACCTGGGAATCAGAAGAAATGACATGAGTGAACTCAAAAGGTGAATGCTGTGTGCACACTCAGTCATAAAAAGGACAAAAAAAATGTGTTGACAAGGGCAACTGCTCTGTAACGACCCAAATGATGTCCATTTGGAGCTCTGTGCCTTTGCCTCTCGTAAGTTTTACCTAATGTAAGGCCACATAAACCATCTTCTGTCAAAATGTCTTGGCTCATAGGAGTCACTATTATCAGCTCTTAACAGGATGGGGTAGGTTCCCAAAACATAATCTCAAGTAAGCTGCTGTAGGTTGGATCAGCTGTGCAGAAGTTTCAAACTTTGCCTAGTTTGAGCGTAAAGCTGCAGTCGTTTTCCACATGTTGAAATCTGCATGGGCTCTCACTACATTATACGGCTTCAGTATATCATAGTTGGCGCACCATTCACAGTCACCATTACAGTATATCTGACACTATAGGTTAACTACCATCATAGATGTTTGTCATATTTCACAGCCCTCTCTGTTGTATTGACAGGAGTTCACGGTTATCATCAATCCACAAAAAGAAAAGCTTTTCTCTGATTGGCTACGGAAAGTGTAAACACCATATCTGCGTCTATATTTTAGTTAACTTACTTTCAATGAATACAGATGCTTAATTCACAAGAGTGTTTTGAGTACTTCACATTAAAAGCAAAACAGGAGCTGTTCTGGTTGGAAACAGTTTTATTACATCTTTTATGGATAAACATCAATTGATAAATCTTTTTCACAAACATATTTTATCATCATAATTTGAAAATAAAAATATAAAATATGTTTCACCCATTCATTTACTTCCTTTTTTAAAGTTTTTATTCTTTTTTTATTTATTTATTTTTTATATATATTTTATTTTTACTGCTGTTTCTTATTGTAGTTAACTGTTGCTAGGCCATGGTAGTTGGTAGCACTTTTGCTTTCCTGTAGTGACAGTTTATTTAGTTTTATAATGCTCTGTATGCTTCTTACTTGCTTTAGTCAGAGAAAATATATAGAGACAACCAAATAAACAATCGATAAAAAATTATGTCATAACTTAGCAGCTCTAAACCTGAAAACTCTGCAAAGTGGCATTGACCAGTGCAGTAGTGTACCAAAAACTTTAACTGTTTTTAACTGAGCCAGTGTTTCAATTCAGGGGCTGCAGCCTTCGAAGGCCATGTTTGAAGACTGAATACCCCACAGTGGCCCATCGAAGGCTGTCCCATTTTTGAGGCTCTTTTAAATGAGGCTGACTCTTTTCCTGGGCCGTTGAGGCTGCATCAGGTGCATCATTTACAGCCCTACCTATCCTGTTTTAACTCATAGCAAGCTGTATAAATGTTGAAAAGTACAGATGCATTTAAATTTGAAATCATCTTTGAAATGTTGGTGTTGGTCTTAAAGTTACAACACACTAGCTATGCAAGGCGGTTAGTTCAGTAGCCACCTGCTGCTAAGCAACAAAAGCAGCACTATGTAACACCATTGCCATCGTAGTGACATTATTATGCAATCCTCTGAAGGGTTGACTGTCTCAGTTCAGTTGGGACCCTACCAGTCTAAGTTTGAGTCTTCAGATGGTTGCAGCCCCTGGATTGGGACACAGCTTGAGGGTGCTGGAAGTCCAGTGACAATAGACAGCCAACACTGAGGGTGTTTTTACAAAGAGGAAGCTGAGTGCTGAAAACACTGAACTGCATTTAGATTGAAGTGATGCTCCAAGTGGGAAAACAAACAAATAAACAAGCAAAAAACTGGATCTGTGGACACAGCCCACGGTTTCTGATTCATGTGTCTTATTAACATGGTCAGCTTTAGCATGATCTATGTTAACATGAGCAGTCAGCTGTTACCTGACACCCACCCCAAGATTCAAGTTTCAGAGGATCATTGGTTCTCTCACAAACACACAATCTTATCAAAAAAAGTGTGACATTAATCAGCTGCAAACTGCTGTCAACTTCAAACAACAGCAAAAATGGAGCCATGCTACCTTTAAATGTGAGCTACATTGTTGTCTAAATCATAATGTGAAGTACTGAACCTTTATATGACGATTTGACAATACAGCACTAGGTCAGACACAAGAAGAGGTAAACAGCTCATACTCCCAGACAGGTAGAGATTCCTAACACCTGCTGCTAATTAATACCTATTATTGTGCAGAGATAAGCCTCTATAGTTTAAAGACCTGCAGGCTGAACACCATTTCCAATCTCAGTTAAGGCACAGTTCTGTTGTATCTCTCTAAGTTCAGGTCTAAAAAGAGGTATTTTTTGGAGGCAGAAGTATTTTCATCAGATGGTGCCGCACCTTTTTTTCTAAATATATATATAGTATATATATAAAACTGTCTTGTATGTCACTAGTGTTTACAAAATGCTGGTCCTTGAAATTACAACACCAGTACTTTTTACTGTTTTTACTCTTCTATGATATAAAGATTTGTTTGTTCATGACTCCTCTAAGACAGCATTAAATTAGTTAGTCTGAGCGAACACAACAAACACAACACAATGCTGCAGGTGCTTGGTGTGTTTGAGTCGATGTAGAGTGGATTTTAATTCTTCATCTGAGTGTTAAGTCGATGTTCAGTTAGATTTAGACACCATTTAACTCTGTTAGTTTAAGTGACAAGCTTGTTTGGTTGAGAACGTCATTATACTTGTTGCTTTGTGTCCATCAAGGGGTTGATTTTTTATCCAAAGAGACCATATTTGGCAAGAATGAGGTGCAAGGTGTAAGCAAATGCTAAATCTGCAAGGTTACAGAGTAAACATAGTTGACATCCAGCTTCAAAGTTAGCTGGTTTATTAGCTTGTTTACAACAGTAGCTAAGAAAGACACATTTGGAGACCTTCAGCGTCACAGCAGCCTCCTGTATATTTCTGTATAGTTGTCATAGCCTGCTGTGAAAACAGTGCCCTTGATTCTATTCAAGATACTTCCGTAGTGTATGTAGTTGTTCACCGTCTCCATTCAATAAGATTTTATAGATACCAGTAGCATTTTTAAATTTAGTTATAAATCCACGTCTTTATTAATTTTCAGTTCCTATGAATTTGTGTGTGTGTTTAAAGTGCAGGCCCAAGCAGACTTGCAGAAAACCTGAAAGGTTTGGTGTTAACTTAACCACTTCTGATTCGACCTTTACAGGTCAGCTGATCTCAGATACAGCCGATATTTAGGGCAGCCTAAGTGTTAGCATAGTCAGCCAAACACAGAAATGTGCATGGTTTTGCTTTAAGTACTACATGAATGGTCACAGATTGTCTTTGTTTTTCTTCATGGGGTAGAAAAGTCCCCTGATGCCACCGAAATAAATGGATCGCTCAAATGCGGCCAGGGTTTCATGTAGCTACTTTAAACACAGATAACTTTGATTTTGTGGTGAGAACCTTCTGGCATAAGTTTAAAGATTTAAGATCCACTTAAAGACCTGTTGGCTATCTTTATCTAGTTCCACTCAGTGAGGTCTGTTTCTGCTCAACATCCACAACTGAAGAGTCACTAGCAGCTCAAGTATTAGCATTAGCCTCAAGATGGCAGGCTGCATGAGGGTTACATTGATCAGGGTGAAGATTTCCATTCAGCAGTCTATTCTTAGTCAGAGTTATAGTCTCTGTTGTGATCAGAATAACAAGGAGTCCCATAATAACACAGAGGGGAGTCTCTACCTTGTGGCATCCGTTGGTACTACAGTTATACCTAATAAAAAGGACAAGCCTGTCTTGGTTATTGATCAACCTTTAATTTAGTAATGTTTGAAATAAGGATGACCATCAATCAATCTGTTGATCAATCACCCAATCTGTGAACTACGCTGAGCCACTGTAATCAATTACTATTAATTTCTATGGAAGTATACAGGTCAGGAAGAAATGAGTTGCACTCTAATTAAGAAGCTGGAAAATGAAATTTGGACTGGAGATCTGTCAGTGAAATACGAGCTATTACTGTGGTCTCAGAGACGGAAAAATACTAACAAACAACAAAATCTACAAAAAGGCAAGACTTAAAGCACCATAAGCTGGACTTTGGGCAATTTTCAGAGTAAATGATAAAATCTGGAGACTGACGAAGGGATTTTTTCACCCCACTCTAAAAACGGATATCTGAGCATGTTTATTTATCTAATATCTGGTCAAAATATCTCACTACACCTAATAAATGCCATATCATCAAAGAACAAACACAAATCCAAGATTTTACAAGTAAAAATTAAAGACTCTATAAACAATCAATCAATCAATCATCAATTGATTGATTGACTTTTTAAAGAAATAGTGTTAATATCCTTTTCCACACTTCAGACATATTTAGTGTTATGAGATATTTCAGTCTACTACAGTCATATGTGTTTTGCAGAGAAGTATATTCATAACCTGTTATTTACAAATCAAAATGTCAAAATTCATCCGATAATTACATTTTAGGTAGTAAAATGGCAAACCCTCTTTTGCATTCATTCAACATAAAGTGGTGGGAATTCATTAATATAATAAAAAAAAAATCAGAAATCTTCTATTGAATATTTTCACTTAGCATTTACAACTGCAAGAGACTAGCACAGAAACAGAAACAAGACAAGAGTAAAACCTTTTACTCTCCTGACAGAGATGTGAAAAACTCTAACTGTACTACCTCTAAATCCTCAACTGAGTTTGAGGGGGAAAAGAATATCTACTTTGACAATAAACCACCTACAACTATTACCCAGAGAGAGAGAAAGAGACAAAGGTAGATTTTACAAACGTGTGTATAGAGCGGTACATTGTACCAAAGACAACACTTCATATAAAGTCATCAGATTTGCTTATATACAGAACATTACATAAACAATCAACAGAAGAGTACTGTAGAAGATGAGCAGAGAATAAATACCATGATGTTACAATACAGAAGATTATTATTGTTAGATATATAGATATTATTCATACAATCATTGACATCCACAAAAATATCCATACAAATCCTTTTTAAAGAGAAAATCACATAAGGAAAATTCATTTCTCTTTCAATGTGTTTTATTACTTTTAGTTTGGTGATAGAAACAGTCCAGCATTCAGCCTCCCACGGTTTGTAAAGGTAAGCATTAAATTATCTGTATGAACGCAGGGAGGAGGAAAACAGTGTGTTAATTTATTTAACCATTGCAAACAAAAGAAGGATTCAATATTCAGCAAATTCTTATTTACATCAAAGTAAAGATAACATTCCTTTTTTTTTTCTTTCTTCATTTATGTCATACGTAAAAAGCAGACCAGAAGTGTGCAGTAAGAGAAGACAACAACAACCTTAAATTCAGAATCAATGAATCAACATCCTGACTGGAGATGTAACAATACCTCCTGAGACTGTTCAAAATCTGTTCACATTCAAACAAGCGAGATAAAAAATGAATACATGGTACCCCTTTTAGACAACAGGGGGCGTTATCTACCTTTGATTTTGCTTGTTGGATGTTATCACACCTCATCTTTCTGTAGAGGCATAAGGACCATAAACTGTATAATACATGGATGTAGTCTCATTGTAACACAATGGGCACTTAAAGTTTTGCGGGAAGTAAAAGTTCACATGTATCTTCATAAAAGAAGCACAAATTGCCGGTCAAAAATAAGTGCCATTTCATCCTTTCAAAGTAAAAGCACATTTGTCATGACAACAAGAATCAGTTACCTTGATATAAGGAAGTATAAAAGGTTAAATAACAGCATCATAAGTTTTACTAAACAACCTCTACATGGAAAAATTATGTCCAAAGACCCTTCATTGTGAATCATATTAACTGAGAGTATTGTTACACCTCTAGTCCCCACAATTTTGAAATACATAGATATAAGTAAAATCCTTCAAATTAAAGTGCACATGAAATCTGCCCCCAGCCTCACTTCTTCTGAGCTTCCCTCTGTGAGTCTGTTCGAGTTAAACAAGTCCTTTAGTTGTCATTAGAAAAACAGAACTGAGGTATCAGAAACACTCGTGTGCTGAGACACATATTGTAAAAAGTAAGTCAGTCTTCAAATATTGCCTTTTGTTGGACACTGGACATGTAAGGACAATAACAGTCAAACAAACATGAAAAACAAGGTTACAGCTGATTCATCCTCCCTAAACTGTCAGATGTGCTTTGGATTTACTTCTTTAATGCTACAGAGCTCCAGGAGTGTGTTTCACAGACTCAGCCTGTGCTGTCTGTTTCTAACTGAGCTCACTCCAGCTCATCAGGTAGACAAATATGCTGGTTTCAAATCAGACACAGCCTTGCTGAATGGATCAATCATGGGACAGTGGATATTGGGGTTTAACCATCAGGAACACATCCGTCCTACCCTGAAGCTACAAATGTAACATGAGTTACAGTTCAATTAAATCTGAAACTGAAACAATTTTGTACCTCCCATCATGTAAAACATTTCTATATAAAAACAGGACTGTGCAAACAAGATGTCCTCTTATTGCCAAAAATTGGTAGGTCATAATTACTCCAAACCAGCTCTCACAGAAAGATGTATGTCCCTCCATAAAGCTACATGTAGAATGACGGAACTAGGGATGCACGATTTTATCAGCGTGGTATTGATATCAGCAGAAAACAGCTTAAAAAGTTCATTATCAGTAACAGCAGATATAAAAATTTCTGACGCATTGAATAAGTGCATGCATATACAGTTTATATGTATATACATTCTATTCGTGACTGTAAAGGACAATTTTGTCATGTGCCTGCTGTGGTAAATGGACAAAATCTATATTTGAAAAAGAAATAAAATTAAGTTGAACCAAATGTTGTTTGTCTTGTTTTATATCCATTTCTAAAACAAATAAATAGTCACAATAAAACAAGTAGGTAAATTCTAATACAGTAGAGTGTTGGTGTTCATTTCAATGGAAAAAAATAAAAATAAAAATAAAAACGTTATGTTTATATCACTTACAGTACTGAAATCTGCAAAAATGAGAATGAAAATATCAGCGTATTGGAAATCTGCAAAAATCCAATACTGTGCATCCCTAGTTGTAACAGATAAAAATGACAGAATAGACAGGACAACTTTCTTTTGATTAGATAACAAAACACTTAAAAACTGGATATCCAAAATACCGTCATCCCTTTATTGCCAAAACCAGGTGCCTCTGTAAATAAAACTAAAGCTGTACATGAACTACAACTGTCTCCACATCATCAGTGTCTCCGTGCAAAATGACAAAAAAGGCAGGCAGACACACTCACAAACACAAACAAAAGTGTAGTAGCATGTTCACGCTTTTCTCAAGAAAGAACTAAAACCAAATAAATATATAAACCGGACACATTTTCAAAGGAATCAACCATGAGAGATTGGTCATGGGGTGATGCATAAGTGGGACAACATTGGAGAAGATCATTTTCTTTCTAAGACACATGTATCTCACTTTGAACCTCTGTAGGCACAGAACCCAACCTAAGGTACATTTACACGCTTAAAAAGGCATCAAATTAAGAAGACAACTTATTCTATACTCTTAAAAAAAAACATCTATAAAACAGGACAGCGACAACACTGTAGTCCTCTTATTGCAAAAAACCAAGACGGAATCAGACTGGTCTGATTCAGACTCTGTCTGCAAAACTACAATATTCAAATCATCCAGAAAAATAAAAAAGGCACGCAGACACACATATAAAATTAAACAAAAATATAAATATCATTGAATGTGTACAGAGCAGATTGCGTCTATTGCATGGATCAGGAATGGGACAGCAGATGTCTCGTCTTCTTTCCTCTTGTCCCACATTAAACTATGCAATGAGTTCAAAAAGTTTAATACTGTATCTGACAGAAATCAAGAATTCAACTGTTTATAATCACTAATGTAACATCTTTGACCAACTGAGGTAAACCAGCATCCAAAGTGTCTCTGTGTGCAAACTGACAATATTTTGGCCAGTTTTAGTCAACGGACACAAAGACACACACAGGCACACACAAAGTTTGGTGACATAATAATTTCTCAATGAAACTGATAAAATCCGCCACATCTGTCTTACTTTGATGCTTTATGTGCGATGATTTTGACTACAAGTTACAGTTTTGCACGTAAATCAGTCAGTGACCCAAAAGGAAGACAGGACAGGCAAATATTGTCCTCTTATTGCCAAAAACCGGAAGTTTTTGTGAGCACAGATTTGAAACACAAGTGAGATTTAAAACACGTGAACAGGTAAAAGAATCAAAACAGAATGTCTGAGAATAATATTTCACTGCTGGGGGCACCTCACACACAATGAAGACATGGTAGGAAAACAAAAAGTCATCTTGAATAAAAAACAAAGCAGCAGATCTGCAGACTGCACGCTGATCTCCTGTGCTGCAGGTCGGACTTTGCTTCCCTGCTGTCGTTCTCTCTCAGATCATGTATCACTTTGTTTTCAACCTGCTATTCATCTGGGACCCCCTCCCCTCCAACCACTGTGAGGGCGCTGTGGAGATCAGTGCTGGACGGCTTCACCTGTTCAAAAAAACAAAGTTAGAGACAACATGCTTTTATCTGGAGGTCAATCTGACTGAAAAAAAAAGGACTGAAAGTTCAGCTCATTTATTAATATTAATGTTAAAACCTGTTGAAAGTCAAACAGGTTGAAAGTCCCCCTGCTGCTGAAACAAAAACAGCTCCCATCATCCAAGTTCAGTCAAGGATTGAATCCAAACATGCAGATCTACAGATGAGCTCAAACCTATGAAGACTGTATGTTTTTGCCCGTGTTGTTTGTGATCCATCTTGCTATGTCAGAGCAGGATTTAGATCCTTCATCTTCCTCAGGTTAACTAATCAACATTTGATAAAATCAGTACGGCTGCATTGTTGCACCGAATCCTGCAATACAAGTCAGATGGTGGAACACTGGTGCCACATGACGGCGAGGACGTTTCATGAGTTTCTCCTCTCTTTTGTCGGCATCACAGATGTGTCAGTAATGTTACCATGACAACATGAGGAAATGACAATCAACCGATCACTGATAATCAATGATCAGTTGACATGTGCTGAGCTGACCATAATAATTCAGGTCTTAAACTTGGATTTGTAATGCAGCACAAATATTGTCCAGGCTTTTCTGAGCACACCTATATTCAACAACTTTTTTTTAAATCCAACTTTTCAAAGAACTTTTACTTATTGTGAACCTACACCTGTTTTTGCTGCCGGCTGTACAAACCTTGTGAACAGCTGAGACATCAGATTGAAGGGGGGGTTTAAACATTAAATATGAAGCCGTCAATATGAACTGGGACACGATTTAAATGGAAAAATGAACATGTGTGTCCAGACCAGATTGTGAGAAAGGAATTTCATTAAATACCTGCAATGAGACAGCAGCCTGTCAGCTCTCCGCTCTCAGTGATATCCATTTGTAAAAGCTGTTGCGATCAGAGGACTCTGAAATGTCAAATTAATCTCTGTGTCAGTACAGACACCTCTGGGAAGAAAAACTACACAGTCTGCATGGACGTGAAGATATTATGGCTAAATTTACTTACAGGGATGCTGTGGTTGAAGCCTGAGCCGGGCTGAGGGCTTGAGGTGCTGATGAAGTTTCCAACAGCAGGGTCCTGACTGCTATTACCGTATAGGTCTGCTACAGGACCAGGACTGCTGGGACCAGGAAATACACCAGGCCGGGCTGGGTTGGTTCCTGAGAAGAGAAGACAAAAGGGCATTTCAGCCAGGGAAACACAACAGACATCAACAGTAAAGGTATATTCCGACGTAAAATTAATTTAGGGTCGAACACATGGAAATGCAATCAGACCGAGACGCTAAGGCAGAAGAACTACCGCGTCTGCAGTGCAAAATGATTAATATGGTGATTAATACTTCAAGGAAATGATAAAGAAATGATCATAAATGTTCTTCCTTGAGCTGTGTCACCCCGCTGTGGTCTGTAATGGACTGGCCTGAGGTCTCACTACAAACATGCAGGTGCTGGAAGAGAGTAGGTGAGTTGTGTTTAGTCTCTTTGCTAAAGAAATCAGGCAAAGCTCAAAAGATGTTTGGTGGCTAGTGCTATGGCCTGGACCCTTTATGCACTGTTGATGAAGTTAGGTGCGGTTCTGAGAATTATTTGTGGCTATAGAGTGGCTTTTTGGTCGAGGTTTGTTTATGGCTCCTCAGACCGCTGTGTATTGCTATCACGCGGTTGTTACTAAAGTTGGTATAACTACAGAAGCAACAACATTCATATCTCGAGGGGGTGTCTAACTAGGTGTTACAGTGTGTTTGACCCTAAATTAATTTTACATCGGAATATCCCTTTAAGTCTTGTAAAATTAAAGCTTTATTCTCAGAATCCTGACTTTTACAGCCTTACTGCGGCCCTAATCCTTGATTTGAAAGGTAAGGGAGGCTGTCTTTTCTCAGTGTAAAAGGTTGTTTTTCTGTCAATACTGGGTCTCAGTTTCACTCTAATGCTCTTCAAGGACTACAGCCTCTGTACACGCCATGGTCATCATCACGTCACATGGAAAATCCACTTTCTTCAGGCATGAATCCAAACCTGAACACAGTGTGTGCACTCATAGGGGAATCGTGGACAGAAATGTGAAAAACAAATGTGTAAAATGAAGATGGGCTGAAATTATTAAAGGTGGATATTTATATCTGTTTGAATTCGCTAACCTGTTTACTTAGTATTAATCCGTTGAGAGTAAAAGGCAAGTGAATACAGCTTTACGCAATATGAGATATTCCCAGGAGTGAACCTTCATCTTTTTGCTCCGAATATTCAGAATTGACTGTCAGAAAATCTGTGAGTGTGTGGCAGAGTTTACTCTGAGGGATCAGGCACAGCAGCCCTCATCTAATCAACACCTGTCACTAAGAGAACCAGTACATCTCAACCCACTCCCTTTCCAGGACTCCCCTTGCTCCTCACAGTCTCTTTAAATATATGATGGTGATTATCTTCTATAAAGTGTGTGGGATATTGGACCCAGTTCTGTGCCTGACAGGCAGGAAATTACATAGGGTGTCCTGGGTAGAATGCACTATAAGACTGAAGGGGTGAAATACATCTCTATGGATTCACTTCACTTGGATAATGAAAATGGAGGGACTGCAGGCCAACACCCATTTTTTTGCTTCAGAGCTGCTATATATATGTATTTCGGAGGAAGTGATAAAAATAGATAATGTGCAGTAAAAGCATAAATGGAGCAGTCTGAAAATGAAAACTAAAGCTCATCTGGACATGTTTAAAACCTGCATTCTCTCTTATTTCCAGTAGGGGTCACTTTGACTAGCTGTAAAAGGCAGTCCAATATTTTATAAGCTGATTTATTCCTTCAGTAAACATTTTCTTGATGAGTTGAAAGTCTCAGTCTCTGGTTTAAAGGCTTCTTAAACAAAGTTGAATGTACATTCTGTAAATTATGAACCCATTCAGAGTCGAAGTGACCAAAGAGCAGAGGAAAATGCAATCACAGGGACTTTAGAAATAACTAGTTATTTGGCTATATTTGGTTTTATTTGGATTGGTTATATTAACAGACACTTTAAAGTAGTGACTTTTCATCCTGGTTACCATCACTATTTACTAATCCAAAATAAACAATTTTCGTTCAATTGCACTAGCATCCTTGTGTTCACCTGTGTTTGTTTTTTTTATTTGCTATCTGTGCTGTAGTCTGCTACATAGATCCAGCATGGGAAAGATGTGCATTAGTTTAGTTCTAGCTTATTTTCAAGATTTTGTAATGATAACATAAATCCAAAATCAAACATCCATTCATGTTATTCACCTTATTTTCAGAGTGTTGTAGAGATGATGAAGGACAACACCAATTCACAATGAAAATCTAAAAATGTTGTTTATGTAATGATATACTGTGTTGTAACACGGAGGGGTTGCTTACAGAAAAAGAGATCTTATTACTGTGAAAATGCTGACATAAAGAACTTTTCCTTACTTTGCTGTCTTGGGTAGCAAATAAGCAAAACAATGTTCATAAAAACAGATTATTAAGTCATAATTCATGCCAGTTATCATAGGGGCAAGGCATTAGGAGGAAAATAACCAGTTCAAAAACAAGACCCTCACAAAGTTTATAGTAAATATAAATCCTCGGGCAATGAGAACAAAAGAAAAAGGGAGCACACCAGCTCTCAAAGGAATAACACCACACACAGAAAAGTGTGTCTTCTCTAGATGCAAAAGACTGAAAGATCCACACCTGTGCTCTTAAAGGGATCAGGACTGTGCAGGTGGTGCTGGAGGGAGTTGGGGGAGGTGCAGGCAGAGCTGGGGTGTTCACTGGAGAGGATCTGAGGGGTCGCTTGGGGCCCCATTGACGCATAGTCTGCCAGGGAGTAAGAGGGTCCTCCTCGCACGTCAGCAGAATACAAACTGTAATCGGGAAACCCTGGAAGATGGGAGGAAGAGGAGCGGGTTTCATCACTGATTCTCTGAGGGTTTATTCTCTTTACTCTCCCCCTGGTCTTGCTGTGCTGTTAAATCATTATGAAAAAGTTGGAAATTTTTGTTTTTTAAATCTAACAAACCCTTTCCTGTCTCAAGGTGTTAATATTTGTCCAGACAGGTGAGAAACAGCATGAGGAGAGCGTGGGGCCACACAGACTACAGGCAGAGCATTTACCTGCCCCTGTGCTCTGTCCATATGCCGTGTAGCCGCCGCCTCTTCCATGGATCCCCCTACCTGTGCTTCGAGCTGCTGCCACTGCTGCCACCTGGCCATACGCTGCTGCTGGGAAGCCTGGTTAGAAAAAAAAGAAATACAGATAAAACATATGTGAAAACTAATATTTACCATTTTAACTTCAAGTAAAACTCCCTGCTCACTTTCTTTTTTAAAACAACAAGAGCCTTATTCAACAGCAGCAGGCAACATCTGTGGATAAATACTTGTTTTAGTTTCACATGTAATAGCTGTGTGTGCCGGAGTTATCTCACTTTTCCCAAAAATGCCTCTGTGATATTTCAGACAAAAACCACAAACTCTGCACAGCCTGAGCTCCCAAATTACTAGATGTATGGACACGCACTCACTCTCATAGGACACACACATACACACACATGGTTTTAATGGCTGCAGTGGGAGCTAATGGAGCATTTCACAGTGCTATTTTTGAGGACATTACAGCACAGAGAGGAGAGGTTTGGTCCCTCCAGCCCTCTGCTCTGAACAGACACAGTGTTCCCTCGCTGTGTGTGCGTAAAAACACGGTCTCTCTTGCTTGCTGTGAAGGGCTGAGAGCCTGCTACCTGTGGCTGCCGCTATGCAGGTGAGTGCATTATGGGAGCTTTGAAAGGGCAGAGGACACACAGCTGTGGATGCTGTGGACACAGACTGCAGTGAAGACAGAATCAACAAGACAATCAATCAACACTGGGATATGTTATTTTGAAAGATATATGGTCATTTTTCCAATTACATTAAATTAAGAAAAACAACTTGAGATTCCACTTTCAATTCGCATCATATCAGATCACTCTGCATGTTTATGATTCTTCCTTAAATCTGACTGTAGATCACAAACTCCAAAAAAATGTTCGTCTGCATCAAAGTGCTTGTTTTCAGCTTCATTTCAAAAGCCAGCATTCCCACTGAGCAATAGACAGCTAGACGTCTAGATTTCTTTGTAGACCTAATTTCAACCATCTAGATTCTGTATATTTTTCGACGGAATTTAGACGTTGCACTTAAACCCATTATTAAATCCACTGTGAGTTGCATAACTGATCTCCAAGTACTTAACCAAAATAATTATGATAGCCATTGAGCAATATGCAGTGCAGTATAGATATAGCCCAGATTTAAACTTGGTCTACATTTAGACATCTACAAACTTTCATTTTTAGACTTATGGTAGCCTAATTTTAGACCAGTCGTCTAGGCTACATTTAGACGTCTATTAGACCTCTTTTAGACCAAAAAATGCTCAGTGGGTTCTTTATCATATGGGGTTACTTAAGAGCATGGGTAGCTACAGTACACAACTGGGAAGGCACCGTTAATGCTAACACAACATATACAGGATTTGCAGCAAAATATGTTGCCATCCAGACAATGCCTTTTGAGAGAGGACCTTGTATATTACAGCAAGGAGAAACAGAACTGTACTTTGTGGATGTTACCACTTAATGGCTCTGTGATAGAAGAGTCCAGGTGCTTAACTGATTCACAACTTGTCCCTTATTGAAAACACTTAGTGAGAGAAAGAGACCACAAACTGTAGAGCAAGAAAATTTCAGGTAATATTTTAACTTTCTAAACTTCAGAAACTTGTTTCCTTGGTAACCAAATGTCAACAAAGTGCTAACAGAAGAGGTGATGCATCACAATGGTAGATATGTCCCTGTCCCAACCACTATTTAATATGTCGCTGTCTCTGCACTTTTTTCAAACAAATACAGACTTGAAATGCTTTTAAAATAATTGAATTCTATTTTAAGCTTTGCACAGTGTCTTAACTCCAGTGGAAGTGGGGTCATACATGTTTATGTTGTGATGATGATTGCAATGTGAATTAGTGGGCAGCCAGATATCTTGCATTGATAAAAAAAAATAACAGAAATTTTTTAAAAAGGCTGTGAAAGTGGAGGTCTTTTAGTTGTTCTGAGTACAGGGATGCTGCTGCAACACTACAGCGGTCAAGCACTGACACACGGACATAAACCACTTTGTCTGACCCCCTGTGAGTTGTGTCCCTGGGAGGATTATGGGTAGTGCTTCAGAAGGGGATGAGCTCCTCACTTTCTCAACGCTCAATTTCTAAACCTCCACAGTGAGCCAACTCTTTCTAAATCCCTCCACAGCAAGAGGAGAGAATAAAAAGACTTTCACCTCTCATGTCCAACACCAAGGTCGTCCTGCTGCTATCGGAGAATCACAGACAAAATAATCTCTGGGGAGGAGCTCCAAGATTAAGAGCAGAGGGAGAAAGTTAACCTGGAGCAATCAGCTCTTCTCCAACAGGGTTTTCCAAGACGGTTTTTGATTGGACGTGTGAGGATGATGACATGATACATCCGAGTAATGACAGGAGACGAGAACACTCACTGCTGCCTCTTATCTTAGCAAGAGGGAAAACAACACCTACACGCTGTACAGCTAACGTTAAGGTTGTGATTAGAGTGACACTCTCAGACACATACACATTCGGATGGAGACACAGTGCAACACACAGACACACACACATTCAGACACACCTGATCCCCCAGCCTCTAGAGATGCGTCTGTGATGGAGGGCATTTGAAGGAGAAACCACCAAGAGAGGTTTACAAGACATCTTTCTAACCACAGTGGACCACAGCTGTGTGTGTGTTTGTGTGTGTGTGTGCATGTGAATGGAGAGTGACAGTCTCCAGCAGAGAGCCCTGCTGTGCTCTGTGGCCCTAAATGTAGCATGGTCCTGAGGCTGAGTATTTTAATTCGATCTCTTCCTGCAGAATGACTCCATCTCTCTACATATTAACATCACAACCTTTAACTTCATACTTAGTGAGCTCAGACAGGAAGACACTGCAGCCTCAGGATTTTACAAATTCATTCAAAGTGTCTAACACAGTGGGGAAACCTCTGGAGGCCATCATAAACCAATCATCTTTCATTTTTGACGCAACAAATCTTAGCATGCTGACTGTGTTTTTCTGGATGTCTTTTGGTTGAATTCCAATGTAAGTGGAAGATATCAATAAGGAAATCATAGAGCAAGAATGAAATGATGTTTCTGTGTTGTTAAGACTGATATGTGTTTGTAGAGATAAAAGAATGGTCTCCAGATTACTGCCACTGTCAGATCAGGTGTCATGGTGTCAGTTGGATTGTGTTAAGTTTGCTTTTGCTCTCCATGTTGACCTTTTTTTTTTTTTTTTACAGACTAGGACCTGTTGATGCCTGACTGGTCGACACCAATGAGACTGCACATGATGAAAAAAGAGCTCACCTGGGAATTGGTAGCTGTAGCTTTGAGTGAAGCTGGTGTATCCTCTGCCGTATGTTGCTACAATGTTTGGGTAACCTGCAGGGAAAAAAACACAGCTGTTTAATAAAACTCACTTGAGCCTCAACTAAAATAAAATCTAAAAATGTTCACAGTAAGCATTTTGTTCCTGTAAATCTGCAGCATTTGACAGTTTGTCACATGATTCTTTTAATTTATTTTTTGCCTTTCTTTGGAGAGCAGGGGGTGACATGCAGGGAAGGAGCCATGTGCTGGAAGCAAAATCAGGCCAACCACTTGAGGCAAAACCCCTGTATATGGGGCGCCATAGATCGCTGGTCACATGATTCTTAATTCTGTTTATATAGTCATCCAGAAATCTGAAATATTCCAGTTGAGAGTGACCATGTAACTTAGACAAACATGAGAGAGCTTAAACAAGATCTGGCTCCACTGGTTCTTCAATTCTTTCTGTTTTTCAATAAAATATCACGTTTATCTCTGTCAACTGAGACCTAAAAACTACTTACTATTATTGTTTTGTTTGAATCCACTTGTTAATGGTTGTTAAATTATCCCAAGGCTTAAACAAACGACAAATATCTTGAGCTGCTTTTGTCACCTTTCTTTTTTTTTTAAAGTGCGCAACCATTTTTCTAGATTTGCATTACGATGTGATAATTATGTGCATGCACACACTGACACACACACTCATACTCACTGAGCATGCCCATGCCCAGCATGAAGGCATCCATGTTGTACGGTAAACCCCGGGCCCGACTTCGTAACCCTGGAGGAAACATCACCTCCTTGGGCTGAGCTTTTTTACATTCTACCTGTGGAGGAGGGGAGGAAACACTATCACACTGAGAACACAGACGCAGCCACACTTGATATGTTACCCTCCGTATGCTAAGTTTAACATAAATACCAAGAAGGACAACTTTTGAAATCCTCTGGAAACAACCATACCCGGTCTCCCCTACTCAAGTTTAGTGTACTGCTTGTGGCCTCTCAGTGAGGAAGTCCAGTAACCAGTATCATAGTGAGGTGTTGTGTCCCGGCTGGTCCTGTTAAAATGCTGAACTCTGTGGATAATAGATGGATGGGCGGAGCGGAGCTTGTTCCTATACTTGTTGAAAGTACCTTGCTCTCTGTTTAAGGAGTTTAAATTATTTCAAAAATATTTTGGCAGGATGGAAGGAAAGATTTGAGGGTGTAAATGTCTAAAAAAGCTTTTGAGCATCCTGTAGCAGAGAAACAGGCTTTAATGGCTGCAACATTATCCTTAATGGGTAAAAATGTACCCCCTAGAAGTTCCTGTTTTTGTCTAGCTCAAAATTGGTGTCTGACAACATTATAAAATTGATTATTATACACAGACCATTTGGTTTTGTTAAAAAATACTTCTTTTAACCAAAAACAGCTGTTACCTCGCTCTCTACAAAGACACTGCACTACTCTAATGAAACCAGAGTTGTACCTGACAGCACACCGTTGTTGTTGATCTCCTTGTTTGTCTGTTTTGTGTCAGAAATACTGTTTCCTGGACTGCATCAGCATGGATTGTGGGAAAGGTCAGAGAGTCTTTGCATACATAAAACCAATAATTATGAAGGAGATAAAAATACAACTCTGCAGCTTCATTTTTTATTTACCTCAAATCAAGAACAGAGTGTCAGCCAAGCATTGATTGGATTTAAACTCCATTTTGAATTACAGCATGTGCCCAGATTAAGCAGTAGGTTGGGTTTGACGAAAACAGCTGTGTGGTCCACCCTTGGTGCGACTGAGTCATTTATAAATATGCTGTTCGCACATTACATACTGTACCCTGATGTGGAAACCCAGCTGTTCCTCTTCATTGTGTTTAATTAGAAGTCTGTGCAAACACGACCCTGCTCTGTAGTTATTACAGTGGCTCCTCTCTCCTGTTACTTTTTGCTTAGTGTGAAAAAGAGGCATAATGAAACAGTTGCTGCTTATTTTGCTTTCATCTGAGTTCAGCTGTAGGCCAGCACTCACAATGCATTTGGGAAATAGAGGCTTATATTAGTCTGTTCTGACAGCAAACAGCTGAATCAAATTAAAGAAACAGTGCCTGTATTTTACTGAGCAAGCTCAAGCTTTGTGTTACTGCAAATAAGAGGTCAGATTTTTGGCTGTTTGTCTTCTTCCTTTGTGTTTCTCTCACAGTCCTCCTCCGTCCTGCCACTGCTGAAAACAGTTTATTTCCATTGTAGCCCGATTCAGAGACAGTAAGTGGACCAGCAGTGACAGTGGAGCAAGGCTTGTGAGGTCTCTTACAGGCTACAATAAAGAAATCCTGCACTGCACTGTGGAGCTCCCACAACAATAAAAGCATTTGAAGCGTTATGTGAGAGAAACAGTAACAACTGTGGGAGCGCTGCCTCTGCAGTGGTGATGATGATGTTTAGTCTCATATGCGGACTCAGTGACAGTCATCACAGTGACAGCAAAGTTTAGTTTATTAAAAAACAAACAGGAAATAACTGTGTGTGAGAAATCTATCCAGGAGGGGAATTATCTCTTTGTGACAAAAGAAGCCACTAAAAGTTGAACTTCATCTTAAGTAAATAGACATAAAACTGCAGAAAGCAAAGTGATATTCAGTCTTGCATACAGTCTGTCTGCAACATTACTAGGTTTTCCCTCTTGAGGACAGACTTGTCAAAGCTTCAATTCTTACTTTTCACAAATTTGCACAATGATACTGCTATCTCAGCAAACTAAAGGCCCATTAATAACAAGGCTATCATAAGAAAATCAGTTTCAGAAAATCATTATCTGTGTAACTTCATATTTACAGTAAAACTGAGACTCTACATGCACGCCTCAGGGACCATACTTCACAAGAAATGAAGGCGTTTATCTGAGGGATGAATTTCACCACACTTTTGATCTTTATGGTCACTTCTTCAGTTCCTCATTGGAAAGTTACGATACAGCACACAGAAGGGGAAGTCCTGTACTACCATTACAGCTGAAATACAGAGAAGCTGGCCATCATTCCTGGGTGCATATACAGGTGCATCTGAAGAATATCCTGGAAGACTTATTTTTTTCTGTAATTTAATTCAAACAGGTCAACTTTCATGTATTTCACATTTGTGGCTTGTCTCATGAAATATTTCCAGGCTTTTTTATTTCAATTTCACGATAATCAATAATCTAGTAGTTTCTCAGATTATAAGACTATTAGCTAAATTAATTTTTTTTTTTAAAGATTTAGAATACAGGAATATGTAACCGCTGAAAAATATATCCATGCATACACAAAGCATGGAGGTAATTATTCTGTTTCACTGCTGACGCCTTCTCAACGCCCAGGTTTCCTTGATAGTGGCTTTCAGCTCTCTGCACTTTTAGGTCGAGTTCTTGGGTTCCTCTCTTTCCCTTGTCAAGTACCCCCAGAGACTCTCAGTGAGATTCAGGTCAGGCTGGCCAGTCAAACACAGTAATATCAAGGCTGACAAACCATTTAAAATAAGTTCTGGCACTGTGTGCAGGTGCTTACTCCTATACTGGAAAAGTAAAGTGGCGTCACCATGAGCCCTTCTAAGGCCTTTGCTGAACTTTTTTTGGAAATGCTATCGAAGTGCGGTCATCCCTTTTTCCTGAGCACCTTTTTCTGCAATGACACTGTGGAGGGTGAGATAAACGTCTTCTGTGCAATAATCAGGCAGGCAGTCTTCTCTGTGATTGTGTTTGCATGTTCTGCACAATGCCCAGAGATAGATGGTATTCATTCTGCTTAGTTACTCAATATTCAACTGTTTTGAGCTCTTCTAAAATTTGATAAAATATAAAATAATATAAATAACTGATGGAAATGTTTTACTTTTTCATTATCTTCTATACTGAGCTGCATTTGTACTGTTAGACAATAGCTGCTGGGTTCAGAAGTTGCTTTTAGTACAAACTATTCACCAAGACTACAAATCTTGCCACAGATTTAGTGCTCATTTTCAGTATTCACTTATAATGATAGTGTGAACATTTGTGTCAAACCTTATTGGAATTCTCTCTCTACAAAGATTTTTTTTTAAAGTGTTTTGAATGTAAAATATTCTCTTTTTTCAGTCTAATAATCAGACCATAATGGTGTGAAGGTGGACACAGGAGCCGAGGAAGAACCCATGTGTTCAGGATCACACACACATACACTCACAATTTCATGGTTGCTGATCAGTGTTAGTGAACAGACAGCTGATCTCCACTTCAATCATATCATACAAGTCTGTATAACATCGAGTGTGTGTGTGTGGTGTCAGTTTTTAGCTTCACATTCGCTGCTACGTGGAGAGAAATGAAACCTGAATCCCGATCAGAGCAGAGATAGAGAAGGAGCCACTCACCATTTTATTATTGATCTCATGAAAATGGATCTCACAGACTTTCTCCACCACATCCTCGATTTCGAACGTCACAAAGCCGAAACCTGCGGAGAGAGAGAGAAACCAAGAGAAAAAGGAATACTTGATCATAATTCAACAGAAACACAAACTGCAACAGCAACTAACTCACATTTGTATTCATAAAGAGGTGAACAGAGACCTCTCCATCCTGAAGTCTGACAGTCTTATTGCAACAAGATACCAAATTCCTAATGAGAACTGGTGACTTGTCCAGGGTGTCCCCTGCCTTCGCCCGAAGATGCTGGGATAGGTTCCAGCCCCCCTGCGACCCCGGGAATGGGAGTGAGCGGTAGAAAATGGATGGATGGATGGATTGAAATACTTTAAACATGGCTCCTGTTTCAGAATTTGTATGAACAATACTAGATGGTTGTGAACATCAAAGCCTTTGGCAGCACTGCATTACAAGCAGACATTGCTTTGCATGGAAAATCACTGCATGAGCTCTAAACACATCTATAAACCTCTCTGTGTGAGCACAAAGTGTTACTGAATCCATAAATGCAGGGTAATGAGCTGGAGCTGGAAACTATCCACATGGCAAACAAATTAAAACTTGACATTCCTTTTGGAAACCATGGACACTGCATCCCGAGCCTCCAAAAACAAGAGGCACCACCTATTTAGTTCTTATCGCACAGTTTAGAAGCCAACATTATTGTAGAGATGCATTGGTGCTTGTGGGACCAGTCTTGTGTAGCTTGGAGACCTGGATTGAATTTCCCTTTGCGGATAGATACAGTTCTTATATTGTATTGTAAATGTAAATGTCTCTATCGTAATGTAAGGGAATTTTGTAATGGAAGTAATTGCAAATAGGATCTCAGTGACTGTTCTGATTAGAAAAAATAACACTAACATGTTCCTCAAACTAACCACTGAGATAAACCCAGATTTGCCTAATGTTTAAGACAGAAAAGAGAAAAATAAATGAGTCTTAACATAAATTTCTGATCAAATAATAAAAGAAACACCTCTGAAAACTCCAGTCACCTCAGGTCAGATCAGGGAAATGAAAACATCCTTTTAAATCAGTCGTCACTTTTGTGCTGCTCCCATGATAACAGCGCTCAGCTTCAATCTGAGGTGACTAATAAGTGTGAGCGGTGTTTATGGAGCCAGTGGGCAAGAAACTCACACTTAACAAGGATTGTGAGGAACTCACATGTTGTTCTGCACACACAAACACACGTGCCCACTGGAACACACCAAAGCACACATACAATTTTGCAATCTATCACAATCATAGCCAGGATTTATTACCAGACACTTTTAGACTTTATAATTCATATCCATAATGCATAAATTGAATGGGGTACTTGTGAATGAAATGAGAACTAGCCACAAGGGATGTCAGTCGACTCAACCCCTTTGTTGAGAAACCAGTCGCTAAACTAGAATAGAAACTGGGGTATCAGCTCCTGTAGAGGGGGTCAGTGGTTCCTTAGATTTTGGCTATTTCTAAGAAAGTCCAATGCAAGTAAATACTCAATGTAGAAAAAGTCAGCATTTTATTACATTAATTTTTGAACTATAGGTGTGTCTTGACCGCAGCGGCTGCTCTATAATATACATGTCCTCTTTCATATTGCCTTGTACATATTTACTGCAAATTCCAATACTGGTTTTAGATCATTTAAAGCAACATACGTGGTATGTTATCATGCTGACACAGTTAGTAAAATATGAACCACACAGGTGTCCTCTGATTTAGAAAGGTCCTGAAAATCAGGTCCCGCTCCTGGGAGCAAACATTTCTCTGAGTTTGCAGGCATGCTGATACACACCTGCACCATCGAGTAACTTGTGATCTCTCCTACTCTCCAGTCAGCATAAAAGTTTCCCCCCTCTTATCATCCATCAGATGAGTATTGTTGTCTTCTGTGAGCTCTGGTTCAAAAAGTTTAACACAGGCTAAACTATCAGAATCACCCATACTTTATCTGGTTGCATTTTTTGTCTCTTTTGAAGCCCAGAGATCAGACGGCTAAAACCTGCAGTGCAGATATCTGCTGTTCCTGAGGTTAGTGGGCTTTTGGACAGCAGGGTAGAGAAGTGAAAATTTCTTAAAAGAGTGTATACTTATTTTGACACTGGGTTTTTGGGTTGGTGTTCCTTAAAATTAGCTTCATTATTTGGTTGAGAGGTTGATAGCCTGACTTCTATTCCAGTTCAACAGCTGATTTTTCGACAAAGAGGTTGAGCTTAGTGGGATCCCCTGTGGGTATTAAAATTACCATTGACAAGTCCCTCATACAACCCTATACTTGTGCAAACTGCGATAAACATATTCTTTTCTGATCATTGATAACAGAGCAGGGATATGAACATGTTTCCACTCATGTGATTCCACTACTCTCACTCTGACTGAAAAAGAGACAAACACAGCAAAAGCAGCATGAACACACATATATATTCTCATAACAGATTTGTGTAAGAATGAAAAGAGAGGCACAGAAAGCAACATTTGCATTTTTTCTCTGAGAAAAAATCTGTTCCAAACAAAGCCGAGAGAGCGCGCAATATGTGAGTGTGTGTGTAACAGCAGCTGCTCTCCTCCATGTGTGAGTAAATACTTTGGGATCTGTTCCTGCAGACTGTGAAAATTCAGCAGCACAGAATTTATGGGAAACAATGTCTGTACATGTGTTTTTGCTCTCCATCAGGATGCCTGTGTTTCTTTCATTTTTTTCTTTGTCATTTTACTCTTCCATCTCTCTCAATTTAAGATGTGAGAACCTTCACGCACAGCACTATGACAGCATAATCACAAATTACATCTTAGTTTTACACTGTATCAACACAGGTGTGTGTGTGTGTGTGTGTGTGTGTGTGTGTGTGTGTGTGTGTGTGTGTGTGTGTGAGTGCGCACTCTTGTTTATCAAAGAAAAGAGGACCTTGGTGCCATTACTCATTTCCCACTGTAGGACTGGCAAATGAGGACACTGCAAAAGTCAGCTTTTGCTCAACATTAGCACTGAGTTTAAATTATGTCCCAAAGTCTTTAAGTGAGTTTGTTTTAATTCATGTCAAAAGAGACCAGCGGTTTTGTTAGTGTAAAAGTAGATACTCGGCATTGCCTCCTCAGGCCACAGCAGGAACTGTTGTGACTTTTTAATGTCACTAAATTAATAGAGAAAGTAAATATTTGATATCTATTATTTATTTGAGTTTAACAGCAGGTTAATCTCCAGGTGCACATATTTCAATGAACTTCTTCTTCTCTTCCATAAACTGTGTCTGCACAAACTGTAGTGCTGCATTCAGCTACTTTAGACCAACCAATGTGCAGTTTTAAGACCTGTTTGTAAGAATCAGTACAAGGATTTCTCTGATGGATGCCAACTATCAACTTATTAGGTGGTACTTGAGTAAGTCTCATTTGCCACTCCACATTGTAGTCTTAAAATCCTTGTGAACTGTGTTTTTGTAGTGCAGAGGAGTGCAACCTGGAGCAGCAGGACTCAGTAAATAGAAAATAATATATCAACAACAGGTTACTTTCAGTTGCTTACTTATCTACAACGTGTGACTTTTGTGCTCCTACAGTTGTTGAGCATACTATGGTATTATCAGGTTTCTTTTAATGGAGACTTAATTGTCTTCATTATATTTGAATGGTTCTACTTTGTTATAGAAATTTGAATTTAGTATTTTTCACACCTGTCTGCACGCTAGCATGACAACTTTTAAAATATTTGACTTTGTAATAGAGTTTGAATCAAATATTTCTGAAATATACAGAGAATCTCAACACTGGGTTTTCTTTCAAAGAACCAACAACCTAAATGATTTTGATGATTTACCTGTTTTGAATACTTTTAGAGATTGTATTTTTTTAACTCTGTGATTTTTTTCCTCAGCCCCGCAGTGTGAATGGATTGCAAACCCAGGAAAGCTGAGTAGATTGGTGGTTGGTACGGAGATAGATGGGGATTAAAGAGTCTCCTAAGCGAAAGAAAGGGTCTTCTCAAACAAGTTTAGCTCTAGTCAGAAAAAAAGGCTGCAGGGACTGAAAGTATGTCTAAATCTCTAGAAAGACACAAGGAAGACGAATGATCTAGATAAATATTCAAACTGTTAGGCATGTTTTAGAATTAATCACTCAGATCCAACAACAAAACCTTTGTGCTAGCATTGTTTTCATGTCAGTATATCTCTGCAGTGTGTTTCAAAAATAAAAGGTCCTGTGCTTGCACTGTGCAGGCAGATGACTCAGGGATCAGCTGTCATCCACTGCATGATTTTGAGGTAGAAGGGCAAAACAGTGAAAATGGGAGGAATAAAAACATCACAGCAATCTGACCTGAATTAAACAGCTGTTTACCAACAGTTCTTTGTCATCAGGGGAGGGTTTAAAGGAGATTTGGCCTGATGAAACACTGGTTGGTCAATTAATAGACTGGCATGCATCAATGGGAGTTTGTGCCCTTATTTACCAATCTTCTTAAACAGAGGGCAGGGGAGGAGGAGAAGGAGGAGGAGAGAGGATATTTCAGCTCTTTAGAAGCGGGATTTCTTGTAAAGAGAATGAGAGTGGACAAAGGAATCGATCAAGGCAGCAAGCCATCTGACTGCATTATAATGAAGGGAGTGAAATATATTCAGTAAACTGATGGACTGAGAGAGAAGGAGGCAAGGTGAGTGAGGAGGAGGAGGAGGAATATCGTAGGAAAAAGACCTGTTGTGATAGAGTGACACAGACTTGTAAGAGTAAAAACGAATAAATTTATGGGGAGGATGTTTACTGCAGAGCTGACAGCAGACTGGAGCTGGGAAGACACCTCTGCATTGTAAACCAGTTTTATCCCTGCTAAGAACAACACAGATGAGATAGAACGAAGCAACTAGAATTGACAAAGTTACAAGCATTTTGATGTTTAATCTTGTTTATGTAGGAGGAAGCAAGAGTCTTTTTTTCTAGAAGTTTTCATGTTCATGTTTTAAAAAAGTAGATACTTGATCATACAACAGCAGCAAATTTTACAGTTTGTTTTTTTTCCTTTGCTGAGCTGACAGGCTGCTTTATTATCAGACCATGCCAGTTTCTAGAATCTAAAACTGAAATAACAATGATGGTCTACAGCAAAAGCAACTCCAGCACTTCTGGGATCAAACTGATCACACACATCATGAGATCATGAGAAGGATTTGCAGTTTGAAATCACCTGTTTTTTGTTTTGGTTCAAACCTGGTCTCTCTCTGTGCTGCATTAATGAACTGCTATAGCCAAACATAAGGTTTTTATATTTGTTTAATACAAACTTTAAGTTACTGTAAAAATTAACTTTTGTGTTATAGGAGAGGGCACAGAATCCTGAGCTGGTTCTTGTTAGGGATCTGCTCACCATGTCAGGATTTAAATTCTCATAACCACCTGTTCACTAGACATGATACTTGCCATTCTGAAACAACAACATTGAGTATCTGTTATTTTCTGTCAAACAAGATGAACCTCAAAATCTCCATGGACATCCTAAAAAAGAGAACAGTAATACCTAAAAATTGTGATCTGAACAGGCAGTAAAAACAGGTATAAGAGAACTGATTTATTGGTATTTTCCGATTTTCTTCTTCTTTTTATTAGATTGCATGGCCTTTATTTTGATAGGACATCTTAAGAGAGTAAAGAAATTTGAGAGAGGGGAGATTAGCATGCTCCAAATCATGACAACCATTGTGATGAGGACTATATTGTGTACTTGGGGCAGTAGCTTTACAAATTTGGCAAAACTGACACCACTTTTTTCTGCTTTTAATACCTTTGTTTTAGCAGAAGCCTTCTGCAAACATACTGGTAAAAAAAAAATGTTCATTTGCACATTTACCCACATATACAACGATACAATTACACAGTGGCTGCAGTTTGTGGATGAAACAAAATAACAGTCTAATTTCATCCTCCTTTTTCATCCCGTCTCTGTCCCTTCCTCTTCTGTAGAATCAAGCTAATGCGATTACAGCCGCATCAAAACAATTTGGACTTTAATTACTCGAGACACATCAGGACGAAAACCATGAGAGGCTTTTCTCAAACCAACTAACGTGTGTGACAGATGAGCTGAGGAGAGGGCACAGAGAGGAAACACAGAGACAGAGGAGAGACGGAGCGGAGAGACAGAGGAGAGACAGAAGGAAGAGGCAGACAGAGAGTTTTTCTAATTAGATGAAGGAGAAGCTCTCAGACGGCGTTAATAGAAATCTACGTGTGACAGATGAGACGCTGCAGTCTGAGCACGCTGTTATCTCTCCCTGCTCAATCTGAGCTGATTACCTGAGCGCTGTGTGGATGTAAGAGGAGCTCTCACAGGAGACGTAAATAAATGTATATTTGATTACACTTGTCTTACCTGGATAATAAAACATGGGCTCCTAATCATTTCACACCTTAAATATATCTGTGTGCCTCTGTGGAGAATATAAAGCTTTGTAGAAGAATAAAAACTAGTTTGAACATGCATGGTTTAAACTTTAAATTAATTCATGTGCTCTATTTTCTCTTTTTAAACATGGCTAAACAGAAGGTGGTCGTGTGGCACCTGGTCCACAAAGGGAAGTAGGTTTACTATCAATATTGTTTTTGATTACTTCCTTTACCTGCGCACACCACCAGGGAAAAAAAAAGTGTATTATAGACTGATCTACAGTCACAGATCTGATTATTGTCTGGGCTTTCACATATAGGAAAGCTTTGGCACAAAGACAGTAACCATGGATGGAAGCTATGAAGCTAATTTGTGCTTATAGAATCAAAAACCTTTTACAGATCGTGTTGAGATGAACAATTATGAGTGAAAATGAAAAAATGCATTTATGTTTTTTTTTTTACACAAAAAGGAAAGATAGACCTATTAGATGTGTTACAAAGAGGGATCAGAGTGGACAGTATGAAATCTGCACTTGCTCTTCATGAAATGTCCCCAGGTTAAGAGATCACAGACAGAGCAGTCCTCCAGCAGGTCAGTGGGACTCAAAAAAAGGCAGAACCAGACGGAATTACACACAATAATCACTCAAAACCAGCCAGAGAGAAGCATAGAAAATCAGCCGTTCATGGTGCTTTCTCTCTTAGTGACAGCTGTCAGTGTGCTCCTCTTCAGCACCATGGACAGCAACGCATTCACATACTGCATGTCCATTTGATCATTTTCAGCACAAGCAACAACAATTTTAACTTTAACTGCTCACACGCCACCAATTCCCACATGTAGACATGCGCTAGGAATACTAATCAAACGCAAAAATATTCAGACACCAAATGCAACAAACTCAGTTGTATACAACCTTTATGTTTCTTGTTTGCACTCTTCAAGTTTAAAATGTTCATGTTTTTGAGGAGCGTTTTTGTACTATACACCAAGCAAGGAGACGGTATTCTTCAGGCTTGTTCAGATTTACATTTCCTTTCCTTTTAAATTCACGTCTTTACCACAGAGAGCTCATCTGAATCTCAAAGCCAACATCTGTGACAGGAGAATGAGCTTTAAACTGTCGAGTTAATCCTCCAACAGGGGAGGTGAGGTGAGGGAACTACCAGGGATATGGGAAACACATGAAAGAGGGAATGCACATGGAAATGTCTTAAAAGGGAAGATATCGCAAACGGAAAATTCCACATACAATAAAAGCAGCAAGAGCAAAAGCTTTCATGGATAAAATGTCCCATGTCTGCAAACAAACAAGTTCTTACTTTCTTCAAAGCCAAACACAGATTCTTCAAATCCAAACAGGGGGGTTTCTCACTGAAATCATTTGTTTGTTAATTGTAGAATTAAGCTTTGGAGGCATGTCAACTTTTAGCCAGTAAACCAGAGTCTCCTCTGTCATATTGTTTATCATCTGTCAAGGGAATGAACAGTAGTAAGATTTAACATACAGATGACGGAGTATAAGTGATTCCAGGTCTTTAAAGTTAAATAAAAATACTATTCGGTATGTGTAGAATTGATAAGTCTTCAAAGAAAATGTAATTTCTTTTTCAAGTGTCAAATTAAGTTGATTAGAAATGAGAATATAGTTGATGTTGACAAGTAATGATTAAAATGATTTAAATTTAATTAGTATTTGAAAATATTATCTGAGGATATTTATTAAAGCCAAATGGTCACTGTATCTGACATGATACCTGACAATGCAAGAAAACATGATACTAAAATACAAAATGTTATTTAAAATTTAAATATGACATTATACAACACTATAAGACCAAATCAAGCAATGAGATATGACACAATGCGACATGATACAATAAAAATGATGTATTTTTAAGACTAAATTCATAAGATACTTAACACAAGACTGTACATTATGATACAAAACAATATGGCTAGTTATGACACTGTTCTAAACCAAACATAGGGAACTATATTAAACTACCTAATAGGGAACATAGACTGTCTATACTAGGGATAACTTTGTTCTAATTTCCACCAGTATACAGATTTGAAGCCGAAAAGCTTTCTGTATTTCTGCGATTTTTCTCCATTTACTGAAACCAACATTGCGCAGTAGCGTCGTACACACTTCACCGCTTGCGCAGTGGCATTGTACGCTTTCGGCGGGAGAGTCGCCGAGAGTCACTGTGATGAGTTTTGCAATCTTCATACGCCCATAGGCTGTATCAAGTGTCAATCATAGAAAACATGAACCCCCTAGTAACTTTTAAGAACAGAGCTGTACAGAAAAAAATGACTTGAGCACAAACCAGCCTTACAATAACTAAATGTCAACATTACAACCAAAGGGGTGAAAAACTTATATTATGTGTAATTAGTTTCAGAAGTTTGCCAACAGCTCCATCAGCTTTGCTGGAGGAGGCGGGATTTATGACCTATACTGCAGCCCGTCACCAGAGGGTGCTGTTCTCAGGGTGGCTTCACCCAGCAAGGAGGCAGGCGGCATTCATTCTATATACAGTCTATGATAGGGAACAACATGTTAAGACAGGATGCTGAATGGTACAATGGGACATTATTGTATATAATATGTAACAATACGTTCCCAGTGGTATGTCACAATAATATATGATACCATTGATACAGTACAGTACATTATTGTACGATACATTTCATTTCAATGTGGAAAATTTTTTATCTTGGACATTCTTTAATGATTATTTTTTATCTTCAGACTGTTAAATTCAGGGCCAGGGTACATCAGGACAAGGGCGCGGCAGACATAACCCAAATAGCCATGGCCTGGAGTCAGTTCTATATCTGATGCATCGAGGACTTCAAATCTGTACATAGGACAAACAGACTGAGCTCACCTGGAGATTTTTTAATACAATATCATCATTTAAGTGCTGCTATAATGGAAAACAATTTTCATTACACTGTAGAGGAGAAAATGATATCAGGACAGAGACCCTGCACCGCCCTCAGTGACCTCCACTCTCATCAGTACTGTTCCAGTGCTCTCCTCTTGCTATCAGCTCTCTGTAATCCTGCTGAGCCAAAGTGCTCTTAACTGGGTTTAATGTAGCTGGAAGCAGTGACCTCATCTTCAGCATGGCCTCGGTAATAGAAGTGTCTGCTCTACATAATGACAGAAACCACAGGAAGGAGAGGAACACCTCACAGATAAACACATTGGCCCATAACATGCCTGATCATGATCTTACACACTCTAATATGCAGATCCAGTCGAATTTAATAGGATTCATAGAGAAGTTACACACGGAGGGAAAACTGTGCTGGAAGCAAAGCACTCATCAACACACATTGCACTTTTCTTGCACATCAGTTGGTGACTAGCAATATTTACTGTCACGTGTAAGGCATTTCCGAAATTCAAAAAAGCACCATCTTACTCAGAGAATTATCAAAAACCATTAAAGCAAGATGAGCCGCCAACATCATATCACATGTTATCATATGTTGATACTAGTGCACAACGTGAGTAAAACTAACACTAAAGGCTTTTTATCAGAGGGTCACCGAGAGGTGCTGATTGACAGTGAGTTCAGGTTCTCTAACATTAAATACAGATCAGCTTTGACAATGATAAATACTGTCCTTGCGCTGAACAAGTTTATACAATAAGTTTTATGAACCCACAAAGCCTCACCTTGGAAAGCTGTGGAAAACTGTCTGATATCGAGACCTTACCCCACAAATCCTCTCTCTCTCTTTCCGTCTTTAACTCCTGTTTGGGCGATTCACTTATCTGGAAAATGTCCCTCCAGCGATCAATGAGCAACAGGAACAGAGCCGCTCTGATTAAGTGACAGGTTGGACCAGAACCAAAGAGCGAAGCTCAAGGTGACAAAGTCACAGCTTGATGCCAGAAATCCTCGACAAACACCAGAGCTGACGAAACAGAGGGAAAACTCTGAGTCTCTCATAGAATGCTGAAAATTTAGTTCTGGATGGGATCCTATCAGAGATAGAGTATACAGCAGGAGTTTAAAAGACCTGACAGACCCTCTTCACAGGACAACATAAGCTGTGAGAATTTACAGCATGTAGCCTGAAGATAAGAAATATTTACACAGTTTCACAGATTTTTAAAGGCCCTGATGATCCTTCAGAAGAATTCAATTGATGAGAAGATGTACAAGATATAAATAAATGACAAACTTAAAGTGTTAGAAGACAGATGTACCGTAAGTCTTTTTTGTTGAAGAAATCTTATCTGACCTTTTAACACAAGAAGATCTCTACCTCCACAAAAACACAACATGAGTGTTGTTCAGTTAGTATTGGAGAATACTGGGGGGAGGAAGAAAACGGATCAGTTGTGGACAAGTTTCATCAAAGACTAGACCGAGTATATCATCCTCAACTAAAGGGGAGTGCCTTGTGGTTACCAGATGAGAGGACAAAGGAGGACACCTGAAAACGAAGCACCCTGCTGTGTCTGTCAAGGTACTTAACAAGGATGCATGATGACCGGCTTCATGGACACACAGTAACTCTCTAGACTGAATGTTTTGAATGTTTAGTAGGCAAGGTAGAAAAGATAAACACAACACCTTGGCAATAAGAAAACCACACTACTTCTGTGAATTTCAACTTACAGAGCCAAGCTACCTCACAGTACACCTCCACCTTTACTTTACTTCTACAATCCGACTTTGCGTCATTTGCATTGCCCGACATCGTGTCTTACATTGACTTTACATTTAATTCACTCGCAAGAATTATTTTATTCGTGTTGTTTTGAACGCACCATCAGTAAGAAACACATTTTCAGCCAAAATGACCAACATAGTCAGATATTCTTTTTTTAACACAGCTTTTCACAACCAGGAGAGATATCTTTCTTTAACAGCTATCTTAAGACTGTGAGAGAATTCTGACTAAGACTAAAATTAACTCTGAGTTCATCTGACTGAATCTTGATATAAACAAAAAGAGAGAATGACTCAGACTAAAACAAAATAAAAAACTCCACAAAATTCATGCTGTTGCAGAGATGTTTGTGACTGTCAACTCAAGTACAGGACTCATTTTCATCCTAGCTTGTCAAATATAAACGCAGTGTCACACCCAGCACCATCAAAAACCTTTGTTGTTTTCACTGATTTACCTGAGGATTTGAGGCTGAGCAGAGAGAAGTAAAAATGCCATCAAAAATATCAACAGTGACTTGGAGAGTTAATATAGTCGGGTGCTAGTTTTCTCTCCTCTCTTTTCTGACTCATCCCTCCTTCTTGCACAACCCAACATAGTTTATATTCACTCCCTCCAGCAGCAGAAACCCTGGAGAGCAACTCTCATTAACCTCCAGCACTGCACTCTGCACACAAAATATGAAGACTTATGAACACTTTGGAAATGCATCCATTAAAATAACGTCCTTGTTATGTTAATGAAACACTAGCTGAATGTGTTGGCCTTTAAGGTGAAAACAAGCCGCTCAGTGCAGCATCTTCATCAGTCTCACATAACAGACACAAACATTTTTGTGTGTGCGTGTGTGTGTTCACTTCACACACACCCTCCCCTCTTTGCAGCAGGCTGCACTCTGCCTCTCTGTTTGTCTTCCTCATGTTTCACTCCTTCAGCCTCTGTGTTGTTGACCTCCATCTCTCCATCTGCCACTTTCTCTTTCTGGACGAGTTAATAAGACGACAAACGGGTCATCCCGAGGCCCCGCGGCCTGCCAAGCAGCAGCGGTCAGACAGACGAGTCCTGACACGCTCCTCGAGAACAACTCTGTGTTTTAATTACCCCCTTCAAGCCTCTGTCCAGAGCTTGGGCGGAGGAGACGAGCTAAGAGAGATGAAGAGGATGAAGCTGAGTGTTCATCACCTCGCCCTTGGGGAGATCCATTAGAGGAGGCGCTGTGTTTGGCAGCTGTAATTAGGTTCATTGGAAAGGAGGTTATCAATACTTGGAGAGAGTGAAGGGAGGCAGCGGCTGCCTGTTAGAGAAAATATCCTTCAAGGTTGTCGTTAAGGACGAGGAGTGTCTCAGTGCTGGAGGGGCTGAGGTTGCTGAAAAGGAGCTGAGGTCCAAATACTAAGAGAGGGGTTGTTTCACAGCAGGCTAGTGGGAACTCTATAATGTATATAGAGAAGTGCTCTAGGAATGAGGGAAAAACACGAGAAAGGGAAGATGACGTTTTTTATCATTATTATTATTATTATATTTATGCACTTAAAGAAAAAAAGGCCAATATTCAAGAACAGAGTTGAAATTTTTAAAAAGGAAAGACTAGTGCTGTGTTCCAGTGACCTCGGAAGTTGGATGTCGGAGCTGGGAATGACATTACACCCGAGTTGATGGTGTTCCAGTGAACAAGTAGGAAAACCAAGATGGATGTCTACTGTTAGCCGTTGTTAGCTATTGTTTACAATTGTCAGCTGTTGTTAGCTGTTATCAGTTGTTGTTAGCGGTTGTTAGCTGTTGTTGGCCAAAGCATAACACAGTATTTACTCTTGCAAACACCATAGCACCGTGTTCACAGTTAGACGTTGGGCAGTACAAGATATACCACTTATTTAATTTCACAAAAACTAAACAGAAGCTCTAATAAATAATACATTACGAGAGCTTTTACTGTTACTGTTTACTGTTGATGCACTGCGCTGCCATCTTTGATTATGACGTTGTCATGAAGTCAGAGTTGGCGAGGATTGTCCGACTTTCCGAGTTGGAAATCCGACTTCAGGGGGGCAAACAAATAATTAATCCAAATATGGGAAAGAAAAGTCAATGGTCACAATGTGGGGATGCCACATTTTCACATTTAACTGGTTTTCCAATATGTGGTAGTACTCTGAGAGAGCAGCGCCCACAAAGGCATTAATTGGACCAAGCAGCAGAATTCACTATCTGGGTTACATTCTGAAAGGAGACTGAAAGGAGCCCTCTAGTGATCTTGAGCCTTTGGGTCAATCAGTAAACCGACACTGAAACTCTTGGTCTGAGTTCACTGAGAAGTTCCCATCACTTGTTCCAGACTTAAACTTCACACACTGAGGTAAACACAAACTAAAACTACCACCTGAGGTAGAGCAGTCAGACCTGTGTTAAAGGTTAAATTCCTCTTTTCGTCAGTGTTGTCTAGTGTCTTAAACTATGGAGATTTCGCTCAAACTATCCTTTTTTCTTTAAATCTAAGTCAATACATAATTTTTGTACCCAGGTTTCTTTGCTCCAGGACAAAAGCCGAGATTAGGAACAGGGGTGTCAGCTCTGCCTGATTGGAAAACAGAGAGATGGTCCAGACATAGACCTCTGAGCCAAACTGTAGGAAGGTAATTCTTTTTCTTCTGTCTAATTAATGTTTGAGAAAAGCCAACAGATCAATGGTGAAATCTAAATACAGATGAAAGAGAAGTTGTGGTCTCTCCTGAAATCTGCCTCCTACTGTATTGCGCTCTGAAGCAGTAGGCGTCTCAATAAAACATGAACCAATCACAGACAGCTATGAAGTCATTACCGGACACAGACCTGGAGGAGTCGAGGTCAGACACAGCTGGTTATTACCACACATAGATTATTTATAGCAGTGATTTCAGCAGTAAGTCACACACACATGCACACACACGCACACACACTCAAACACGCACAGTTGGGAGAGGGTAATGGGGAAATCTGCAGCATGTGACAGGGAGCCTACGAGTCATGCTGAGATCCCAGCAGAGGTCAGACTGAGAGGTCAGAAGCGTCGTTTAAAGGAAACAAGTTGATCATCGTTAAGTGTAAAAAAATATGTAAGTCTCAAGAAATTTGACTTGAAACTGTAAAATGCCAATGTTTGGATAATTTTAGAATCTCACACGCTTTCCAAACTATTGTGGATTTTAGCTGGGCTAAAATTTCAGGACTTTCAGGCTTGTATTTTTGGGAACTTTGGCAACACTTTAAATAAACCCACCAGCTATAATATATTATTAGCACATTTCAAGTATTATAAATGCATTTATAAGGCTTAACAGAAATTCTTATGAGTGATTACAAACATCCATACTAATTATAGCTATGAAGTGTAATGAGCAGAGCCTAATGCTTTATAAATGTATCATTTACATTACATTAATGCCAAAAAAACAACAGTGTCTTTAAAATTCTGGAATAAACCAAAAATCTTGTTAATTTGGGACCTTTGATCTCATCCTGTTATATGCGCATACGCTGGCAGCCTGAATTATTACAAAAGTAAATATGAATATGAGAAACAAACTCCAATAATGTCTTTACTTCTTATTTTTTATAACTTTTTGTTTCAAGCAGGAAATCTGTCTGTTTAAAACATAGCTAAAGACAGACAATATCACGTCTTCTGTCTCTTTGTTAAGCCCTCTGTGTGTGTGTGTGTGTGTGTGTGTGTGTGTGTGTGTGTGTGTGTGTGTGTGTGTGTGTGTGTGTGTGTTTGTGTGTGTGTGTTTGTGTGTGTGCTTGTAGGAGGTGGAGGGTGGACTGCTAAAGCCACAGATAAGGCCCTAAGATAAGGGCTTGGTGGAGATAACCATCACGCTGCCTCCGTCTCTGTGCAGCATCAGCTCTCTGAACCTTATCAGACCACACACACACCTCTATCTAACACACCTCCATCCTTCAGTCTGAGGCCTTCTATTTAACTAAGAGGGGGGCACTTTTTATTTTTCTACCTGTTCTCTCTCACCTGACCCCTCCTCCTCCCTCCTCCTCCTCTTCCTCCTTCCTCTTCCATCACCCCTATCAGCAGAATGTCAGAGCAGATCTATATCGACATATCGGAGGGACAAAATGGCTGAAGGGGAAACGAGGCTAATTAAAGTGATTGGTGAAATAAATGTGTGTTCGGCTGTGTGTGTGTGTGTGTGTGTGTGTGTGTGTGTCAGTCACAGTGTGGAGAATCAGTATGATAAGGGGACAGGTTCAGTATAGATCGGTGTCTCAGTGAAAGTTATCTGTGATGAACAATGAGCCGACCTTCAGGGGGAACAAATCTTGGAGGACATTTACTTCCTGGTTTAGCTGTTGCTGTGGTAACCAAAAGTGTGTGAGTGTGATTAGGGCAGCATGATCTTGTATACTTCTTGTGATACAGGGGCAACACCTTAACAGCAGTGGTGTCTATTGATCAAAATTAGTATTAGGACACGGGCTGCACTCTCACCTCTGTGTCTGTTGGTGGTTTTGTCAAACATCAACATGGCGTCCTCCACCTGGAGAAAGAAAAAGAAAGGTGACATGTTGAAATCCCAGCTCTACTCTTGGTTCCCTGCAAAAAAAAAAAAGTAGAAAACAAGCAACATGGAGCACATACTCTAACTGCTGAGTCAAACGAGGGCTTAACTACACAACCATGTTAACACAAGATATAGCCATGTCCTTTTTGAAGAGTTTAGAAGACAAATTTCAAGAGCTGTTGCATCACAGTGGTTTGACAAGGCTGCCCCATTTCAAAGGTTTCTTCTCTGACATGCTAAAGGATATATATTACATACTGTTGCATGTTACTGCTGCATTACTTCACCTCAAAAATATCGCCCATCTCCAACCTTCACTCTCCTTCTCTGCAATTTAAAACCCTGATCCATGCTTTAATCACATCTATAGTTGATCACTGCAATAGTCTCTTGTATGGTATTAAAAAATGATCAATAAATCACATTACATGCAAAACTCTGCCACTCGCCTCCTCAACCACACACGTTCACACGACCACATCCCACCAGTCCTCCAAAACCTCCTTTGGCTTCCTGTTCACCAATGCATTCAGTTAAAAATGCTTCTCCTCACCTTCAAAGCCCTCCATAATCAGGTTCCCTCTTACGTCACTGACATGCTTCTCCCCAACACTCCTCCCCACACCCTCCAATCCACAGGCTCTAACTTCCTCACCTCTGCTCTGAGGACCACACGCCGAACCTGGGGGGAGCTGCCCCCTCCTTCTGGAACTCTCTCCCCAAACACATCTGGGACTGTAGTGATATATCAAAGTTTAAATCCCTCGTCAAAACCCACCCGTTTAAATCTGCTTTTAATCATTGATGTGACTGTACTTTAGCCTTTCTTTGTAATGTGTTTTTATCCTATTTACTACTGTGTTTTCTTCCATGTAAAGTTTCTCTGAGTGCCATGAAAAATGCTATAAAAATAAAATGTACTATCATTATAATTATTAGTACGACTATGAGGAGCATCCAGGATCCCTAAAATATCCCAAGAGTCACAGAGTGCCAGTTCAGATGACATGGTTGACTTGAGCAGACAAGTCAAGCACTATTAAATGTGAGCATTTGGTTTTCACTAAATCTGGCTGGGAAACTGATATGTTTAAAAAAGGAGGCCCTGTGATGTCAGCTGGTTCAGGTTGTTCAATTTGCTTGGTGAGGAGAATGGCAAACAGGGTCAAAATAAATGATGACTTCAACAAGAAATCCATCCTAGACCCGACCATCTTGTTTCAGATCTGCTTTAACAGTCTCTTCAGGATACAAACGAGAAGGGCCCTTTTTGGGATGCAGCCCCTGAATGAAGACACAGCTTGGTGATTTGGTTGGAACAAAACAAGTGTGTCAAACTCAAACTCCTGTTAACACCTGGTGACATGTCAGGATACATCATTGTCACTGCACAGGTGGACCTCAGCAGGTTTATAAGAAAGAACACTGGAAAATCTGTGTCACTCTATTGACTCATTCACATTAGTGTGAGTGTATGTGCCGATGTCTGAACACATCACGCAACTAACACAAACCATGTAGGGGTCTATTGTTGTGTGAAGTGTTGAGGAAAGAGTTTGGTAGGTTTGTTTGTTCCAGTCCAAACAGATCCATCAAACAAAAGATCTTCTGTAATGCCAGGACATAAAAATACCCGTTAACACCAGAGTTAAAAATCTGCCTTGAAAATATAAAACATGTCACAGACTGTCAGATTCAGCGGCTCTCACATCAACACACAACTTGACATTGTTATCTGACACAATTGACTTTACATAGCATGGACAAGGTGCCAATATTCCCACTCATTGTGAGATGTGAAGCCGATAAAACGCCTGGACAGGCTTCAACATATTGCACTGTTGCAGCCAAGGCAGCTGAGGATCCCTCAGGTCAGTACTGTTCACAGTGAACCAGATTTGTGTGATGAAAACTTTTGGTGACCAATTAGCTACACAATTTATATGTGATACAGACAAGGCAAACTGACTCCACGTTCAATCACTTGAATTTCAGTTTTTACTCATGAGAGCTGAAGTCTCACCCTTTGTGGGATCCTTTAATAAAAGAAGAAATCCATTATTTCTTTGGAGAGACCTTTCAACAGATCCGTTTAATCATTTGAAGAAGAACTTCCCGGGTGATTATGCAGAAAGCATGAAAATGTGAGCGAAGCCTTCCACTGCAGACGGCATGAGTGGCATTAGCAGTTTAGCCACAACTAACCACCAGACCGAAGCAGCAATCAATCGTATCATCTATATTTATCATCTAATGTTTACATTTTAAGGCGTCTTCATCATCCCCAAGGGGAAAAAATATATTAATAATGCTTTAAAACTGGCAGTTTAAAAAAATATAAAAATAATCGTGATAATAATCAAGATCAGACAATATGAAAAAATAGAAAATGGTCTGAAAAAGAGAAAATATTCAGTGAGCAGCAGTTGTGTGGATAAAAATGCCTTGTTGATGTCAGAGGGTGGAGGACAATAGGCAGACTAGTTGATAGAAGGCAACAGTAAGTCAAATAACTGCTCATTACAACCAAGGTATGCAGAATATCATTTCTGCACACACAACACATTGAACCTTTAAGCAGATGGGCTACAGCTGCAGTAGACCACACCAGGTGTCACTCCTGTGAGTTAAGAACAGGAAACTGAGGCTACAACTCACACAGGCTCACCAGAATTGGACAAAAGAAGGTTGGAATAAAGTTATCTGGTCTAAGAAGTCTTGATTTCAGCTGCAACATTCAAATGGTGGAGTCAGAATTTAGTGCAAACAACATAAAAGCATGGATCCATCCTGCCTTGGTGGTGGTGGTGTAACAATGTAAGGGATATTTCCTTGGCACACTCAAGGTCTAGGCCAAACTAGTTTCTTGAACATGACATTGAGTTTACTTTACTCCAGTGGCCTTCACAGTCACCAGATCTCAGTCTAATAGAGAACCTTTGGGATGTGATGGAACAGGAGATTCGGATCATTGATGCGCAGCTGACAAATCTGCAGCACCTGCGTGATGCTCTCATGTTAATATGGACAAAAATCTCTGTTAAATGTCGCCAACACCTAAAAGTATGTCAGGGAAAATTAAAGCAGTTGTGAGGGCAAAATGGGGTCCAACTCCGTACTAGCAAGGTGTAGCTAATAAATTGGCTGGTGAGAGTAGATTACTTATCAAATCATTTTGGTTTACAGGAAATTCTCTTTTTCTCACTTTTGAAAGGACTTGAATTTAAAGAGTGATCTGTCCACAGAGCTGATGGAGTGTTCCCATACCCATCATGCTCTCTGCCTTGTGTGTGAAGAAAGTAAAGTACGCAGTGTAGAGTATCTGTGACAGTGAGATACACCTGCAGCCAGCTGATGCAAACAGATTGTTATCAACATCTTTAGATTTAAACAGAAGAGATTAGAGCACAGCAGATAAAAACAGACTGACTGAACCTCTGAGGAGCGGTTTATCTAAACTCTCCATACCTCTGCTGACTGCTTCATCCTCATCCTCCTCTGGCCAGATGAAGAGTCTTATTTTAAAACACCATCGTTATAAAAGGCAGGCTGTAGTGATGAGAGGTCACTTCAAACTTTGAAATACATGAATGTCTCAGATTTCACCTGCTGACAATAAATACTCCAAACTCTCCACAGACCATCAAACATATCAGGTGTTGCTTTTCAAATCTCATTTTCACTTCCAAAGACTTCACTGTCTGATTGAGCTCAGGTTTTCACACCTGCTCAGGAACCTGCTCATTCTTCTATTTTTAACCCTGACCTGGGCCGATTCAATGTGGCAGCACATCAAAAATCTCAGTGCAGATGTTCTTCTAGCCAACAATGAGGATCCTGAGGTGTTACCAAACCAGACAGAATATAAAATTCCCTCTCACCAGATCTCCTCCAAGGAAATTGGACCAAAAAAACAAACAAACAAGAGAGCTGCCCAGGAGAATCACAACCAGATGATGAACCACTGGAACTGAATCCTTTTGATGGAAGGAGTGGTTGGGTTGGGTTGCTTTGCTTTCCTGTGAGCTACCTGTGAGCTACCATCTAAACTCCTCACTCTGCATGGGTCTGAGCCCAGATACCCTGCAGAGGAAACTCAGTTCAGACACAACTGATGCTGCACAAATTTGTATTTCATAATATTTAAGTTTTTTTTATAATTTATATCTCTTTCGAACTCTTTCTTGTCTGTTTTATTTCATATTTGATTCAAGCAATGGCCAAACAAAGAAAATAAAATGTCCCGCCTTTATGGATGATGCAGGGTTGTTCTGTTCAACAACAAAATGGTCTTCTGCATACTACAAAGGGGAAAGTATCCATTATTTCAAATCAAGTTTGAACCTTGTTTTCAAGAAACCTGGGGCTGGGAGCAGGTGTGATCATTCCACAGTCTTCACGGAGGTCAGGTTGCTCAATTTGTCTCTCCCTGGAGCTGTCAGCCCCGTGAGGCTTTCAGCAGAAAACAGGTTTCTCTCTAGGGAGGTCTGGATCTGTCCCAGCTGTCAATCATCATCAGAGCTGTGATGAAGAGCAGCAGGTGCAGAGAGAAAGTCTCAGCTCCTTCTCTCTGATAACACTCACATACACACACATACGCGCACACACACAGTCACATATGGAATCTGAATGTCAGCACTCGGCGGTGAATTGCTCAGCGTGGATCATCAGAGTGCAGAAATATGCAGATAACCAACTCAAACGTGTCTTCTGTTAAAAAGTTCCCTTTAACACTGCTTGTTGATATTTTCCCTTTAACACTACAGTCCAGAAACATCTTTTTTTTGTTCTTTGGGCTTATGCTTGAGCCTTTAAAAACAAACTCATACAACCATTAAATTGTGTTTAGACAGAATAGAGTAAATGCGGGGAAATGGCTGCTGGATTTGGTATTTGTCAAGGTTGGTTGAAGTCCACAAGTATTCTTCTGTCCAGATTCACCAGAACCCCAAACCTTTCTTGGAATACATGCAGCCTTGAAAGATTGACTGGACTCTGTATTATGTCTTCAGTGAATCAATTCATTTAAAAACAAGATGATATATGGCACCACATTTTTAACTGGATGAAGCTCTTTTTTCATACAAGGGTGAACTAGCTGTTGTTGCATTGCCTTCCAAATGAATTTAGTACTCAAAAATCATCAGGATTACAGTAAAAAAAATATGTTGACTAAATTTTACAGTGAGAGGACCCCCAGGCCCCTACCATCACACACCAACGCCCTCTACATTCTGCTTAAAACTCCTGTGAGGAACTTGTGACTTGTGTCTTTTTTGGCGGCCCCTGTCAACAAAGCAGCCTTCGCTTACCTTGTCTTTGAAGCTTAAGTTGCGTAAATGCATGTGATGCAGATGTCAAATAACTGGTAATTGTTTCTTATTATTGTAATAGCAATGTCAATCAAGATGATCACGTTTCGTTTTTTTTGCTGTTATTGAGGTGCTCTAGTAGCACAGCGGCCAAGTACAAATTTTAGCCAGAATCATTCAGTCGGTTGTACAAGAATGAAAATTGGCATGAACATTCTCCATGGGTCACTTCAGTAAAAAAGTGTCCCAGCCATTTCAAATTTCAAGATGGCTTCCATTTTTCAAGATGGCTGCTACCTAAGTGGAACAATTAGGTGATATACTTGTGAAAATTGGTATGAACAGTCTTCATGAGTCACTTAACAAGAAAGTGCCCCAAGCATCTTGAAATTTCCCTTTGGCGGCCATTTAAAAGATGGCCACCGTCTCATTACAGCAGTAATATCATGTAAACTTGGTGATATAAACACGAAAATTGGCAAGACCATTTTCCACAAGTCACTTTACAAGAAAATGCTTGACTGTGTTTTGTCCAACTCCTCGCCCTTGACCTGTCCAATTTGGTAAAACCTGCCAGGAGTTGCCTTCCAATGGCATAGCTCTTAGGATTCACGGAAGTATGCAAGCTCCCTTACCACAACAAGGTAACAGTCACAAGGGAGCAACTACATAGACATGTGCAAGTGAGTCCATATTTGAAGCACTTGCATTGTCCAGTACAATCCTTGGTGCACCCACATTTGGTCAACTCTCAAGAACTCTCTGCAACAAGAGGAAGAGGAGTCCAAAAGATTCTCCATTCGTCATCTTCTTTTATCCATCCCCAGTCAGATGGGCTTGGCATTTCTGGCTTTGCTTAAATGCCCGTCCCCACACATATCTAGCCTCATAAGCCACATATGTGTCATGCTCTTTCAGTACACTTTTCTGGTAAAGTGACCCACGAAGAATGCTCATGCCAATTTTGATACAATGCTTGTATCACCAACTGAACGATTACGTCACTTATCTGCTCCACTATAGTTGAAATTGTATCAAACAGTGCCTTATTATTAACACCACAAAAATATATCCTTGTAAATCCATGTGACTTTGTTCTGGACCCACACAGAGATATCTGACTCATTTCTTTCCCTTCCTGACACTCCTCCCCAGATTGCAGGTTCATGATCACTATCTGCTTTTATTGTGAAACAGTTTCAAACTCTTCAACTGTCAAACACACGGCTCTTCTGAGGTTTTACTTTACTCTGAGGGGAAATAAAATCATCTTCTGTTTCTTTAGCAAACCGCTCCCCAGCTGCAATCATCATCCTATCTTCATCATTGTTTCCTCTTCATCCTGACTCAGTTATTCCTGCGACTCTCTCTGAATGTGCGGGCTGGTTTCTGTCATATTTCTGTCTGATTGTGTTTTATTGTGCGACTGAATAGATGTGCTGTTCCTGCTGTAAATAAAAGACAAGCGGCGGAGAGAAAAAGTGAAGCTGTATCACTTCATACAGACACACTGTCTCTTTCTCTGCATTGTTCAGCTCACAGAAAGGCATCGTGGGTAATTTGCATTTATAAAGGCCTCCCTCGCACAGCCGGGGATCACTTTAACCGTTCTGTCTCTCCACCAATAATAGAAGCACAAATTGAGGGCTGCAGGCACAGAGGGATGATGGGAAATATATTAATTTGCCTCTTGTCATTGGGGGGATAATTTGAATGTTGTCATGGTAATGTGGCGCTCGGAGGCCATTTTCAGACGGAGACCCGGTGTGAGCTTGCCACGGTCCTCCTGAAGAGCTGATAAGAGAGTGTGTGTGTGTGTGTGTGTGTGTGTGTGTGTGTGTGTGTGTGTACATGTGTGCAGCTTTCACTGAGATGATGAATTACCTGCTTATCTGGCTCAGCCCAGAGAGGGGAGGCGTGACGGCCGGGATGTCAGAGAGAGAAAGAGATGAAATGATGTCAGTGTGTGTGTGTGTGTGTGTGTGTGTGTGTCTGAGAGATGGAATAGTGAGATGTGGAAACAGTAGAGTCGAGATATGGGGGTGATGGGGCAGCTGGATGGAAGACGATGCTAAGCTGCAGAGATGCATTGTGGGTATTCTGCTACAAGTAAAGCCTCTGACAGCATAACAGGAAGCTGACATTGAGGCTAATGATTACTACCTGTCCTCTCACCTGGTCAGTTTCATACTGCAGCTTTGTCAGCAGTCCAAAGCATCGTAGCATCGCATAGTATCGGCAAAATCCCACAAATCATTGGGGTAATGTTTATTGTCAATATCACACACAAAATTTCCAGTCCTGTAATGAGTTTTTTTTAATTTATGAAATAACATGGAATTTATGTTGATAATGATGAAGCAAACAGGACCAGTAGCAACGGGATTGACAGTTTCTCTAATGTAATTTTTAATGCAGAATGAGATTTTTTGGTCAGACACTAGTTGATTATGTAAATGACAAGATAAGCAAGGAGTGTTTTGTCCACATGGGGCGCCAAGAATGACACAAACTGTAAGTTCTTTATAGAAGTTTCATGTCAATAAACCAACTTATCTGACAGCACTTGTCAGCTGGGGAAGCCTTTTATTGGGACCTGCACTCCTCACAGACTAAATCATATCGTGCTGTTCATGGGACTATATTTTGGTGCCATTTTCCCTCTTTTTTTAATCCTGTTCTTTGTTTGTTTTTGTATTTTTGATGGCTATGTGTTCATTATATGCATATTGTAGCCCATTAGCATGTGCCTCACATGACACTGTGTGCCAATCTGTCATCTGATATGTCCTATAATAATCTGCTTCATAGACTGCATAAAACCCTGATTTGAAAAAGGTGGGACTATTAATAACAGAATTTGATGATTTGCATGGTTTCAGTTTTTAACTTCATATTTAATTGTAAATTGTGCACACATACACCAAACACACACACTCTCTCTCTCTCTCTCTCTCTCTCTCTCTCTCTCTCTCTCTCTCTCTCTCTCTCTCTCTCTCTCTCTCTCTCTCTCTCTCTCTCTCTCTCTCTCTCTCTCTCTCTCTCTCTCTCTCTCTCTCTCTCTCTCTCTCTCTCAGCTGCAGATCAAAGCTGACTGTACACAAAGAGAGGTTAATCCAGGAGCCGTGTTTCTCTGAAGAAATAGGCAAGGCTCCTGTGAGACTCTCTGTCATCATTATGAAAAATTTGTTCTGGTGAAAGTCTGCGAACACTGATGTGAAATTAAAACAGTCACCAGTTGGTCCATTCGGTTCACAGAGCAACAGAGCAAGAGAGTGAGAGAGAAAGAAAGAGAGTGGAGTGTGAGCAGCTGTAGCTGCTGCTAAATGTGATTCAGTCTCCTCTTGCTCTGAACAGCTGCTTATGTTTGGATCCATCAAAGCTCTCTGTCAGACACAATAAGGTTTGATGAGGAAGGAGAGCTCTCATACAGCTGTGGAGAGGCTGACACACACAGGCGCACACACTCACATATACACAGAGATTCACTCGCTCGGTATGATTCAAACTGAGTGTAAAAAAAGAGTGTAGACCCAGCCCCCTGGGCCAAATCCAGCCACAGCCTCAGATTGGCCTACAACCAAGTAGAGCACATGAATCCATGCGGACATGACTGAACAGCAATCATAACAAAAGTAGCCAGCTCATCTTCCTCTATTCCCGTCATTGTCTAGAGTTGTCGAGTGCAGTCCTGGTCAGAGCACACTTTGATAGAAACAGTCAATAGATTGGGGCCAAGCCAAATAGTCCAGCTTTTAAAATGTCATCCATACAAAAGCAAAGCAGACTGGCAGCTTAACATTGATAGGGCTGTGGAATATTGAATTGTTTAACCGTCAACTCCAAAGTGCCTCATTTATGAGTATGTTGCAGTATAAAGTTCAGAGGGGCTACTTGACAGTGTAAAGTTAAGAGGGGCCACACAACACCCAACTTTCAGTACCAACTTTGCCCAAAGAACACTGGAGAGACAGCTCAAAGAAAAGAGCTTGTCTGCAGATTACCAACAGACACAATCAATCCTTGTATGGTGCTGAAAAGCCCAACAAAGAACCATGGCAGCTTTCCTCCCTTTGTCACTGATCTTGACAGATATGAAACTGCCACTTACAGACTCTGCAGTGGTGCTAGGACACACACTTGTTTGAGTCTATTTAATGGTAATACTGATTACTGGTTTACAATCATGCACTTTCATAAACCTAACCCTCCGGCGGATTTTACCAAAAGTGTATTATTTCAAATGTAGAATGATGTCTCTATTCACTAAAACTTTTTCCTTTAGCAAAAGCAGGAAAAGACCAAGTTTAAATGCCCCTTAATTGTCCTGGTCTTCAACTCTAACCAAGTTGATAATGTAATCAAACAGCCCCGGTGATCCATAACCTAAATGAAGCCTAGTCATAGTCTCAGTAGTATTGACCAATCCGTTTCTGCCCAAAGAAGCTCAAAGATGCAGTGACCACATTAAAAATGCTGACTCCAACTAACTTCCTACATATTAGAAAGAATAATATTAAAGAAAGAATATTAGAAATGGGTGAAGTAATAAACATAGGTTGCAAAATTCCAGGAATTTTCCAAGTTGGAAACTACCCGATCGTCAGGCCCAGCTTCAGAGAGCCGGGGCCTCAGGAGAGGCTGAAGGACAGGACCCATGCCAGCCACCAGAGCCAGTCCACTCTATCCCTGGAGTGTAGTGGACAGCCGGGGGCCTCAGGAGGTTGAAGGATGGATGTGTCCTTAATTATGTGGATCAGGTGAGCATTGGCGCTCACATTGCTAGACACAACCTCCTGTTGGTGCCCTGTTGTAGTGTGAGCAAGGCCATCCACTCGCAGGGGTTCTGGTCCGGGATCTTGCCAGCAGCAAGCTCACCTTTGGTGGTGACGCTCCCGGTGCTCTTAGATTAGGTTTTTCTTTCTTTTCTCTCTCTTTTCTCTTTCTTTCTCGTTTTCCATTCTCTGTGAAAATCAATCAGCTATGTCATATCCCAATATCCCCCATATTGTGATATGTGCATGCAAGGTTTTTATGATGGGGTGGACAGAACTGTAGAGCACAGTGTCAGGTGCTGTTGCTACAGGACAAGACAGATGTCTCTGGCAGACTCCATCGGTGCTGCAGGCAAAAACTATCCAGGTACAGCAGTAGAAATTGGAACTGTAGGCGGTACTAAGCACTGTATCTCTGAAATGTATCTGTTATTATTTACAAATGCAGCACTTGCGCATAAGCTTCATTTCTCCAGACCAGAGGCTGCCACTTGGGTGTTCCTCCTAACTTGGGAGATATCCAAATTGTACCCGAAGCTTAATGATGTTTTAGACTGTGTTTAACAAAACCACTGAATGCTCAGAGATTTTGGTAAAACACAAATTAGTATTCAGCCATTTATGTGGGTGATAAGCCAGCTGTTCAGTTACCAAATGCACAGATGTGTATGGACACAGTTCTGGATAACCTGCACATATCACAATATGGGGGTACTGGGATATGTCATAGCTGAATTGATTTCCAAAGAGAAAAGGAAAGAAAGAAAGAAAGAAAGAACAACCTAATCTAAGATAAAGTTAAAAAATTCCGGGAATTTTCAAAGATGAAAACTTTCCATGGGAATTAATGGGAATATATGGGAATTAACGGGAATATATGGGAATTAACGGGAATATTTGGGAATCAATGGGTATATATGGGAATCAATGGGAATAAATAAGAAATTTACAAAATTGAAGGTTGGCCCTCAACAGGGAACTTAAATATTGCTGGGGAAAATATGTTGTAGCATAATCTTGGCTAAAACAACCAGAGTTAATGCAAGTCCACTCCTCAAGCACATGCACACAGCACGTACTGCAGGGCTATTGAGGCCACACCCACTACATGCACTGTGCATTTCTCCATCTCCATCTGGAGGCCACACTTTTAAGCCCAGAGCACAAGATTTTTGAGCCCGCAGACTATATAAAGTCAAGTAAGTTTTGATAATATTATGGGGTTAATATATTTGATCTATAATAGTCTCAATATTTAACTTGCAAAAAAATCAAATAAAAATAGGTGCTAAATGTAAGCTATTTTTCATTTCATTGACTATTTAAAGGGCTAGCTTATTATGGTGGTGGTAGCGACCTAAAATGTGATGTTGTTTCTTCTGACTCCTCCAAGACGGTTTTCTGAAATCATACAATAATTAATTTCAATTGTAAAATATTTTGAAGACCATGCCATTCCATTATATTTGGATATGATACAGTTTGTTTAAATTACCCCCAATTTCCAGTTATTCCCATAAATTTAATAATTCCCATAAATTCCCATGAAAAGTTTCCAATTTGGAATATTTTTAAATTCCCCAGGCTTAACTTCCCATGTAAGGTTTCTTGAAATTTACCGGAAATTTTCCGCCCCTTTGCAACCCTAAATAAACGTATAGGTGCGTCTCCACCTGGCTAAGAGTAGCCAGTAAAAAAGGTTACAACTCTAGTCATACATAATTCATAACTTTAATACTACTGAAACTATACTATAAAATTTCAGCCCAATTCAGTTGTCATCATGAACAGAGGAGTCAGCTCCAGAGACTACTAGGCTGGAATTCTGCATGTCCCGCTGGACCCAGCACAAATCTCTCAGGAGCTGGAGGTGAAAACAGGCAGTCAAGAAAATTCTTATGGGTCCCAGATGCACGAAGTGCTAACAAGGAATTGAATCAGGATGCAGAAAAGAATATTAAAGTTGTTTTTACACAAAACAAAGACATAAAAAGGCAACAGTCAGTAATCCAGCAGAAGAGGGTATGGGATCAGGAAAACAGTGCAGGGCTCTAACAGAGGCTAAAACTGTTCACTGTTTCACACCTGGATTGGTATACCGTTGTATCATAAGCTCTAATATCTAGTTCAGTCCGAATTCAGCACCAAGATTTTCTCATGTACCACAGGGATGTAAGGAACTGCTACCTTTACTCAACTCCCCTTACAATTTTGAGAGGTGAATTAAGTCACAGTTCAGACAATCAAACTGGCTATTATACCACTTTGGATATTAGACCCACCTTTTTTTCCTCTGCTTATTAAAGACAGGATAAGTGCTGCAGAGATTCTCTCACCGTCTGAACCCCAGTCACTTAAAGAGAAGCAGTGGAGATGTACTCGAACATAATTGTGCTTCTTGAAGTAAAAGTCAGTTAAAGAGCAGAGAGAGAACGAGCACTTTAAAGTGTCGAGTAATTAGAAGCAACGATTTACTGAGAGAACACGAGGCTGCAGAGAGAGAGGTGAACTCTTTAAACTGAACGTAATCATATGAAGTTACCCTCACCACTGTCTGACAGAGAGCAGACTGTCATTACTGAAAATGAGATCTGTCTCAGTGACCTGCAGACACTGCAACCAGAGATTACCCCCTGGTTACCCATTAGGCTTTTATTTCACCTAACAGTCCTGAAACTGACCACTGACTGACCAAACACAAAGTGGATAAAGACTGTGGATGCCTCACCACCAGAGGCCCTCTGTGTGGGGTTTCTGGGGCACATACAGACAGTGTTGCCAGCTTCTCAGTTAGGACAGTCGCTACCGTCCTGCGATATTGCGGCATTTATTTTTTGGTATCACGGTCAAATTTTTGAAAGTTTCAAAAACTGTGTGTCCACTTCTGACCAATCGGATTTCGTGTTGCTGAAAGTCAGTCTTTTTTCTTCCACCCAGGATGCATCCCACCCCTGGAAAGTCGCAAAATCGCATCGGGCTTCATGTGTAGTGTCATGCGCGTCAAACTTCGCCTCCGAATATTTCGTAATTTCGCGTCGTATATTTGCGCCGGTCCCGGTGTGTAAGGACCTTAAGAGGTTCTGAACTGACTGGATAAGCCTCTTCCTGTGTTTGTGTTAAAATAAGCAGAACAATATAATATCACAAGTACATAACTTAACTTAACTTCACAGGTAAATAAATCTGCTCTTGGGGGCTCAGTTTGACAGAAAAATCTTCATCTTGTTCTGGAGTGACTCATTTACTCTAAGGGCTGATGTGGATGTATGAAAAAGTATCCCCTCAGTAAGTGCAGGTTAAACCATGTCTGATGGTATTCTCCTTCAGACGACTCTGCTCTCTGCAGACTTTAAGGGCAATTATGAAGAGGAGCCATCACTGAGAGAGATTAACTCTCCAACATGTGGGGAGAGAGGCTGCCGTCTAATCAAGCAGCAAATGACCTGATTAAAGATAAAACTCACGGAGCAGGTGGAGGGCAAACATTTTAGTTCCACCTCTGAGGCCGAATGATAATAATGTGAGAGGTGTTAAAGTGAGGGAAGGAGGAATAATGGAGGTGAGGAGGAGAACTCACTGAATAGATCCAACACACCTCCCAGAGCGCTGTGTCTGAAAAACACTCTTTAGCCTTGTTTCATCTTTTATTAGAAAACCACAGAGGTGTTCAGATCGCTGAATCAGGATTTTCTTTTTTTTTGTGGAAGAGCCTGGAGGATTCTCAAGGGGAACAGCTCCAGGTGAGATCGAGAGAGTCAAGACACTGAAACAGATGGATGTATTTTACAAATCTCTGCTCTAACATCCTGTTTTTAAGGACTCTAGTTCTATAACTATGAATGACATCATATTAACTCAGCTTCATTGATATTTAAGAATAAATTTGATTATTTTAATCACAACTTTCGAGACTTGAATGAGACAAGCTCCTGCGGTTACTGATGATGGATCTTGTTCACTATCCCTCTGAGTAGGAATATAACAAAATTAAAATCTAACCCTGCAATAACAAAATGATCTTTCTGCACCACTTATGCCCGTGTCCACTATTTTTGCTGTACTCCATCAGAGGCAGCAAGCAAAGGATGATGGGCTTGCATGGTACAAAAAAAAATTGAGTCACATGAAGATAGGAGGATCAAATAAGGAGGAGACAAGCGTGCATGTACTGCACTCAGATGAAGTACAATACAATACACGAACTGTATTTATCCCCACATGGAAATTCCTTTGTCTGGAGTCTCAAGTCTGAATACAAAACATCTCCTATATCTATCAGTCCTGCAGCAAAGGGACAGGAGCCGTCCAACACCAATGAATTTAGGTCATTTAAGGTGTTATGAAGTGGATGATCCATGATTCCCCAGAATAGCCTCCAGCTTCCTAAGTGTGCATCTCTCTATAGACCCCTTCGATCTCCTGACACCTTGATACGCCGAGAGGCTGTTACCTGTGAGGTTTTTTTTTTTATCTTTTACCAAGCAGATAAAGCCAAACTGCAGACTGGTGACACAAAACAACAAAAAAGATGAACTTCAGAAAGAGCTTATCTAACAACACTGCAATAAAGAAATGTTATGTACTGGTAAAAAAAAAAAAAAAACCGAGAAAAAAATAGCTGGTGATCAAATCATGCATAAATGCTAAAGCATTTTTCAAATTTTGCTTTGTATCCTATTGTATTGCAATATAGTCGCCATGGCACTACCAAAGTTTCACTCTGTTTAAATCATGAACTTGCAGCTCAGTGAGTCACCAATTGGTTTCTGAAGTTGAGTTGTAAAGATTATTGGCAGAGGTCGCCTTAGTGGAAATGCTGACTCAATCCAACTTTCAGTTAAATTGGCATGAAGCAAAGAAGAAAAGTTGAAGTGGTCCATAAGCCTCCATGCCAACAGCTCCAGTGTGCCCCCTTGTCAGTCAAGTCAGCTGTGCCCCTGATTATGCAAAATTTGCAACCATAACCTTTAAAACTCATGGGATGGAAATAAGAAATCATTCTGTGTTCTCTGTGCACGTGCAGGAAAATGACCTATTCAAAGGCTGTCTCTTTTGAGTAAAGGTCCTTTCACACCGAGACCATTTTTTTCGTCCGATAATTTCGGACGTCAATATTTTTTTTGAAACCGTATCCTGTCAATACAAGCGTTCACATCGGCGACGTTTTCTCGTCCTGCGATTATTGCGCCATTTATTTTTTCAGATCATGGTCGATTACCAATGAAAGCCATACTGGCTCAGACGGTACAGGTTGTAAAAGCAAAGCTCCCCAAATGCATATATCAATTCAAGCCAAGATCACGAGTCAAATTAACTCGAACATTGGGTTAACTTGACCCTTAAAAAGAGTTACTGAGTCAACTCAAAATTTGGGTTTATTTGAAGAACCCAACATTCTGGGTCAAAATAACCCAATTGGCCCCTTTTCAACCCTGGTGCTGGGTTAAAAACAACCCAAGTTGGGCTGTTTTTAACCCAGGGGTTTTTAAGAGTGTATGTATCATAAGGCTGTGTGTGTATGTGTGTGTGTCACTCATGGATCTTCCCTCTGGAATTTTCAGCAGGTGCATAGACCTCTGCTGAAATTCAACTGCCCCAAGTGTTTTTTTTTCCATAAAGTTTGGCAAGAAATTAATCAAAGCTGAGCAGACTCTCAGCATCCATGTCTGCTGCTCAACACACACATACACCCAAAAACTACAGACAGACAGATGGAAGGTTTGACAGACGTTTTGGACAATAGCTGGGGGCTAGCAGTTTCTCTCTGCATCAAGCCTTTGAGCTCAGTTACTCTGCACACATCCAGGACATCTGTCTGAACTCCACACACGGAAAAACTTCTTAGGGATGACTGAAGGACTAAACTCCTCTTCGTCCAGGCCTTACAACATCCTATCAGCCTCCACTTTCCTGTCCAAGCTTACACAGAGCTGCAACAACAGCAGGGAGACAAGCCAGAAACATCTGAGCTCAAACAGCAGCTGAAAACTGATCAGAGAGCTCTGAGCGTTCAAACACACTCACACAGTCCAGAGGAGAAAACACACAGACACGCACACACACACCTAATATGTGCGAACACACACTCTTACCTTTCCAAACTGTTCAAAGTACCCTTTCACATCCTCTATTACTGTGTTGGCTGATAATCCTCCAACAAAGATCTTCTTTGTTCTTGTCACCATCTGGAGGAAAGAGGGGAAAAAAAGACAGAGAGAAGACAGTGACAAACATTTCATGATAAATGTAGCATTAAAATGAACCATAAAAACACCTCCATCATGAATCTATGTCTGCTGAACTCATAGTTGCAGCTTTAAGGGATGACCTTAAGTACAGAGGAGATTCAAACGCAGACAGTTTATAGCAAAATAACTTAGAAAATATAAAAACAGAAGCTTCCTGAGAGAGAGCCCTCCAGTCCCGACAGGTGAGAAATCACCACAGGTGTGTAGCCCAGTTGGATGTAAGACGAAAGATTCTTGAAATAATTCTACAAAGTTGATATTTGCCGATATCCAAAATAAGATGCTTCGCTAAGAGTTTACTAAAAAATATTATTCTGCAATTTTAAACTCTGAAGACATGAACTCATGAGTGTTAGATCTCTGTGCTGCCTGAAAATTTCTCTTACTCTCTCCACTATCCTATCCTATCCTCTCCAAATAAAGGCAAAAAAGCCAGAATATAAATCTTTTATTTATTTATTTATTTTAATTTTGTGAAACATGATTGCATGGTGCCAGAAACATATTTTGAAAAGTTGGAAAAGGAACAACAAAACACTCAGAGGTTCTGTAATGCTTAAGGAAGTATATAACCTGGAGGAAACACTGTAACATAATTAAGCTAATTTGCAACAGAAAAGTATCATAACTGTGTGTAAAAATGATATTCCAGTGAGACCGTGTTTCAGAAGATGGGGAGGGGTTCACCATCCTATGAATGCAAATACTTCAACAATTTCAGAATAGTGTTCCTCAGATGATACATATTGGGGATGTTTATCGACTATCGTACCAAAGATTCAGAGAATGTGGAGACATCTGTATACAAAAGGAACAGGGCTGAAAACCAGTGCAGGACTGTCATGATCTCCAAGCATTCAAGCAGCTCATCAGGAATGGCTCTGTAGTGGAAACCACTGCATGGGCTCTAAATCACTTTACTTCACATCAGTTGATATTAACATGTGACACAGCACCCTCCCCTTTGTAAATTGTGGGTGTAATATTGTGGGTGTAATAAAACAGATGTGCATTGAAACACACACTGCAAAGATACTGTTTTGGCTCTCTTTTAATCCATACAGATACAGCTGAGGTCTTTTCACAGGTAGAACACCTGCTGTCACACACTTGAAGACACCAGTCAGTAAAAACTGCATATAAACATAAATAAACTAGTACATTTAAAAACATCAATAAAAAGTCAGGATAATATACTTTATACTTTCTTTTACTATCTTTGGTTAAATTTGCTTTATTTCTCTTTCCATACCTGTCTTCTCTAATGTTTGCTTGAACTCTAGCTTTATTCTACGTTTTCATACAGCTGAGTTACAATGTGTAATTAGGTTTAAATGACAATGCATTAAATCACTGGTACGAAACAGATTCACACCCATAATTCAATGCAGAGTCAACTAAACAAAATGACAGCATGAATATTTAGAACAACAGTAACATTGTGAGATACTGAACTAGGATGATCCAGATTCCTCTAACCTGTTGGACCTTCGTGACACCTGTCCAGTTCGTCTGTTTATTTAGGATTTAGATTGAAGGGAAATGAGGCCATATCTCTAAAGCCTGTCTTTGATAACATACTGGAATCATACAAACATTTAAAATCCATCCAAATTTCAATTCAAATTTACTATCCAGTTCATATGGTCCATCTATAACCTGTTCATCTATCTTATTGTTTCATGTTTTTGTATCTGTCTTCACTTCTTTTTCTCTTTAAGAAAACAGGAAGAAGAATGCTCTGACATTTTCTCCCCTGTGGTGGACTTTGCGTCCTACATCTCTGAGCATCACCATCAGTGGGATAGGAAACAGTGTGTGTATCTGTGCGTGTGCGTGTGTGTGTGTGTGTGTTCGGTTTGGGGGGGGGGGTGTCTGCTCAGTGACAGACCTCCTTTTATTCCTCCAACCTCCCTCCTATTGTGCTGAGCCTTTTATCAGCTCCTCACAGCCCGAGCACAGTCTCAGGTGTGTGTGTGTGTGTATGTGTGTATCAGTATGTGTGTATGTGTGTGAGTGTAACAGCTGACATTCTCACAGAGGAGACAGAAGTATAGGGGGGGTGGCACCTGTGGATGTGGTCTCAGAGGGAGGGGTGATGGAGTTCAGACATAACAGAGGCTGACGGAGGACAAAACGGCAGCATCAGCAGGAGGAGGACTAACTCACTCTTCCCCATCCTCCTCCACCTATGCCCCCTCCACCTCTCCTTCACTGAGCTTCTCATCCGAGCAGACACATAAACTCGTCCTCTCTCTCTCACTGCTGGACGCTGAGATTACTGAAACTGTTGTTTCTCTTAGAGCAAAGGAAGGACTGATTCCAAGTCAGTTACTATCATCCATAAAAGGGTTTATGTTTCATAGTAAACCTGTCATTCCTCCAAAAACACATTTAATGTAGAGACAGATTAACATGTTTCATTGCTGATGAACAGAAAAATACATCTATGTCTGTCTGCTGATAAAAAGCTCATGAGAAAAATTCATTCTTACATTGGGGTAATAATGACTAAAAGACTTTTTTGAGTGTGCTTTTATCTTCTAAATTGATTGTCCAAAAATTAAACTCTTCTGAGGCCTGGACTACAAAGTAAGCTTAATATAACTAAGAATCGAGAACATCTTGATTATCCCTGCAGGGAAACTTGTTTTAAAACCAGCAGTGCCACACAGCAAGCACACAAACGATGGGAAGCAAAAAATAACTCACTAAATTGATTAGAAGGTATACGACAATAAGTAAATATTATAAAAATATACAAAATAAATAAGGTTAATGACGATAAGGACATAGGAGTCTCTGGGACAAGATTTTCAATGTTCAAACTAATAAATTTTTTTTTTGTAAATAATAATTAACTTTATAATTTGGTTGCAGCAACACGTGACAAAGAAGTTGGGAAAGGTGGCAAAAAATACTGAGAAATTTGAGGAATGCTCATCAAACACCTAATTGGAACATCCCACAGGTGAGCAGGCTAATGGGGAACAGGTGGGTGCCATGATTGGGTATAAAAGCAGCTTCTCCAAAAATTCTTAGTCATTCTCAAGCAAGGATGGGGCGAGGTTCACCACTTTGTGAACAACTGCGTGAGCAAATAGTCGAACAGTTTAAGAACAACGTTTCTCAAAGTACAATTGCAAGGAATTTAAGGATTTCAACATCTACAGTCCATAATATCATCAAAAGGTTCAGAGAGTTGGGAGAAATCACTGCACGTAAACGGCACAGCCGGAAACCAACACTGAATGCCCATGACCTTCGATCTCTCAGGCGGCACTGTATCAAAAACAAATATCAATGTGTAAAGGATATCACCACATGGGCTCAGGAACACTTCAGAAAACCACTGTCAGTGAATACAGTTCGTCGCTACATCTGTAAGTGCAAGTTAAAACTCTACTATGCAAAGCGAAAGTCATTTATCAACAACATCCAGAAACGCAGCCGGCTTCTCTGGACCCGAGCTCATCTAAGATGGACTGATGCAAAGTGGAAAAGTGTTCCGTGGTCTGACGAGTCCACATTTCAAGTTGTTTTTGGAAATAGTGGACGTCGTGTTCTCCGGGCCAAAGAGGAAAAGAACCATCCGGACTGTTATCGGCACAAAGTTCAAAAGCCAGCATGGCTCGATGGTCCATGATGGTATGGGGGTGCATTAGTGCCCAAGGCATGGTAACTTACACATCTGTGAAGGCAGCATTAATACTGAAAGGTACATACAGGTTTTGGAGCAACATATGCTGCCATCCAAGCAATGTCTTTTCATGGACGCCCCTGCTTATTTCAGCAAGACAATGCTGAGCCACATTCTGCATTTGTTTCAACAGCGTGGCTTCGTAGTAAAAGAGTGTGGGTACTCAACTGGCCTGCCTGCTGTCCTGACCTGTCTCCCATTGAAAATGTTGGTGCATTATAAAGCGTAAAATACGACAACGGAGACCCTGGACTGTTGAACAACTGAAGCTGTACATCAAGCAAGAATGGGAAAGAATTCCACCTTCAAAGCTTCAACAATTAGTCTCCTCAGTTCCCAAACATTTATTGAATGTTGTTAAAAGGAATGGTGATGTAACACAGTGGTAAACATGCCCCTGTCCCTACTACTTTGGCACGTGTTGCAGCCATGAAATTCTGAGTTAATTATTATTTGCAAAAAAAAAAAAAGAGCTGTAGGACAAATTATAAATCAAAATGTGTGGTTTGATTGCGATTGGTGTGCTATTGCTTTTTTTCTATTGTATATGCAGTTTTTCACAACCGTGGAAACATTTTGCATTGAAGTCAATGGGGCAAGCTAAAGAAGAAAAAGAGCAATTATTGGAGTTTTTCAAACGTCTACTGCTACGGCTGATTTTTTTTGTTTTGTTTTGTTTTGTTTAAATAAATACTTGAAAAAAGGAATGCGCTCCCCGTATATAATATCACAATAGTATCAATAGTATTACTTATTTGATATCTCTCATCATAATGTACACTTCCCACAGTAGCCCCTGTGGTACTTTCAAAGATTTCCCAGAGGGAATTTTCTAGTTTTGTATTATCATTAACACACTATAGTTTAACTCTCTTTAAAACTCCACGCTCTCTCTGTGTCAGACTCACTGATCCTGGACTGTCACAAAACAAACAGCGAGTCTCTCATTTCCTCACATTACATTAGTGGAGTGTGTTTGTGGTTTATCTGTCTGCTCTCTCAGACTGAAGCTGTGATGGACGTGAGCAGCAGCCTGAGGAGGTCTGAGATAACTAAAGGAGACACTCCTCCTCTTCATCATCTCCTCCTTCATTCAGACACAGAGGAAGATCTCATTAAGATAGTTCATTAGATCAGCCTCACTGATGATTATCAACACAAGATATATCCAACAGAATTAAAAACAGAACTCAGTCTGAGCTCTGACTCAATTATCGCTTAATATTTAAAATCAATTTCACATTTTTCCATCAGTTAGAGAAAACAAAAGTCGCAATAAATGTGCAGTTACATAAAATCTAAAGCGCACATTTTATTTCAAAAGTTAAAGAAAGTGGAAGTCAAGAGCAGTTAACTAAAAAGTGAATACATCCACTCAACTCAAGTAAAAGTGAGTGAAATCAGACAAAAAAAGGAATCAACAAAAAATAAACAATCATCAGCTATCACCCTTGATAAAAAAATGGTGCCAAATCAATCATGACACCTACACTACTTCATTAACCTACATTATTACTTTTAAAGAGGTGTACACTTCACATAAAAATATTCAATGAGGATGATTAGAAAGGCATGTAGCTTCAATATAGAAAAGCTACTTTTACCTGGACAGAAAACGCTCTGAAAGTTGGTTTATTATTAGGCAAAGATGATGGTAATATTAGCCTTGTGAGGGCTGAAACCAATATGATGTCAATTATGTCAAAATGCCAACAATCAGCTTGATAAATCGGCTGACCAATTCATCTGTTTATCTCTAATATGTATGCATAATAGTGCTGGGCGATATGGAAAAAAATGTATATCACGATATGGATCATTTTATATCACGATAACGATATATATCACGATATAGCTATGGTATGCTTTCAGTTCTATGAAAAATTTAAGTGTATACAACTGCACTAGTACCTGTACAAGACCAGCACTTAAAACTAGAAAAATGAATAAATAAATACGTGGCTGAAGTGCGTTCATGTCTGTGCTCACCCAAAGTTATGCAACACTCACAGAAAACGCCGAGTGTGAGCCAAAGCACTCCATAATAATAATAATAATAATAAATTTAATTTGTAATGCACTTTACATTTACAAAAAATCTCAAAGTGCTACAGTACACAGTAAAAAAAGAGCAGCAACAATAAAAAAGCAATAGAATGACAGCCACAGATTGGCATAAAAAAAAGAATTAAATAAAAAATATAGAGTTGCAATGTAAGAGGCAAGGTAGTAAAAGCAAAGAGGAAAACTAACCAAAGACTTCATTAAAAAGGTAGGTCTTTAGGGCTCTTTTGAAGAGGTTGTTCACACTGCTAGATGTTTCTCCTCCAAAGCTGCTCTATGCCTCCATCATTGTTTACTTTACTCTTGAAGCACGTGGGAAGACCCGAGCATGAATCCGAGCGCTTTATTCGCCTATCAGGGGCAGACAGGTAAGGTGATTTGATTCGCCACGACTCCAGAAATGATTGAAAAACTACAGAATGTCACAAAATTACGTTTCCTCGCTGCTGGCTTGAAGGGTAGAAATGCGCAGCCGCGCTCCCAGCTGACAGGAAGTCAAACCACTGTTGTAGTTCTTTTGTGTTGCTAGCGCGGTCAAGAGTGTTAGCTCTCACTGAGAGATGACTACAAAAATGGACGCACCTGTTCATCTGGTTGTTAAACACGGCTGAAAATGATCATCTATTAATGTTCCCGCTCCTGCCCACTCCCGTTGCTTTTTTTCCCGTCCTGTCCCGATCAAGGGATTAATTAAAAAATGACTCCCATCCCGCGGGAATCACGTGACCCACGGGGAATCCCCGAAAAATGTCATCCTCTACAGGGAAGGTCCCGGAGCACATAAAACAGGTGCCGGAGCGGCTGAAATAGGTCCCGGATCCGATCAAAAGAGGTCCCGGATCGCGCTCCGACTAGCTCCGGCACAAATTAAGCACTGCTTACAATGATCCCCTCACGTGTGTAACCCAGGTAACCCGCAACGGCGGGAGACGCTGGACACAAAGAGGGCACGTAAAGCGGTGTCATGTCGCCCAGCACTAATGCATAATATATTTTAAAGCATTATTACAATTTAAACAGATGACTAATGAAAATTCAGCCATAAAAATATGGAAGTTCTGAACAGAGCAATGAGCTCAGTAGCTCAACATGTTTATTTCTGCTGTACAGTTTGTCATGTTACAATGGGTCTCAATCAAGACTGACTTATTTAGGAGTGGACCATCAAGAAACAGCAGGTTTTGGACTTAGCTGTGGGTGGGCTTAGCTGGGGCTGGGCCCACCTATTTGGCATCCATGCCCACCAAATCTGGAAGCATACTGAAGGATCATTTTCATTGTGTCAATGATGCTATTTCATCCGTAGCTGTGAGTGTTGCTCAACAAAGGGCTGAGTGTAGATACTACAACTGTAAATAAATTTCAGATTTCGGATGATTTCAGAGAGTTGGATGAGAGGTAGTTGAAGTCAAGAAATAATTCTTTATCCAGGAGCCAGGAGTACCTCAATAACTGAAGGTTTGAGGCGTGTGATTGTTAATATTTTAGTAGTGTAGGATCACAGGTATTGTGCGGCCACATTGACCAGATTAAATGGAAACAGACAGGGATGCTGAATAGATTTTATTCATCCTTGAATGCCATCCTTGACATGGCTAGTAATATCTCAAATATCTTAAAGGGATATTCTGGCGTAATTTTAAGATATGGTCAAACACACCGTAACACCGAGTTAGATAACCCCTTGAGAGATGAATGTTGCTGACTGCTTGCCTCTCTAGTTATACCAACTTCAGCAACGGGGGAGCCCTGACGAGTCGATCACCAAGTGCAGCGGATCATTTCTGTGAAGTAATAATCATCATAATAATCACTTTGCACTGAAGACACGGTAGTTCTTCTGCCATAGCGTCTCGGTCTGATTGCATTTCCATGAAGTAATAATCATAAATGCTGCGAAACTCCGCTGCACTCGGTGATCAACTCGGCAGGGCTCCCCCATAAACAAGCAGCTGCTGGAGGATAGTGGGTGAGTTGTGTTTAGTCTCTTTGCTAAAGAAATTAGGCAAAGTTAAAAAGATGTTTGATGGCTATTACCATGGCTGGGACCCTATATGTACTGTTGATGAAGTTAGGTGCTGTTCTGAGCATTATTTGTGGCTATAGAGTGGCTTTTTGGTTGAGGTTTGTGTATGAAGCCATAGACCCCTGTGTATTGCTATCCTGTGGTCGTTACTAAAGTTGGCATATCAAGAGAAGCAAGCGGTCAGCAACATTCATCTCTCAGAGGGGTGTCTAACTCTGTGTTATGATGTGTTTGACCACAATTTAAATTTACACCAGATTATCCCTTTAATGTAAAATTAATATCTGGACTTGACATTGGACAGTGTGACTTATTTTACGAACATAAGACAAATACTCAGTAAAATTTGCTTTCTGCAGTGACTGAGGATGACTCAGCTCATCTGCAGTCTCTGTTTCATAGACACAGAGCTCAGCAGCAGGTCCCCCCTCCACTAACAAAAAAGACCATCAATGGAAAGAAGAAAAATCTGAGAGAGAGATGAGAGGATGATCCTTAAAGCTATCCTAAAAAATTAAAATGCTAATTAGGTGTTTCCTTGAAGGAAAAATCTGAAACTTTGCAGGAAGTTTGAGGCACTTTACAAATTACTCTCTTTTAGACCCGAGGCAGTATTCATTTTTAAAGTGAGTATGATCTCACTGCTGGTGACTTTGCTGCTGAAATACAGAACTAGCAAAGACCAACTTCTCCTGTAAGTTAAAAATGAATTTTCATTTAAACACCAGAGTAAGTTTGATCAGACCAGAAGCATCACGTTTTGCATACAGTAAAATGAGGCAGCAGAATTTTTTTCAAGCATGTTAACGTAAAAATCTAAACCTGTCACAGAATAAGAAGTTGTCTTATGTATCAGCTAGGCCTGCTACGATATATAATACTAACATATATGTAATCATGCATTTTTAATGATGCTTAAGTTTATCTACATCATCACACCTGTGGTTTCTTTGGTGAAGACATTGCCTGAAAACAGACGCCGAGACAGCAGAGTTTTTGTTGAATAGGTAATTTTTGCCTTTTATCGTGGCACACGTTACATAAATAACTCTTATTAACGATATAACGATTCTAGGATTTCTTTTTTTTTTTAAAGACAGAAACCACCAAAAACTGGTATGTTGCGACAGCCCCACAGTCAGCAGGCTCAACACAAACATGCACTTTGTAAATTAAACTTTCCTTTGTCACATTTTCATGTGTTCAATAACCACAAAAGCTACAGAATCTGTTTCTAACATTGTGTTGTAAGTTTAACAAAATAGTGTGTGTATATGCTCTAATGCAGTGAGAGGGAAAGAAAAGAATGAGGATGATCTCAGCACAAACTGAGTGCTCTGATAAACAGAGTGAAAACACTCCATGAATAACGATCAATAAATCAAGAGTGAAAAAAGAGAAAAATGAATAAAAACACTGAGTGAAAGGTCAGAGAAAACGTGAAGAAGAGTTTGTGAAAAAGAGAAAAGTCAAAGATGGGCAAAAAACGAGAGCGCTCGCACAGCTGCAGAACCCTGAGGCCAACCAGCTGCCACCTACAGGTCAACACACACACACACACACACACACACACACACACACACACACACACACACACACACACACACACACACACACACACACACACACACACACAAAACTTTTCTAGCAACAGTATGAAGTTACAATGAAGAACTTACAAGAAAAAAATCTCACCCTGGAGTACTTCAGTCACTCTAAAAATTTCTCTAAAATTTCATTAAAAATAATAAGGTCACGATATCATATATAAAGAAAGCACATAATACCTGTTTTTAATATGTAATCAAGAGTTCAGGAATGTGAAAAATTAAACCAGGACAGTGTAAATGGTAAGTTGTCATTTTGTCTCACTCATTTGAATTCAACATTTATAACCAGCTGCTCCCTCTACACCATCACACAATGTATCCTTCAGCTAACAACTGAGTAAAAAAACAACTTGAGAGTGGGTATTGATCTTAAGATGGTTAGGAAATGTTTTTGGCTAATCATCACTCTCAATTTATGCACCAACCCAAAGAATTAGGGTAATACAGTATATGTTTTTTAGTAACTTTTCTTTCACATTACCAACAGAGCGGGGAAAATAATCAACAGCAAACTAAATGTGCCATAACACCTATCTGCGGTTTGATTTGTGTGTGTTTGTGTGTGTGTGTGTGTGATAAGGCGGTCTCTAGTTTAGCCTTTGCCATTCAGGATTTATCCATTGTTGGAGGGTTTTCCTTTTAATAATTTTCAGTTCATATTTTTTTATGTTCATATTTTGACTCTTTGATGATCTGTTTGATTGGTAATGTCAGCACTGTTAACAAAACATATACTGGGAAATGTTATTGATCTGTTTACGAGCGCAAACCAAAAGAAAGAAGAACTGAGTCCTTTGTAATTCTGGTAAATTATGGAAATAAATCTGAAATATGACACTGACAGCCCCAGGATTATATTGATCAATAAGTGTGACATGTGCAGGGGAAGAAGTCCTTGTTAGCGGGGTCGCTGGTTCCACCCCAGGCCACAACCCCTCTCTGCAGAGACATCTCCAGCATGTGCAGAGTTAATCACAATTTGGTTCCTGTCAGTGACTCTTTTTTTTTCTCTGTTTTTGGCATTTTAAACATGTTCAGAAGTGACATTTTCCAGACATGGTCTCAACATTGCAAACTAGAGCAATGTATTTTGAGGATACACAGTTTGATCTAAATGTATACTCCAAAATTCACTGCAAAAGTTTCAAGCCTATTCTGAAATATGTTTTTTTGAGAAGGAGAGAATATCTGAGCTAAATAATCTTAATCCTGAATTTATCCAGTTTTTCCCTAAGCAGAGGATTTTTATGAACCATCTGTTTTTACATTCAGCCCTCAGCCTCCTCACTGTCTGTATCTTTGTTTCTCTGATTTTCTGCTTTGATACAGATCATTTAATTCCATAAACTGTTATCGAATCAAATCTGCCCGCTCTTCTTTAAGCTGCAGATTTGCAGATTTTCTTCAGTTCTTTAAAACTCCTTCACTTTGTTCCTCCTCTTCCTCCGTCAGTGCTCAGTGTTTCTCCTCCTCCACCTCATTTCTCCCTTTTCAGCAGATTTCAGGCTTTTAGAGTGAAAAGGCTGAATTTAGAGACATGTTGGCAGAGGAAATCAATGATGGACAGTCTGCAAAAACCTGCACAGACACAGAGATGTAGGTCAGCAGCAAACAAAATACTTCATCTTTGATTAATATGCAGATTTTACTCTAAAATATACTTAGGCTATAAACACAACATATTATATTAAAGTGCATTAAATTTAGAGTTTCTTTTTCTTTTTAAGTCTCAAATAACGGTGTCACTAAACACATAAAGATGACTTTGTCCAGGTGAGTACAACATAAAAAAACCTGTTAAAGGCGTTGGATGCATTTGGTTCCTTGAACTTGAACTAACTAACAGAGAAATGCTGGCTCTCTTTGGATACTGAGTGTCAGCAGTTTAGCTCCATAAAGCTGACAACAAAGACTAAAGTCAGGAAAGTTAAGGAGGAAAAAACCCATCAGTGCAGGAGCAGTGAGGACTCTGGTCTTTTTCACTCTTTGACATGAAGAATTTGCTGAATGTCACATCTTTATTCCACTACAGAGAGCGGTTTATGTGGGACTAAAACATTGGGATTTTTACTTTAGAACAGAGTAGAAGCCAGAAAAACATTCAAAGAGACTGTGATTAAAAAGTGTTTTTAGGGGCCAAAACGTAATAATGAACCTAAAGCCAGGACTGCAATCCTGCTGCCACATGTCAGTTATTACTTATCCAGCTTTACATGGTGAAATATTAAAAGTCTGAACAGTTAAAGACTCATATAAACATGTTTTTACATGTTTATATGACATTTTTCTGATGTAACAGAACATATCATGTGAAAAATAAGTGCCAAATTGCATTTCTGAGTATTTTGCATTCAAATCACTGTGAATCTCTGGCAGACCCAAACGGTGGGTTCAGATACAGTGAGATTTCCTTCGTAGCAAATCCAAGCTCCGCCCCCTGAGCCCCGCTATGCAAGCCAGACTCGGATAAATAGAGAGGACGATCGGAACAAGCGTCTGCGTTAGCGGATTGCAATGCTCGTAAGAAAGCTAATTATGATGTTAGCTTTCATCATGTCCCTAAAGACATTAGTGTCCCAGAGCTAAATAGCTCCTATGTTACCTGCCACTTCTACTACACTAGCAATGTTAGGCTGCAAGCTAACATGAAGAGAAGTGTGCAAAGCAGCACCGAATTGCTAATAAGCAACTAGAGCTCTGCAGAAGAAAAGCCCTTGAAAATGACACAGGTAATGCGACTTTAGCTAAAAACTGTATATTCACAGTTAAAAGACCACTGAGAACACTTTAAGTAGTAAGAAAAAAATGATCGGAGTAAGACTTTAATGTTCAAAACAAATGAAGGAACAGCAGCTTTTTAAAGAGAGGTAAATCATAATATAATCCTCTCTACATCTTTGTATTTTAATCTCTTGACAGTCTCTTTATTCTGAGCAGTGTATTTACTCATCGTAACATCTGTTAAACCTGATGCAAAGCAGTTATTCATTCTCCATAAAGCTTTGTGATGTGCACAGCTGTAGACATATTTCTATATAGCTCAATTTTTCTGATCAAAGGCAAAAGTAACTCTCCTACAAAAACAGCCAAAGTGCTTTCAAATATCATCTTTTGTGTCACTGAGGTTGACTTGATGATCATTGAGAAAAAACCTGCATGCATAGAAATCCACAAAACTGGCTGAAAATGCTGGAGCAGACATGCAAGGCCAGTAGGGGGTACACCTTTGTTATGAAACTCCATTACATGCCTACATGAAAAGACATTCCTCTACAGAGCAGTGAGTAAAACATACCAGAGGATGATTGGGAATCAATGCACAAAAACCAATAAATAAGCATTAAAGAAAGGCATGAAAGTCAGCAGTGAGGCAAAAATCATTATCACAATTATCATGATTATCAAACAGTTACTCACAATCATCAATCTCAATGGTGCATCAACATCTGCACCATTGAGATTTGCTCTACTGAAGGACTTTTTAAAACAGTGATTTTCTGAACTTTATATTTTTAAAAAAGACTATATCGTTTCCCAAAGCGTGATGGTTTCTCTAACAGGATACAGATAAAAAAAAATCATATGTAAACGTACTGAAAGGTACCATGCCTACTGATAACCGTTACGCAATTTCCATCAAATACAGTTTCCTAGGATGTGATGGTGTTGCATCAGCTAAAATATGTCTCAGAATAGGCCAAGTTCCTGAAGAGGAAACAAGGCTACAGCTGCTCACTGCATGAAAAACATATGTGACGTTTTATCCAACCAATTATCAAGAATCAAATGTGCTGTCAACTAATTTTGTCTTCAGTTTTTGTCCACCAAGTAGTCCACCAATTGGTGCACTGCTGTTCATGATCATAAACACACAGAAAGAAGCGACAAACCAAACCTAAGGACTCTGAAACATTAATAAAGACCATGATGCAAGAAATCTGTGGAAAATGATGCTGGTGCTTCATAACTCAGCCAAAATGAAAGCGGGTGATTATACTCATATCACAGAGGTGCAGGGCAATTAAAAAACAGCAGCAAGAAGAGAAGATAAGCCTGCACAAATAAACAATGCATTACATCAAAATGTTGGCATTGAGTGAAAAAAAAGAGTTGTCTTCTGTCTCTTGCAGCTCACCCATGATGACTCAGAGTTTCTTTATTGACTACTGAAGACTGTGTCAAAGTCAGGAAAAGATAATGAGATGGTTGATACTCCAGAAAAACTTTGTTAAATTGACAATCAGTCTGGTAAAGAAGTTTGAAGTTTCCCAGCTCTGAATTTTGTCTGCAGGCGTTCTTCAACAACATAAGCCAATCAGAGGCCTGTATGTTAACATAAAGGTGAAAGTCAGTGTGTCTCAGTTCTCTTTAGTTCCATCCACATCCTTCACTTTTCTTTGCATCTCAGTCCCCCCACCAGAGATTTATGGAGGTGCAAGGAAATGAAGAGGGGGGAGGAAAGGAACAAAGAAATATCAATTTAGAGACATGAGACACCCTTTCCTCCACTCACGTGAAGCCATGTTCGTTTATTTGTGACGAGGATGTCAGCCATTCACCGCTGATCAGCTTTCCGATATACAAACAGCTGTTAGCATCTGCCCACATTTACAGTGTACTGATGCTTATTAAATACACACAGTAACAGTATTTTGTCTCTGTGTCATGTAACTTGTTCAGTAAACACCTTCTCATGATGAACAACCTGCACACTGTTTATTCTGTTTCCTGCTAACTAACATTTGCCCTATAGTGCATTCATCATTTGCGTCAATGTTAAGTGCATATCTGATGGTGAACTTTGTATTTCAATAGGAGATGTCTTAAGAGACTCTACAGTTCGCTTATTGGGTGAAATGGGAATACGTGGTACTTAAAAACACTTAAATTTTTGTAGTACTTGATGATCATGCAAAGACATGATCACTATTATCTAAATGTTTTAAAATCGTATGAGAAATTATTGAGGGTCTGTAAATACTACCATTTTAACTCATAGAGGGAATAACAGTGAGAGAGCTGAGATGTTTGATGGTAAAAAATATATATCCTTTGACTGCACTAATAACTGGGTCACTGTTTTCATCACAATACATTAGAGTTCATCAGATTTTTCTCTGAGTCTGTAGTTTCTGTTTTTCTTGTATTTTCTATTGATGTTTTCATTTCCTCATTTTGACCCACCTTGTGTTCAAAACATGCTCAAAACTAACAATAAACTCACTCGTTGCTTTTGGATGTTTGGACAGATTTCGAGGACACTGGTTATTAAAAATAGATTTTATGAATTAAATCATTCATCAGGAAGTAGTCAGTTGCTGCTTTTATCTAGGCAAAAAACTTTTTGTCAATAACCTCCGTCATCAGTCCACCTTGATGGCTCCTACAGCCATGGAGTCTGGCTGATCTCCTAGAGACAAAGACTCAGCAGAGCCTGGAGCAGAGCTCTAAGTGGACTCCAGACTGTCTCTGTCTCTCCTCGACGGTCTCCCTCTACTCTGAGACTAATCCTTTTTGTCTGAGGAAACCAGCCTCTAAATTTAGACTCAGATTTATCATGCAGACAGACAGAGAGAAAGAGCGAGAGAAAGGACCAATCAAACAGCGCAGCTCTGACTGAGGTTCAGTCCAGTCCAGGGAGAACGGAGAGGGTTCCAAAAGAAAATTAGAGTTTATCAGAAATTCTTTTTACACCTTTTTTTTTTTTGAGGTTCAGTCGCCTACATGTTAAAACCGTACACCTATGTGTGTTGTCTGTTCCTCTATTGTGTTACACAAGAATGTTACAGGCCTTTAATGATGACAAGCAACAGACTCATGCATGACAGGAATATTTGAACATAAATTCAGTGAAACAGGGCCAAAGGTAGGGCTGGGCGATACGGCCTCAAATCAATATCACAATATATTGAGCATTTCACCTCCATAACAATAAATGGATGATAACTACTCCACAAGCTGCTCACCTTCACCCACATTAACTTTGTCTACTTCAGCCGCCACTCCAGCTGCTACAACTTTTGATACGTCCTCTGTCTTCTCACTTGTCTTTCCCTCTGTGTTACGGACTGGATGGGGTGGAGTCATGTCTCTGACGTAGGACAGCGTCTTAAAGGTTATTATCGTAAATTTCGGTATCTGTAATTTTTTGGTTTATCGCCCAGCCCCAGCAAAAGGTAGGGAAAATGGAAAAAAAATGGAAAATGGAAATTTGTGTTAATTTTGGTGCCCCCTGTGGACAAAGCACTGACACCAACCTGGGCTATCTAATGCAACCTCATACAACAGCTCCACCACAAGCTTCAAAATGTTCTGTTTTTTATATGATCAGGCAGGGGATTTTTAGACTTTTTATTAATTAAGTGTGTTTATAGTTCATTAACAAACATGAGAAGCGCAAAATATCAAATAAGCAAAGCATGTCTATAAAAGAGCAACTGGATGGGAACACTGTCCAAATAGGACAGCACACGTCAGGTTGAGGCCAAGACTCAAAACAAGCAGTAGACAAAAGCCAGAAAACACATCCGGGTATTGAGCCAACATCTATGCATCTCCTATTTCGAGACTTTACCAAGGTTTAGTATTGATATTCACCAATGTAATACTATATGTTGGGGCTGATCAATCATTTGAACACCACAATTGCAGTACACACACACCCAATAGTCACAGGATGTGCAATGTCAATCATATGACATAAAACCCGTTGTGCTGTCACCACTTCCTTGTTATCTGGGTTAGATAAAAATCTACCTGAAGTCACTTTCTCTTGAACAAACAGAGGACTGATTGATGTGCAGGAGGTGTCTGTATCTGTGAAGTGTCTGTATCTATATCTGGGCCTGAGTCACAACATCACTACTGTCACAGATTCCAGGAAAACACTCGATTTAGCATGATGGATTTAAAGACAGTGATTTCCTGTTTGTCTCTTTGCTTTCTATGTAGTGGGCATATACAGACTGCTAAACTTACAGGACCAGAGTGGACACTTTTGGTGCCTACATCTGCAGCGCACATACATTATAGTGATGTAAAAATCCTGTGCAGAAGAAAACAGTTTCCATCACAATATTTAAAATTTACAGAAATTACTGATTCAGTGTATGTAAATTAGAGGCTTTTGTTCCTGAAATTTATAGAGCTGTGTCGCTCCACTCACTACTCAAGTTGTCCCAGAGCTGCTGTCCACGGGCTGGATAGAGTGCTGTTAAGACGTACAGTATGTCTTTTTTTATTATTTATCAGATCTTAAATTATCTGGAATAAATTCCTGTATTTTTATATCAAATGATTTGTGCAGAAACTTTAAATGCTGTAACTAATTTAAAGCAGCAGCTGCTTGAATACACTTTTGCCTGTTATGTGTGCTGCAAAAACAATGTATGATAATGTGTTAAAACTCAATAACAATTGTTAAAGAAAAAATATACTGTGCAGAGAGGAAAAAAAGTGATATGTAACCAAATCGTATGTATATATTTTTTAAAACATGGCTCAGCATAAGAGGTCTCTTTCAATGCTTCAGAGAGGCAGATGAAACCACTGAGTTGGTGCGTCACTGGCTTAGTGCTCCATGTGCACGCCCCATATGCGTGGGCTATGTTTAAAGTGTCCAGTTCGGGTTCACTTCCAGAGTATGTCACTCTCGCTCACTCTATCACACACACCCTATTTCCGACTACGCCTTCTGTCCTCTCCAAATAAAAGCCAAAAAGCCCCAAATCTTTAAAAAATATATCAGTAAGTCCCATCACAGTGGCTATTTCCATTATTTATACAGCCTGTGGTCACATTTTGTAAACACAGTTCATACTGCTGCAACTGGAACCACCATGACGTGTTATCGTGAACTACAGTGCTCCGACTATAAAAATTACAGATTTTATTCCCACATCAAGCAAAACTGTATAAATGCGTAAACTGTACTGCTGCTTTGTAATCCACTGTTTCTTGTTAGGTGGTTATAAAGGGTTAAATCCTTCCCTGCTGTCAGAGTCTGTGGTGTGAAACTTTCTCTGCAGAATCCTGCAGTTTCAGTCAGGTGACCCACACCTGCAGCCCCCTGTGACCACTCAACCAGAAGGGTTAACACAGCCTGTCTGCTCTCTGTGTGAGGAGGAGGAGGAGGAGGAGGAGGAGGAGGAGGATGTTTCCTCTGGAGCAGAGAGAGGAGGAGGTTTCCACATGAGAGGAGGTGGACTGTCTTTGTTTGAGCCCATTTGTTCAACAGCTCTGCTCATTAATGTCACTCAGACACACACACACACACACACACACACACACACACACACACACACACACACACACACACACACACACACACACACACACACACACACACACACACACACACACACACACACAGCTGCAGCAGGTCTAGGATCAGTGGAGCAGGACATGTCTGTAAGATCTCTACAGGACTGAGAGGACCACCTGATCTGTTAGAGAACTGGTTCTACATGATTCACTGGTATAAAAGTTCGGGAGAAATCTGGTGAAATGAGTATTCAGACAGTGACTTGGAAATATTTGTAACTTATCACTATTTTTACATCCATAACCTTTATCTATATCCGTAAGTTTGGTCTAAAATGCCAGAGTTGTTAAAAAAATAATAATAATCTTAGAAAACATGCTGCCTTAACTCTGGAGGAGAAAGAGAGAACCATGAAAATGTTTGTCTGAAATACAATCTCAGACTCTTTAACCGCAGTTTGACATCTTTATATCACAGATTGTGATACCATTGGTTATGCCAGTACCTCTGACCAGATGCAGTGTTTTAGGATGCACCAAAATAACTTAACAAGCCTTGGCAAAGACACACATTAAGCAAAAGAGAGATCACAACAACAATGTAAATACAGGAGAGACATCATACCAGAGGACATCTGTCTGTGTGAGCGTATATCTGCAGATCATCTACCTGTCAGCACACCTTCCCACCACAGCAGAACAAACAAGAGAGGACTCATCTTCCCTCACTCTCTCCGTGTCTGTATTTATCACACTGGTGTTAGTGCATGACAACAATCAGTACCTAAAGCATAAAAGATACCATGATGTTATCCCACAGCCTGAAGGGCCAGCTGTAAAGAGACAACCAGCGAACAGAGAGATGAACAGTGACAGTTTCACTGAAGAGTAGCTTTAAATACCAACAATCCAGCTGTCCATTTCACAGCAGTTTTAGAGAAAAAACGAACAAGTCTTTCACTACACAACACACATCTGACTTGACACTCCTACATCTTTCTTTATGGCTCAAACTCTGCATCCCCTCTATTTTTTCTCTTACTTTTCAACAGTCTACTCTCTTCAACACAGACAAAACAGCAAACACCAAACTAACAGCCAAACACAGCTTGAAACCAGGTGAAAACACACCTGTGCCTCACATCGAAGTGTTCTTACCTTGGGCTGAGCTCTTCTAGGAAAGGCAACTTTCGGATCAATCTGCAGGACAGAGAGAGACACACAGAGAGACAGAGAGATTACACACTAAGGAACAAGATCTTTCTATTATTACGATTTTAACTATAAAGAATTTTGAAGATTGCTGTCTTTTCATAAACTGCTAATTTATTCTTATACTCAGAAAGAAAGAAAACCCATTTTATACATTTTTGATCATTTCAATAATAAATGCATCATTTCTCTTTTCCCCCCTTGAATATTTGGTCAAATAACATCGATATTAAACATAAATGCTTAATCTATAGTAAACTTGCAGTGAGGATCTTATAGAATGTGTGGATTTTGGCACCTCTTTGAACAAACTATGTCACATGTAGTCCCATTTCAAGCTTTGGTTAACTTTATTTGGCCGTCATTAGAAGTTTGGATAGTATGATAAAATCTAACTTTTGAAAATGAGCAGAATTAGATAACCCTAAATAGATTAAGTGAATTCCTCCACTAAATTCTGATACAATTTCATTAGGACATACACACAACTTGCTGATCAGCCGGGCCATAAAACACTGAATAAAGCAGCCTCAGCCTAAGTCTCATCATTTCTCTGATCCTCTTGTAACAGTCCACTGAGGCGACTGCGAGCTCAGCTAACATTCCCATGCTTGTTTGTTCCACTTTGCACTATTTTTCATGTTTTTGAGTGATTTAAACTCTCCTTCTTATGCCTAATTTCTGTTATAGGATATTGTAACCTGTTACATCTATCAATAATGACTGATAGGGTTATTTCCATCATGAGTTCTATCCTCCTGCACTGCAAGCTCAGATCCTCCTTACATTTATCCACTAAACTTGGCAAACGTATCATGGTTATAAGGCATGATGGAAAATCCAACAAGATTAACTCACAAACACCTAACCCACAAAGCAACTCACTCCACAAACATAAATAAATAAAAACAATCTGAGGAGATTTTCTGCAATTTAAAAAAAAAACAGTCTGAGGGACTGTGAACAAATAAATTTAAGCATTACAGCTCTGGGTGAATAAAACCTAATCACAAAAACACATACTCCGTCAAATCCAGTTAGACTTTTAGTTCTTCAAACCATAACACACTCCAAAGTCGGTCAGCAAAGCAGAAGGTAGGTGTCTAACAGAACGCCCAGCATGCTTTGGAGGAGTATATGAATATGATACACCCAGCAATAACACAGATAGAGTCACTCATGACAGAGTGTGTCATGTGATATGAATAAGAAGGTGAACATACCATTTTAGAGTCTAGTTCATGGTGCGTCTGAGCTAACACTTTATCTACGCTGGTGACGTCCGAGAATGAGACGAAGCCAAAACCCCTGAAAAGACAAAATAACACATAATAAAGGGCATTTGTGATTCTTTCCCAGCATTAATTAATCAATATATTTTATTTCTTTACTGACTTCTCTTTAGTACACTGTCTTGTCTTTCACTGTATTACTTAGATAAGATCATAATCATGTTGAGCATATTATAAGACATGAAGCTAATTTTTGTATAGAGGCGTGAATATTTACCTGGAGCGTTTAGTGGTTGGGTCTCTCATCACCATACATTCTCTGATCTCACCAAATTTACTGAAATAATCTCTAAGGCTGTCTGTAGAAAAAAAACACAAAATCAATTTATCTATTTTTAAATGGAAAATAACAGTGAAGTGAAAGTGTGGTACACATGCAGGGGTCAAATGGAAGACTTGCTGGCCGCAAACACACATACAAACTTACCTGGTGAAGTTTGCCAGCTGAGGCCACCAATAAACATTTTCCTATCAGGAAAAAAAAAGATAAGTCAGTCCAAATGCCACGTTGTCTGAATAACTTAACTTTTCTTTTTGATAATTTAAAGGCTAGGGAGAAAAATAATGCAGGAGAAACGACAGATCAGTTCCCGGAGCTGAGCAAGCAGCAGCATCCCGGATACGCGTCCCTCTGTACGGAGTGAAAGTTGTGTGCCAGATCCCTTTTGAAAATCTACAAAGTAATGCTCTGCTGGTTTTTAGCATACAGACATGGTAGAATAGTCCAATCTTTGCATTAATTATCGATAGGAACACTGTCTTCAATTCGGCAGGAATAAAATAAACTACAGTGCCCTAATAAAGGCGTACTTAAACTTTTAATCTGCCACGGTTGGGAAATTGTCACTTTCCTTCATCGAAATACAATCAGTTGGATAATTGTTGGTGCTATTGCCAGATGTCTTTAGTGATTCGTTTAGTTGAAATACCGCTAATCTGCATTAGTAGCGAGCCAAATTCACGGGATGAAGTTTTTTAACAACAGAAAGAACTACTGAGTGCTATCAGCCCTTGTACATCCACAAGATGACATAATGGCGTAAAACTTTGGGATTTCTAAATGGAGTTTGGTGTGTTACTTCCTCAGGCAGTAACGGCTCGTTTCCAGGCGTCTACGCAGCAAAGGAGGTCGGGTCGTTGATATTTCCAAGCAAAGGTGTAGCTGACCCGCAAAGCAGTATGAATAAAAAACATAGACCGCTGAAGAATAAAAACAGATATTATGGGACACATGCATTGAAATTTAACCGACAAGCTGGTAACTTACCCCGGGTCCTGGTGCGGATCAGTCGGGCTCCCGGGTGCGGACGGGCTCCCGTCTCCCTCCATGTCTGACCCCGCTGCAGGCGGTGACTGGCGGGCACTCTCAAGCGGAGGACGGTGGACGGTACTGGGCTTCAGTCGGTGAGCCGGGGAGACAGCGCTCCGTCACACGTGGGATCAGTCCGGTCTGCGGTCCCTCCTCCTCCGTCACCGACCCACTGTGCTGACGTCATTTTCCATAACCTGCCCACAGTCAAGGCTTTCAGACAGGTGTTCACTTACCTCATATCCAGGAGCTAGAGATCCAGCCCAAATAGAGACGAATGTCTGAGGTTTTCTGTGCAATGAGTGAACCCAATCAACCAATCACAAACCCCAACAATGAAAACAAGAAGCCAAAATCTGCTGCATCTTTATTCCCCACATGATGTAGTCAAACACTCCTTGAAACAAAGGCACCATTAATACACCATAAACTTTAGTGGAAGCTTTCCTAACCAAAGATTAGCCCATTCGTGGAATTATAAGTCAGTATGAGTCAATAACAAATCAATACAAGAAACAAGCGCCTGTTATCATTCCACATCTGTTTCACACTGACACATCACAGTATTTTAAAAACACTTCTTAAAACACAACTTCATCAGCTGTCAAGAATGTTGATCAAAACAAATTTTGGTGGTTCATATATATCATTAAATTCTACATCTTATTTAGAACAGTAACACAACATGTCAAATAGTTAAAAACTAATTTATAAAAAATGTAAGCTCATGTGGAATTGGCCTGCAAATACAGATAGTTCATTCAACAGTTATGATTGCAATCTTGTTAAGAACTGTTTATGGTAGTTAGTACCACTTACGGCCAACAGCCGGCACTATTACATTGACAATAATGTGTATGATATCAGGCCAGGACCATCATCAAAACTATGAAATGAAATCCTTCACCAACTTTTAGACTGCTGTGCGTTTAAAAGACATGATCTGACAAAACCCTTTGGCATGATCTCTTCAAATCTTCCCTCAAATATCCTGACAATTCGCAGGGAATCTGTAATTGAACTGGCCTCCAGTTAGGATTTCACCATGATGATAAGAGGCTTTTTGTGGGTCTTAGCACAAAATATCCAAGTTTTCACTCATGCAAATTGAAGCAAGTCAAGGGGGATGATTTTGTGGGTTCTGAAGTTTTAGGGGCCATATTGAGACAGTTTTTGTGAGTTTTTGCACAAAGACCACAAACCACTTTTATTTCCAGGTCTGATGTTGGAAGAATGGAAGGAAATAAGGAAGGGAAAAGAAAGGAAGAATGGGAGGAAGGATGGAAGGAAGAACGGAATGTAGAAAGGAAAAAAGAAAGAATGGAAGGTAGTAAAGACAAAAAGGGAAAATGGAAGGCAGTAGGGAGAGAAAAAAGAAGGAAAGATGAAAGAAAAGGCTGGAAGAATTGAAGAAGAAAGGGAGGAAGAAGGGAAGGAAAGAAAGACATAAAGGAGAAAGCAAGGAAGGAAGGATGGAAGGAAAGACAAAAGAAAGGGAAGGAAGAATAAAAGAAGGGAGGAGGCAAGGAAGGAAGGAAGCAGGACTTCTAAATTAACATCTTCGAACCTGTTTTCAGAAGACTGATTTACGTTTTTAACTATTTATTTTACATGGTCACCACAAGAGCGATGCTGTTGAATTAAACAACTGAGCTTTGGTCAAAATGGTCCACTTTATGTGTCCAGGTGTTTGGTGTGGAAAAAGTCTTTGATCTTGACAAAAATCAGATTAAATGAAGATTACTTAATGGGCGGAAAACATGCGGCTGTTTCAAACACCAATGACTTTCAGTTCTGGCAGACATCTTTTTTGATTACTTTTCAAAAAAGGTATATTTTTTAAGGAACCCACTGAAAGGATTATTTTTTATATGTGTAAATATTGGACTCTCGTCTTAATGTGTAATTTGATACAGTAGAGGGTGATGACAGAAAATGTTAAACCCTCAACAACAATTTAACCTGACATTTCTTTGAGCATGGAGCTCCACCTGCAGGATAAAATATGGCATAGCATTTAAAATAAGAAGGAAAAATAAATTCATTTTAAGTACTTTGACATCTAAGTTTATCAGGCATCTAAATTTCCATGTCAGCTGGCATTTAGATGTAGCAGGAGATTATATTTTTATTAATTAAGAGAAAGTACATGTTGCCTTGCAGCTTCTCTGCTAATTTGCCCACTATAATGAATGAAAAAATTGACCACCTGGTCCTTTAATATCCATGCATGTGCTATATAGTAGTGCGTCTTTAGGGTATATCCATGTCAGCTGCCTTGTAAGGGTCAGTCCCCACACATTATGGAATATATAACTGGGTGCAGAGATAGTCTGGACCCTAAGAGAACCTAGGTTATAGTGAGTATTTGTGAATTGGAAAAACACAGCACATCAGTAAAAAAAAATCAGACGACACAAGTGAGGTATTAATAAAATAGTATGTTATTCTTAAATGGAAGAAAAGTTTAAAACATTAACAGAGTTACCCCCATAAAGAACTCAATAAATAAGTATATAAATGAAAATAAAAGGTTGACAACAAAATTTTACACAGCAAGTTAATAGATAAAACAGGGGCTGAAGAAATCATTACAAGATTACATGCCAGGCTCTATCTCCAACAAAAATAATGATAAAAATATTATTAATTAGTTATAAATTTCAACAAAGCATATAAATGCAGCATTAACACAATTAATCTTAAAAGGTTTTTGTCTTTAAAAACAATATAACCACTTTCATTGTGATTTTATAGTCATGTTGTCATAGTGAACAAACAAAATCATCATTACTCCAGTTTGTTTACACCTGTGAAACACTGGATTATAGATAAGATTATAATCTGCTCCATATCTCTTAAACTGGACCAAATTAAAACCATTTGGGATGAGGAGTTTAACCACACTTAAAACATGTCAAAAACACACTTTCATATTGCTCCATCCTGAAAACATTGATAGTGTTGCACCTGGTAAAGTGACACATACATGACAGGACAATAACAGTAATTTCACATTATGTGGTGGCCCTACGGAGTGTATTGTGTCAAAATTAAGTGGATACACTAAGAGGACACCCGGGATCATACTCGATATCTGGAAAGGTTAAGGCCCCAAACTGACTTGTTTAGGAAACAAAATCTGGTGTAGGTTCAAAAATAGTTTTTCAGTTACATCTGAGGTATGTTTTTATAATTTATAAATCATGTAACAAAGTAATGATAAAGAGCAAATAAGTCAAAGTTGGCCTTTTCATCTCACACAGGCTCATGCTGGAGGTGAAAGTGTACTGTGTGAGAGGAGTCCTTTCACTTTGTGCTCTGAACTGCTTAGTGGGATGAGAGAAAGTACTGGCACATTGATACATAGGCTTGGGACACAGCTAAAGAGCTGCTGCTACTGCAACACCCTCACAGGTTTGCTTCCATGGCGTTCACATTTTCAGGTGATCTATTCTGTACCACAAAAGTGCAAGGACCTGGCTCTGTACAGCCTAAAGTGTCAGTGTGTACATGTTTACGTAGATAAAGTTTTCTCAGTCTGTCACTCAAAGATTAGAACCGATCTCTGTCAAAGCCAGGATTTCTTTGGTTGTCCCGGGCAGGCCATGTTGGCCAGCTTCACCTTGACCTTGTCTCTGTTCTCTGAACTTTTCTTGGATGTGCACTCCACAGTTGAGTTCGTCTCAAAGGAGATGGCAGGACCGTGTGCAAGCAGACCTCCAGACTTTCCAGGGACTATGGCTGCAGGAGTCTGCAGGACTAGCTGACTCCTCAGAGAGTGTCGGAGCTGCAGAAGCAGGGGGTTGCGCTGTGGGTACAGTCTGATGGTGTCCCTCTCCTGAACACAGCAGGTGGAGCAGGCTGAGCACAGGATCCGGAAGATGTAGACCCAGCCCAGGTAGTGTAACTCTACGATGTTGAGGACGAAGCAGCCCAGACTGATGCTAAACATGAAGTTCAGAAAGATGGTCTTCTCGGTGGCACGGGACACAAAGCAGTCGGTACGAGTAGGACATGGGTAGGTTTCACAGCGGAACAGGTGAGGCACCTCAAACCCAAACAGGAAGTACTGACCTATGAGGAAGGTGATCTCCATGACAGATCGTAGCAGCACATGCAGGATGTAGATGAGCAGGATCTGATTGGATTGATGGGTAGGGTCCTCTCCTACCTCCCCATAATCCTGCTCCAGATCACTCCCATCCTCTCCCTCCTTCTCTCTGGGGTTCCAGTCCTCTCTGGGGCGAGGACAGTACGTAGGTATGCCTACCCTCAGAGACTCCTCTCTTTCTTCCATGTGTCCTTCTCTCTGTTTGGAGGGTTTCTGAGCTAAAACCTGTGGTCTATGTCCTCTCAGCCTCTCATTTTTGGCAATCTTATGCAGAACAAATACAATGTAGAAAATGGACGGTGTGGAGACCAGCACAATTTGAAAGACCCAGAACCTCAGGTGTGACACAGGAGCAAAGGTGTCGTAGCAGACGTTGTTGCAGCCCGGCTGCTGGGTGTTACAGGTGAACTTGGACTGTTCGTCGCTGTACACAGCATCACCAACCAGTGCCACCAGTAGGATACGGAAAATAAGCAGCATGGTGAGCCAGATCTTTCCAATCACCGTGGAGTGGTTCTGAACCTCGGACAGGAAGCGACCAAGTATGGACCAGTCACCCATCGCCTTACCTGGAGAAATAATGCCAACAGAGTTGTTAAAAGATGGGTATCAGTGGTTGTAAGGATGCATTTCCACTGCAATAACTTTCTCCAGGGAATATGAATTTTTAAGAGTACCAAGAAAGTTCTACCCAAGGGAACTAGGCTCCAAATATTGTCCCAGGGACTTGATTACCCCTTCAAAAGAGGCTGTTTATTGGGTTAGTTCTCTGCGAAAGTACAAGAACTTTGAGGGAGTGAGTGAAAAACATTTATGAACTTATGCTGGTGCTAATATAGATCCTGCTAAAGTAAAGAAAGACAAAACAATCCATCCTAAACAAAATCACTTTTAACATTAATGGACTTGTGCTTTTTACACATCAAGAAGTTTGGGTAGGTTTGCTTTTAAGTATGGGGCTCATGTCTCACTTTCAGCTACATCTACAGGACATAAAGTGGAATATATAGCTTACACTCCAACTTGAATAGATTTAACAACTGGTACTTTTATCCAGTAAAGTTTCATCAGACTGACTTTTATTTCTTGAGTAGAATACTTCAGTACTACCCCTGCTTTTTACCAGTTCATCTTCAGCTTTCAATTTCAGCTGTCCTCTGCCCTTATCAACAAAACAAATTTGCTAAATTATGAACCCTCATTCATACCATCTACACCAAAAGTCAGTGAAGGGTCACCAAAATATGAAGTACATCTGCATCGAGAACCAGAGAACACATATTATTCCACACACAGAACTACCTGTCATTACCTTATCCCTATAGTATAGTTGGGTCACATGAAAACACCAGAGCTGGCTTCTAACAAGTGACAATGGCACTTAAGTGAGGGCATGGCTGATCAAAGCTCAAGAGAAATAATCAATACAGATCCTAAGTATCAATCATTAAGTCAAACATACTCACTGTTCTGGACAAAAATTTTCATGATTGCCCACTGTAGTTGAAAACAAAAACACTTGTTGTGAATTATTTAAAAAAAATCCTAAACTCAATCTGGATTTGCTTTAGTCAGAGTTTGTAGGAGCCAGATAGTAAATTTTTCAGGGCATTATTCTCATAGATCATAATAGAGTTTTGTTATTGTTTAATAGTGTTTTTTTTTATGTGACTTTGAAATAAAACCTGGATGTTAATGAGTGTCTTTTATATTTCCTTACGGCTCTAAGTTTGAATGATGTGTCGCTAAATCTAAAACATGCCAAAATGTGCCTTTAATATGCTGTTACGTATAACTTTACACCATTGAATTTAAACTTCATGTCACCCTGATTACTGAAGACATGTCCTTCATTTGCTGCCTTGTTTCTCAACAAACACAGAAAAAAGGACACCTCAATAACAGGATAAAGTGTATTAAGCTAAGAACTCACCTTATTGTCACCCTTGTTTTTCCAGAATAAATCCTCAAAGAGTGGCCTTTGCCATGCAGTGTGCATGGCTATTTTTAATCTTAAAGTGTTGATGAGATGAATCGCGTTGAGCCTGTTGGGAGAGAATAGGCTGACCAAACATACTAAGCTGGTCTGTCTGAAAAACTGGCATTGTGCTATGTGGCTACAAAGGCTGGCAATGTACAGTGCAACAAAGATTTCAAAACACAATGGGGGGGGGGGGGGGGTGGGTGGGGGTGTTCCTTTTTTGAACAGCCGGGAACAGTCAAACATAAAAGCACGTGGAATGAGCTAGAAAGTGGAGTAAATGCAGGTTTTTGCAGAACTTCCTTATTTATGCTGAAATACCGAAAACAGTTAGACAGAAATAAATCCTTCTACATGTCCTTTCAGGATAAGGTAACAGTTGCTGGAGCATGAGCAACTCTCTAAACTAAAGACAGAAACCAACACTGGTTTTAACATATTGAATCTAGAAGCTGCAGGTAGAGTGAATGATGACAGGAATCAGCCAGTTCTCTGTCTGTCTCTGTGAACACAGATCATACAGTAGTTACACTGAAATGAAAACATATTTCAGTGCAAATTTGTGGTCTCATAAGTTACATCCTTTGCGCAAAGACTGTGTATGATTTTCTCCAAGTGCTTAAAATTGGATGCTTACTGGATACTATATTACAGTATCATCACCCAGGTCGAGACACCAGTTGTTGGCGAATGGAATCTGTTAGTGTGTTGTGTTGCCTACTGGGTTTAGTCATATGGTTTCTCTCCACACACTTAAAAACAGTATTATTGAATATAAAATTATTTGCTCTCTCACATTAAAAAATCTTTCAGACAGAAAGCAGCACTATCAAGCCGATCACTTTTGGTTATTTTCATTTAAATATACAAATAAATGTGTTGTTATTAGAGCACAGGCTGGTCAGTTCAAGCCTGGCTTTCTGTTTTCTCAGCATCCCAAACAGCCAGCTATCTTTACACTGCATCCATTCTGTAGGAGAGGTTACTAAATCTGAAAGTGAAAGAAAGTACCCACAGTACTTACTTCCATGTTGTCTTTTTGTTTGGTTTTGGATTAAAGGATAGCTTGAACTTATGCATTAAAAAAAAAGCCATTTATCGGACTTTTCTTTTTGACTCGTCTTGGTGGTTATATTTTGTCTGCTATTGTGCACTTTTAAGAATGGTCCTCACATCTTACTAATTCTAGTGTTAATAAATAAACTTTTTTCTGCCAACATTGTCTTTATTTATCAATTCATATAGAGAACTGATCTGTAGGAAAATTGTTTTGTATCAAGTATACCAGTACTGTGTTAAATTAAAAAAAAAAAAAGTCCCACAGACTTGTCTGAGTCCCGGCGGTTACTGGTGTTCTGTTGAATTTTGCTCCTTGGTCAAAAGCTGTTGCCGTAGCGTGGATCAATAGCAGATACGATCAATACATATCATTTATATCTAATTGTAAAATACAAAAGCGGCAATGCGACGAGAAATATGCTTTATACTCTATAATCAACCCATTTTGTCTACTGTAGAACAGTGTCTTGATAAAATAACACCCGTCACTGATTCTTAACTCCCTGTGAGGCAAGCGTCCTGGACCATCTGCGCATGCTCAAAAACGCTTGGTCCCATAGCTCGAAGGAAAGCACTACTTGTCAGAACACCGGATGTTGTATCTGCCATGTTTGGCCGCTTTGTTGCAGGTTTGTCGGAGGTTTCTGCAGATTTTAGCTTGTGTGTTGCAGAGTGCTGTAATGGAGCCGAGCTGGAGTACGTTTTTATTCCAAGTAAGTGCCACAACCTCGCAGCAGTGCGGGAAACTGCGTGAACATGATATAAACTACGTAGAAATAATTAGACAGATTTTGGTTTTTCACTTTCTGGAAGGAAATCGTGTTATCGGAGAAAAACAAAGGTGTTAGCCTGTCCGCTTATTAGCCAGTTAGCTCCGCTGTGTGGGATGCATTAGCACAATGCTAACCCAGTGCTGAGCAGTTATATCGAACCCGAGACCTCCGACTGTGTCTGCTCTGTCTCTGGGCCTGTCGGTCTGGATCGTGGTAACCATCCGACCCCCTTTCTAACTTATTTTGAGAAAAGATGAGATCCTTCCCGGTCAGCACTGAATAAACCTGAAGCTCAGCAGTTGCTTTGCTGTTCATGCGCGCGCATTAGCAAATTAGCTAGCATGTGTAGCTAGTGCAGCTGCACGATAGTGAGTTATTCGAAGCTAACCGTATGGCAGCACAGTTATCGTCCTATGAATGCTGATAACAATATAAGGAGTGCAGTGTTCAACGCACACTGAGCTTTCTGTGGATGAACTCATGTTTATACAAACTAATCGGGCATCACATTGTACAGTGAGCTCGAGCTAATGCTAACGTTGTAAACTGATGGCTAACTAGCACGCGGACAGCAGAGATTTAAGCACACTTAACAGTAAACCTTTTTTATTTATCTCTTAATGCCTAACTTTGTCAACTTTCAAAACATTTTCAACACAGTTTAACGTCTTCCTTAGTGTAAACTCTTCAATATAGTGTTTTCTTTTTGAGAAACTTAATTCGACATGTGCAGCTAGTTCAAAGAACTTTTACAAGTCGCGGACAGGGATTTACGGGCTTCTGCAGACATAAACCAAACGATGGTTTTGGTTAAATACAGTACTGTGATGATAAGGCTGTGCTGGAGTCAGAAAGATTTCAATATCAGGAGATTCTAAAACCTTAGCACAGAAACTATTGCAGTCAAAAACAAGGCAATGTGTCCAGAAAAGTGGTAATCTTATCCCTCATGGAAATAACTTTTAGTTTACATCTTGTTTTATTGCCGTTCAGATTAACTGTGCTAGTCTGATAAGAGAGTAATTTGTTACTCAAACTGAACAAAAGCTGCACAATATTGGAAATGATGAATATCTTGGGATCACAATATGTTTGCCTCTTGCACTTTGAGTTGTAATATTATTTAAAACAGGAGTTTTAGATGAGTGCAGCTTACAGCCCAGGTACACATACACAATTAACACATCTTATTTTAAAAAACTTGATCTTTATGTCTGTTTCCAGTCTTGCGCTACTTTTAAAACTTCCTTTCTCCCCTCCATCAGCAGCTATCACACCTTTAGAAGCAGAAAGATGAGGGGGAGAGGAAACATGTTTACATTTTACAGTCATGTGACACATTAGTCTAGACCTTGCATGCACAGTGGTCGGTTCCCTGTGTGTTCAAAGTGAAGACTTGTGCTTAAATGATATCAGATTGAACTTTGATTTAGATTAATCATTGAATACAAGAAACTGGTGTACTTCAGGTTGTATGACAGACATTGTGTATCCTGTGATGTGACTATTATGAAGGCGCATATTGCAATTGCAATTGCAACAATCAACAAGATATTGTTCGGCTCTATACCACACAACTGTCCAAAGGATCTACACTGAAATCACAAACCTGCTGACTGAGATTTTGTTTTTTATTCTCTGGCTCAAAAAGTTGTGATTAATCTCTACACAGTGTAGCCACAGCAGAATACAAAAACATTAAACGATGATGTTATGAAGTAGCAGCAGTTCCCCGGGGATCAGAGACTTCTTTATAGTCAGACAAGTTTATTCTGCTCACTGAAAGTTGTTCTGAAATCCTATAAGGGAAGGTTATTGATCTCCCCTGCAGTCTCAGAATTATTTACCTTTGCTTGTATTCGTGACATTGTCATAACAGAAACATGATGGTCCCCTTGAGTTCTTTTAGTATTATTGTTTTAACATGGCAGGAGATAAATTCATAATGTGTGCAAACAGACACTACAGCGCATCAAACATGACTGCAATTCCCATGAACCATGTTGGTTTAGGATTAAGGGAGGCAGTCAGAGCTGTGTCTGTTTTTCATTGTTGTGTTTCTGCAGTGAGAGAAATACATCACTAAAGTTATTAAATTGAACTAACATTGTTTGGGGATTTTCTGTGCCAATTTAAAAATGTGAATTTATGTTTTAACATGTTTTAACACACTGGTTCTCAAGTCCAGTCCTCGAGGCCCACTGTCCTGCATGATTATGATGTCTCCCTGCTCCAACACACCTGATTCAAATGATCAGCTCGTTATCAAGCTCTGTAATGGCTTAATAACGAGCTAATCATTTGAATCTGATGTGTTGGAGCAGGGAAACATCCAAAACATGCAGGACAGGGGGCCTCGAGGACTGGACTTGAGAACCACTGTTTACACATTTAATATAGCACAACTTCGCCATGGCGGCAGGATATATAACGGTATGAGTTAACTTTAGTCGCGATCTTGTCCGTATTCAGTGAGGTATGCTTGAGTGAGTTCTGTCAATATTACACTAACAGAAGTTGTGTTGAACTCACAAAAACATTAAGATAATGAAAAACAAATCCTAGTCTGTGAGCTCATAATCAGAATATTTTTCCCCATGTGAGGATTTCAAAGGTAATCAAGATTCCCCTGTCATGATAACAGTGGGAATAAGTGGGAAAATTATTCATGTTAACATCATACAATTATTTCAGTTTTAGTGTTTTAAAACTGTCTGTTGTTGAAATGTAACAGTTTCCTCATCAGACTTAAACTGAAGTGTAAGGCTCATGTTCAAAGAGACTGTAAAGTCCGAGTGGTGGATGTGATGGAGCTTCAGTTGCCATGGTGTTTGTCATACTTAAAGAGCAGAGCTTGTGTGTCTGTGTGTGGGGGCAGTTAAAGAGCTGCAGCTGTTAGTGTTGGTGACAGGTTGGTGTAATGGCAGACAGATTACCTGGAAGGAGAGAGGTTCAGCTCATGTGATGAAGCTTTAATGATGTCCTCTTGTTATTGTTCTGCAGTGTTATGATGAAGCTGAGGCTGCTGGAGGGAGGGGGGAGGGGGGTGACCCACAAATGTTGTTTGTTTCAAAACTTCAGCCATATTGTACTTATCATTAACATTTTTTAGATGTTTCGTTCCGTTGTGTCTCAAAAAAGGAGGACAAGTTTGATGGCATAATAACAAATCTCAAAGGAGGAAAAAAACCTGCTTGATTAAAATGTAGGTATTTCAAAGTTTCACCAGTTTTTCTGTAAGTTTTTTAAGCACAGAATGAACCACAGCGTCTCTAAAACAGACTCCGTCACAGCGAACCCTAATGGTGCCTCGCAGTGACACAAACAAAGACAGGATTAGTTGTATTTGTACTATTTCTTGTTAATTTCCGTGACTCTTTTTTTTGGTGGTGTTTATCTTGGACAGGCACTCGGCCTTCACAACAGATTTGAGTCAAAGATTGGAGCAGCGTGGTGGAACAGCAGGCCGCTCTGCTGTGTTTCTGCCTGTCTATGACTGCACACACACATGCTAGCAGAAATGCTAATTGCAGTAATGATTGCAGTGTGAGTGCTGCTACAGTGTGGAGGAAATAAAAGCAAGTCGACAACCTGTGACGGCCCCCGGCTCTCAGCACCACGCTCACACACACAGCATGGCCGCCTGCACCGTGTCCGGCAGCTGAATGGACGCCCTCCCCCTCAGCCCCCCTGAGGGCCATAAGTGCATCAGTAGTTGGATTTGTGTCGTCCATAAAAGAACACAGTGGGGGGAAAAAGCAGCACTTGGGATACACCCCCCTCTCACCCCCCCTTGTAGCTGACTGGGTTGGGATGCTTGGCTGAACCTGAAAGGCGCGGGTCAGGTCTTTAACCCTGGCCGCTGGTGATTACAGAAAAGAACAAGGCGCTCTCCATCGCCTCGTCTCTGGGATGACCTGTTGTAAAGTTGCTGCTTACATCGCGGATCCCTGCTTCCCCCGGACAAAATATTCATACAGCCCCCCCACCCCCTCACCCCCACCTTCTGTTGGTCCTGTCCCACAGGGGATCAGCCATGACCAATCACACAATGCCTGCCAGCAGCTGCAGACTTAAGATGTCCTCCAAACACTGTTTTGCAAGGGGTTAAGTTTTCTGTGCGTGTCACTGCTTTATTTATTTAAGCTGCGCTTCTTTATTGTCTCATTTTAATGTGGCACCTCAGACTTAAATACGCAGGTTTTTGTAATTTGAAGAATCCCTCAACAGAACACCTGCTCGAAAAAAGCTAACCGTAGTAGAATGAGTGTAGAGGGTTGAATCTGATGCTAAAGTGCTGTCTTCGAGACTTGGCGTCTTAATGAGAGGTTCATTTTATTTTTGTCGAAATGATGGTAGGTCTTGATGACTGTGACGTTGATGAGCTAAATCTACTTTTTAAGTGTTTTAACAGCATTTGACACTCAGCTTTGTTAGCGGACATGAAAACGCCTCTTTTTTTCAGTCTTGTAAACATACAGTAGCGAGCATAATGATATAAGGAGTCCAGAGTGAGAAGCTCCTGTCCCAGCCTGACTGTTGAAGCACCTCTGGACCTGTGAGGCAATAAAAGATGTTTTCATTATTAGTGATTAATCATATGAATTAATGTAGAACCCATAAACATTTACAGTAAAAATGAAAATCCTTGTCAAAAATGAGAATTTTGAATACCTTATTATCCAACACAGCTACATGTTTAAATGCCTTTAGCAAGCATTTAATTAAGAATGAAACGTTTGAATATAGTGTGCAACAAATTCCCAGAAGTGAGGTATCACAGGTATGAAGTTTTCTGCTTTTTTCTTGTGTGATGTATAGAAGATCAGGTTGAGTTGAGGGCAGGGTATAGGGTGAGACAGAGTAGTGAGTGAAAACAAATCCAATAGCAGAGTAAAGGTCATGTACGTTTAGATTCATTGATTAATAAAAAAGTGTTTTCACAGGACAGCACTTGGTGAATTTTGCTGTTATATATTGCAGTTATGCACTATGCTGATGTAATGTTGGCACTGTTTTGTAATCAGATCATTGCATCAGACAAGATACGAGTTAAACAGCCTCTGAGGAAGAAAGGTGATTTGTTTTGTGGCCACCGTATGCGACGCCTTTTGCTATTACTGCGTCAGAACATGAAAACACGTCTGCACTGAGGCTCAGTTTGATATGTTCTCTCTTTCCCTCCAGCGCAGTTTGAATGTAATTTACTTCTTTTATATATAAAATCTATACTCTGTGCCTGTGCCCTCACATCTTGGTTTTAGCACATAGGGTTTGATATGCAGTAACATATTTTATGTGAGATTGTCCTCTATCTGATTTTACAGTTATTGCTATTATTACATAGTGAGCCATGAAAAACCCTGAATATTGCCTTTATTGGTATTACTGGTGACAGCCTTCCATCTGATTGTTGATGCCTGCCTTGATCAAACTTCCATACAAGTACCAAAGTAGAGCTGGGTGATAAACCGAAAATTTACTGAAACCTAAATTCATGACAATAACGGATGTCATTTTTCCAATGTCAATATATATTTGGTGTCAAAAAAATAAATAAATAAAAGTTGGTTTTGGATGTGTAGGTCGGCTATGGTCTCATTTCCCTTTTAAGACGTTGTCTTTCGGTGGAGACATGACTCCACCCCATCCAGTTTGTAACAAAGAGGGAAAGACAGGTGAGGAGATGGAGGACAGTTCAAAAGTTGTAGTGGCTGAAGTAGCCGAAGTTAATGTGGGAGAGGGTGAGCAGCTTGTGGAGCAGTTATCCTTGATTTATCATTATCGAGGTGAACTGCTCAATATATCATGATATTGATTTGAGGCCATATCGCCCATCCCTCAACCAAAGCCAATGAGATGATGCTTTGATTGTTTTGATATGATCCCTGCTTTTGATGCCTGACCTCAAACCAGCGTTTCTTTGTCATGACCTTGTATTTTTGTATTAACATGATTTTCTATGTCTCTTGTTACAGCAGGCCAATGAGGCTCTGCATCACCAGCACCAGGTAGCCGGGAATAGTCTGTTGCCTTTGCTCAGTTCAGGATCTGAGCCGCCTGATCAGAAACCAGTGCTGCCCATCCCTTTGGACCAGAAACCCCCTGTCAGTGCAGCAGAACTTCTTAAAGACAATGTGGCCAGTGGTACAGGTGGAGGAGGAGGGGGAGGGCCTCCTCTTGCTGTGGTCAAAAAAGAACCCAAGTCAAAGACGCCCTTCATCTGCGGTTACTGCAACAAAGCTTTCAGAGACAGCTATCACCTGCGGCGGCACGAGTCCTGCCACACCGGCATCAAGATGGTGTCCAGACCGAAGAAGACTCAGACAGCCCCCACCATGGTGCCCCTTATATCTACAGTACCCCGAGAGAACAACGCCAACCAGTCTTATATCACTACTGTAGCTGGAATCCTGACAACGGCCACCACGTCTACGTCCACAGGCACCAGCATCATGACCCCAATGCAGCACCAGCAGCAGCAGCAGCAGCAGCAGCAGCAGAGCGTCCCCAAGAAGCCCCCCAAACCTGTGAAGAAGAACCATGGCTGTGACATGTGCGGCAAAGCCTTCAGAGACGTGTACCACCTAAACCGTCACAAGCTGTCGCACTCCGACGAGAAGCCGTTTGAGTGTCCGATCTGCCAGCAGAGGTTCAAGAGGAAGGACCGCATGACGTATCACGTCCGCTCCCATGACGGAGGGGTCCACAAGCCTTACATCTGCTCTGTCTGTGGGAAGGGCTTCTCCAGGTAAGTCTGTGAAGGGGACCCTGAAACAAAGCTGGGGTACATGGTAGCAGTTTCTATGCTATGTGCTAATGGTTCATTTAGGTCTCATTAAATTCTGTTTGTCACCCCTGTAAAATTCCCCTCATATGACCCACTATCTGTCTTTTATTGAATATTTTGCGCTCATACGCTGAAGGATTTGTCTTTATCTCCTCTTCCAGACCTGACCACCTCAGCTGTCATGTAAAGCACGTCCACTCTTCTGAGAGACCGTTTAAGTGCCAAGTCACGGTAAGACTCTCCTACTTCTTTCTCTTCTGTTTATTCCAATTTAAGATTAGTGACAGTATTGGTATACGATGATCAAATTCAATAGTTACCAAAATATGAGACAGCCACCCTTTGACCAGTCTTTGTAAAATGTTCATGTGTATTTTTGTGTTGATATATGATCCCAGAGGTGTGGTCGGGATCCTGAGATGCTCAAAGAAAAATTGAACTGTTTCTGTGTCGCAGGCCTGTACCTCTGCCTTTGCTACCAAAGACCGTCTGCGCTCCCACATGATCAGGCATGAAGGTAAAGTCACCTGCAACATCTGTGGTAAGATGCTGAGTGCTGCCTACATCACCAGTCACCTCAAGACGCACGGCCAGGCCAGTTTCAACAACCCCTGCAACAATAAAGGTAAGACCGGCTCAAGGACTCTGCACACGTGATCAAAATGACATGAAAACAGCAGCGTCCAAAACACAGTAGACACACACCTGCCAACATTCTCACAGATGCATCTAAAAAAATAAAGTTACTAAAACTTAATTTAATTCAAAAAGGCAAACTCTTATATATTGTTATACTGTATTCATGACATGTAAAGAGAGCACTTTGAACATGTTTTTGTCTTAATCCTGATGATTTAGACTTCAAGCTAAAACCCAGAAATCCAGTGCTGAAGATATTAGATCATGTTCATAATCTTCAAGGGATTTTCATTTATTTACTCAGTACTTGGGCTCCCTACGTCCAAGTTCTGCATCAGTGCAGAGGGGCTTAGACCAGAGGCAACTACCTGTTGCACTGCTGAGGTGTTATTGAAGCCCAGGATTCTTTGATTACAGCCTTCAGCTCGTCTATTTTTCTTAAGCTCAGGTTTTTCCTCATCTTGCCCTTGACCAAAGACATTGAGATATAAGATACAAGTCAGGTGATTTGGCTGCTCATCCAGCACAGTAATGTCATTGTCAGCTATCATTGGGCAGTAGTTTCAGCGCTTTGGGTGGGCGCCAGTTCTCACTCGAAAATGAAATCAACACGTCATAAAGTGTAAAGATGAAAAGATATTTACAGATGAAAACTGAAGTTTTCACAAGTGTTGGAATGGCTGCATTGACTTTGGCTTTGATCGAAGACAGTGGGCCAAAACCCGCAGATGACTTGGCTCGTGGCTATCACTGGATCAACAATCAATGACATCACATCTCTTGTTCAGCACCCTTTCTGTGTTGTCAGAATAAAGCCATAGAAATAATGACAAAAACACACAGCCCCTGTCACTCTTGGGCTAATCTTAGAATTGATTAATTAATGTTCATCTAACCACTGTATTATTGTGGTGTGCTAAACCCAATAACAAGAGTAGTTAGCTTAAGTTCGTAAAAGCACTAGATTGATGCAGACAGCAGCTTGGACAGTAGAGTTAAAGACGGATGGAGATGTTCAATAACATATAAGTGCTGAATGCAAACACACTGGAAACCTCAGACTATTTAAGTTTCCTTGACGTTAATTTTGGTCAGCTAGAGTTTATTTGTGGACTGTTGAATAAAAGACTAGTTACTGGGCTTTTGTTGTCTCCACAAGCACCTTCCTGTTGTTTGATCAATGCCCTCAAATCTGTTTTCCCCTATGCAGTAAAACACATGCCAAATACAGGCCTGATGACAGCCTGGCATCACCCTGAAGTGCCATGAAGCCTAAATGTTTGATATACAACCCCTCCCCATGAACACTGTTGAAGCTGTTCCCCAGATGACAGCCCTGCTGTCCTGTACTCTTGTAATCCCCTATGTGTCTGTATTTCCGACTAGGCATAAGTGACTGGCAGTGGAACCACTCAGGGCCACGAAAAGGTAAACCAGTAGCTAGTAGCAGAAACCCCAAACACCATATTACCCTCAAAGTGGCCAGTTTTTCTTCAACTTTCATGTCACTGAAGTAAAGAGATGATTTGTTTCTCAGGAATGCATTTATTTAAGGTTCACCTGTCGTGACGATGTAGAGCTTTGTTTAATGTAAGGTTAAATTTCATAAAGCAGGATCAGTAGATGTTTGAAATGAACCACAAACTGGACCATAACATTGAGCTTGATGCACACTACCTGTCCACCAATCACAGATAAATCTCTACCCCCCATGACTTTGTCCAATTTTTGATGATAAATCGGCATGTTCAAATATTTACTCCAGAGTATTATAAACTATAATGTTACTGGTAAATGCTTTATTGAAACATGATTACCCAGTACAGTTATTCCCAGGTAAAAAGGGGTCAGGAATTACCCGACCACCAGCTCACTTTCTCACAGCATTGGTGAGACAAGCTGACAAAGAACCTGAGCTCACCTGGGATCAGACTGTTGGTCCTGCAGGAATGTGTGCATCCAGCTGTAGACTTGAGAGCATTAGATCTATTTTACGATGAGTAAATCTGTGTTTCCACCACAATAATTTCCTCTGGGGTCTGGGGACATTAGACGGCTGAATAAATTTCTAGGTATTCGATTTTACCCCCAGACAGTCTCTGTTTGGGGGATAGTACTCTTAAAAATTTAGGGGCATCAGGATTGGGTTTTCAGGGTTGGGACTCTAGAGGCTCTTTCACACACTGGCAGAGCAACTTAATGGCTCCTCGGCCTCCAAAAAGAAGTGTCTGGGACTTTTGGTGGAGATGCAGCTTTACTGTTTCAATTGAAAGTTTTAAATGAAAGCAGATGGACAGTTAGCTGGTTAGTCTATTGATCCTGCTTTTTGAATTTACCCCTCAGGTGAGTTGACGGTAGGAGAGATTTTAAATAACTCCTTCCAAGTCCTTATTGACAACTCTCACAAAGGTAGGTTCTTCATCCATACTCCCACAGTTGTCACAATGTTTTAATGATGATGTGTTGATGTTTCAGTGACCAGACAAACACCCTCATAGCGCACAAGGCTGCTGGCTCGCCATGTTTTGGACAGGATGTGCATCCAAGAGGCTGATCAGATCTAAACTTTCCGTCGTTATGTCTTTCTTGTTTTTACACAGAGGCCAACAACGTGCACAACAACTCGGCCACCACAACGCCAGTCACCAACTCGGCATCCATCTCCTCAGCTGTGAACCGCGGCCCCAATGCCAGTAATCCTGTAACCATCGCAGCGCAAATGAACATCGCCACCAGCACAGTCAACATCACATCTCCGGTCAACCTGCAGCACCCGGTCACGATTACCGGCCCCGTCAACCTGGCTTCCGTCAACATCCCGACCACTGCACACATGAATATCGCTCACCCGGTGGCCATTACCACGCCCATGCCCATGAATATCACAGGGCCACTCAACATCGCCATGAGACCCATGGAGAGCATGCCTTTTCTATCCCAGGTCCTGCCTTCCTCCCCGCCCTGGTAGAGCTGGTTTTAAACGCGTGTTAGAGCTGATAATGTTATAACTGTCTGATAACAGAGTCAACTGTCAGGTAACTGTAATGTGGTAGAACCTGAAACCTTTGAAGTTAATGATGGATGAAACAGAACCAAGTCCTGTAGACTGCGTTAAGGTCGTTGTTAGAGGGAGGGGTATCATGCGTTTTTTCGGACTCTATATTTCCTTCCTGATATCTCTTAAAAAGCTTTATGTGATTTTCAGATCAAAAACAGCCTCAAATTTCTCACAGTTGTGTCAAAATCTCTCTTTAAGGCCGCCTATTCACAAGCCCACTGTCTTCTGATTGGTCGTCTCTCCCATTTGTCTCCCATTTACGCACATTTTTCAGATATTTTAGCGGTTTACATCTACTTTCCAAGATTCTTGCAGCATACGTTTACCTTGTGATTTGAAACTTTGCATACGTGCAGTATTGACGGCAAACTTTGTAACTTTCTGGTTTTCATCGTAAATCTGGGAAAGCATGATACCCGTCCCTTTAAGGCATTATTCATCAGTTATTTCTTTTTTTGTATTTATATAGGAAGTACATTCTCAGTCATTTTTGACCCGCAGTGTTAGAATTGAGTAAGACCGTAGGGATTAAGAACGGTTTTGTGGAGTCTGTTTTTGGCTCACTCGTGTAAAGATAAATTGATAAAATGAAGGTATTTCATCACATTGATGAAAAACATTGATAAAGTATCGTCCCACTTAAGCCCCGCCCAGTAACTTGAATCCCTGAATAATTAATTAGTTGTACTCAGATTTTGCATTTTTTTGTTGGGTTTGTGGTCAGAGTCTGATTTTTATGAAAGTCTTTTTTTTAACAGTAAAAAGACACAATTTAAAACATGAAAAAGCACCAAAAAAGCTTTCAAATGGTTCTAAAACTGCTAATTTCACCACGAATTAACTGTGAAAGTCAGATAACCTTGTGTTTCTTAGATGAACTATGCAGCAGACAACTTTAGACCACGTTTTTGCATGCAGATTATGTTGGGGAAGGATGTGTAAAGGGTTTAATTTGGAGCAGATATGCTGTGTAAATACGAGACGTTTAATGCCAAAGATGTAAGTAAAGTGTTTCCACTTAAATGCTGCATTATAAAAAAGACAAGGGAAATCCTTTGGACAGCATTTAGACCACAGTGAGGTGCTTAACTTACCTTTTAAAACTACAATTACAAACCCTAGCACCCTCAGGCTTCCATTTGCATCTTACTCATTCGTGTTAGGAAAAAAGACCTACAACTTCTTATAATTACTTTTTATCATCTGTTAATTCGTGTCTCAAGAGGTTCCTCACATGTACAGATTTCATCCCCCTTTAAAAAGGAGTATTTTCTTCCATGTTGACACAGTTGAATGTTATCAGGCAGTTCTGACAGTATCGGCTGCGACAGCTCACCCTCACTGTTTGTATTTATCCCCTGTTTACTCCTGTCCCCGCTTCACTAGTTTTTCTCTGACAGATAGGTGAGGATGAGCTGGTTTGTGGCAGCAGTCGACACACAGCATGCTGCAGGAAGGAGAACCCTCTAGAGCCCTTTTATCGGACTTGTTTTAAGTTCTGTTTAGCCGCAGAAGGACCGCGTAGGTTTTGTTCAAGTTAACCAGCTTCGAAGATGATTTCCTCAGCTGATCATGTGACTTCAAATGTGGGTGATGTATGACACCTGAGGCATTGTTTCACAGCTACTTAAATGGAAGTGTATCGCTGGACTTGTTCTTCAATGCTTCCTCTTAAGGCATATTTTGTTTCATGTTCTTTTTTTATATTGTTCTTTTAGTGGACTTATCAGTATTTGATAGTTTATGTATTTTAAAGTTAAACAAAGCTTCCATTTTGGGGGAGGGGGAGTTGAGTGATAATGTAGATTTTACTGATGGTTCTGTCGATGATCCATCAATGATCTTCTCCCCCACTGTGTCTATATTTCAACATTGCTGGAAACCAGTCACTGCTGGATCTCTGCACATGTTTAACAGTGACACGTGTTTGTATGTATTTATAAATCAGGACAAGACGGTTGAAGGTACAGCAAAGATGAAATTTCTCAAACTAAAGCATGTCACTGAGGTCTCGCCTTTTTAAAATGGCAGTATTATCAAAGGTCAAAGGATTTTAAATCTGATTACTGATGCTTTTCTAACTGTAGAGGTCAAGAGCGACACCCAGTGGCCTGTTAGACTGTGTGCTACATGAGCAGTCCCAAAGTGAACTCTTGTGCTTTGTTCTGTTGATTAGTTTACTTTAGCAGGTGTAGGATCCCATCACTGTCAGTCAAACTCAGGAACGTTACTGAGAATAGTTTTCAAACATTTGAACACTGATCATTTCTTTGTAAATATCAAACACTATCTGATTGCCTTTCACCTGTGGGAGTGAGGAAAACTCCGCGCAACACAGGTAACAATGCAAGAACTGTATCACTTCTAATGTGACCGTCCATCCGGAGAGTACAGAGAAACCAGCAGAGTGTCAACAAAGGAAAAGGCTGGAGTCAGGCTCTTCTTTTTAGCAACGTAGTAGACAAGACCTAAACCCATCAGTTGATCCTTTGAACAACCATCATATGTGTGGTTGCAGCTTGATATGGCTTATAACTTATATCAAATAGCTGTTATGTTGATTTTAAAAAAAAAAAAAAACATTGGAAACACAGAACGGTTTACCTTTCGAGTTAAACCAAGACTTACTCGATTGACACATAGGTGCCTGTATTTTTACTACTGATGGAGATACGATTTTTATTCTTAAGTTATTCTTCCGCTGCATGTGTGACTAGTAAGAAGAGTCCATAATTCTTGCGTCAGAATTTTAGTAAACCTCACACTTCAACAACGGTCTCGCATTTTCGTGTGTTTATATAACAAAATATGTCAACCTTGCGATTTGAAAACCAAACTTAAACTGCAGTTTTTATCGTAAATGTGGAAAAGCATGGTACCCCCCTTTTAATGGTTTTCCTCATTTGAGGATCTGTTCTTAGGTAAAGCATCCTCAGTAATACTCCAACATGGTTCAGACTTCTCTCCTTGGAATCTCTTTGATTCAGGCGTATCTATTATTAAAACTGCTCCCTGTTCAATACTGAGGAAGACTCCTCTCTGATTTAGACTTCTGTTTGTGGTCAGATAAAAGCCATTTCATTCTCCAACAAAAAGGCCCTTGGGAGCCTTCATTCCAAATTGGTCAGTCATTATCAGACACTAAAATCAGCACTTTGAGAAGAAACCTCAGAGCAGGCCAAGTTAACCCAAAGGGTTACATTCTAGACAGCCACAGCTGGCTGCTGACGCATCCTACTGAAGAAAGTGTAGAGTTGAAATCCAGATTCCCTCTAAAAGTCCCAGGTTTTAAAATAATTTAGTTTTAATTTAATTGACAAATTTGATTTTAGTGCAGAGTAGTCATCACTCCAGCCTTTACCTTTGTTTGACAAACTTTCTCTGTGGATCTGACTCACTTAGCTTGGCGTGTTGTTGTTCCAGCTGTAATCTTATTGTTTCCTATCATGACTGGAAAGTTGAGGCTGTGACCACAAAGGAGGCTTTATGTACTATTAGTTAATTATTAGAGTTAAAGTGTCTTAAAGGGTTTCCACAGATATCTGTCACCTTCCTACTACAGTATGTTACATCACTCGAGGTGATGTAAGCTAACATTATTGCTGCCTTGCAGACTAACATGTTTGGCTGTGGGTAGATTTTTGTTACAGTATGTTAGTCAATCAGAACCTGAGGCTGTAAGGAGAAACTTGAATGTTTGCTGCATCTATTCAACCCTGAGCTGACCTTTTTAAAATGGCCTCAAACCATTTGTGGATGGATGACCGTTTGTTTTCTTTCTTGAGGTCTGAACATGTCTTCAGAACCACAACTGGTCCCAGTTTCTTGTAGTTCGAGTACAAGAAAGAAGAGTGAGGTTTTTTCCATTTAATATTGGCTGTAGTATTTTGACTCGTGCAGACCTGGTCTGTTTAACTTGGTCAAGAAATCCCCACAGATTAGGTTGGATGTGTCTCATCTCAGCCCCTGGATGATGGTGTGTTAAAGCCTCCTTTGTGATCTCAGCCTCAGCTGACCTTCATACTGTCCCACAGTTCGCTGGCTGTTCGTGTTGTGGGGGACACAAAAAATGGACTTGTTTTTGGATGTGAAGCCTAAGTGAAGGCCTTTGTTCATTGCAGGATCTCTGAAGCACTTGCAGCAAAAAGGATGCACATACTACAGAGAAGAGGTACCTAAAGGGCATTTATGTACGGTGGAGTCACATGTTGGTTGGCAGCCACGCTTGCTTGACCTGTTAGCTTCAGTCTTCGCCAACACTGTCCACCACAAGAAGTGCTCTAACACTAAATGGCATTATGATTCTGGAAAATGACGATTCTTTCTCCTTGTTTTTCTTTTTTTCTCCAAATATTGCATGTGGACGACAGAGCTCGTCCAGTGTAGGTTTGAGTTCAACAACTGTTCTTAGAAGGATAGCGACTTTTTATGAGATGAAAACACTAAAAAAAGTAGGATGTCAGGAAGTTTGAGGTGTCATTTGTCCTTCAGTGGCTGTAAACAAAGTGTGCCTGAAATACTTCACGAGACTCTTCCACACTTCGACGACTCCTCCTCTGGACGGTCTGTGTGATGAAAAGCTTTGTGAAGAAGCCTTCATTAATTCAGATGACAGAGGACCCATCGGGTCCACAAACCAAACCTTGTCTTTATTAGCTTTTTATTTTTCAACCTGATTCTGTTTTATTTCAGGAGCAACATTGAAACATGAATTGGTCTTACTTTCTAAATGTATCGGTGACATTTAACTATGTGGTTTGATTTGACTCCAGCCCAGTGTGAGAAAAAAATAACAAAAGACAAACGTTTATTTGGCCAAATGATGTTTTTATTTTTTAAAGTTTGTGTGATGAATTTGGCAGATGTGAAGGCAAATGAATGTATATCTTTGTACAAACCATTTAGTTCAGAGGACATGTTAGCAAAGAGACTCATGCAAGAAAAACAAACCTTTTATAAAACCTTTTGTATTAGAACATTAACAATGGTAATTTTTGTATATACGAAGGCTAGGCTTTCTGATTAGCAGAAAGGTAAAACATTCCTACATTTTTTTTAAATGTATGTCCATTGAGAATAATTATGGAAACATATGCGCAATGTTTTATGTGCCTTTTATTTGGGTTTGTCTAAATAAAAGAAAACAATAAAACATGATTGTGGACTGTCCATGCTGAGTCGATCCTGTGCATCTCAGCCACACCGATGCTCCTCTTCATCAGAGAAACACTCTTCTTCATCGGAGAGATGCTCCTCCTTGTTTTTTTTTTTTTAGTTTTTTTTTTTTAAGCTGAGTTGGGTTGGTCGCTGAAGTCTCCGCTCTGCTTTTGTTGGACGTCTCTCCGTGTCTTCACCGGCTCACTGGCTCACAGTTGGCCTGCTCATGATGAAAGTGCCTCTGTGACTTCTCTTACTGGAGGGGATTTGGGGGGATTTTGTGCCAAATCATGGTCTGTATGTGACGAGGAAAACATTTCGGTGTTTTTTCATTCTTTAACTATTAAACTTGGAAGATGGGACAGGCTGTGTGAAGTGTGTCTTTGTGAAAGACTGCGATGAAAAAACATCCTTCTTTAGAAATGAATCAATCCAAGAGAGCCAGAGAAGTTCTTTTACCAGCTTGGTGTGGAAGGACATGAGGTCAGGATCTCTGCCACATCCAAAACTACCGACTCCACTGGAATTTAGGCAAGGACCTGCGTTGTTACTGTATTCTGATTGTGCAGAAGTCTATAAAAAGGTGCCTTCTTTCATACATTCTCTGTTAACTGGAGCAGCTTATCCTCCAGTTAAGTGAATCAACCATTTTTCATTTTTATAGTCACTCTTGGCTCAATAATGTAAGACTGCAATGGCCCAAATACCAAAACTCTTGTCAATGAATGACACTACTGTGAGATCACTCACTTCGATACACACTCAGAAGTTAAAACTCCATAAATTGTCAGAGCAGGAGCTAGTTTTAGTGACTGGTTTCCAATACCTGGTGGAAAATATGAGTCACTCTCTGTTAGCCCTATATACCTTGTATTATAATATCATAGAAATAGGTTATATAGGTAGGCCCATTAGAACTATACAGGTGTGGTCTTTAGCTTCATTTATGTGTCAGTAGGTTTCACATCAATCGGACCAATGTGCACAGAGCGTTAACAGTGGTAAAGCAGTGAGAGAACAAGTGCTGCACAAGCAAACAATGTCTTTGTCATCAACATCATCAATATTTCTGTCTAGTTGTAAGGTGATGTCTGCTTGGTAACAGACCATTTTAAAAGGTTGCTGTGGTAACTAATGCATCTGAACTGTGTAAATACCGAAAGATGGTTATTGATTATCATTAAAATCTTTGGTAAATTTACAAGCTGCACTGACACAACACCGTCCACACTAACTGACCTTTAAAATTAAATGTGTCCATTCAGTTTGTCTGTTTGTTATTTTCTATTTGTCTGAAGATATATAATATAATATAATATAATATAATATAATATAATATAATATAATATAATATAATATAAATCTATCACATGTATTCCCAAAAAGGTCATAAATCCGCTTCCAATTCCCCGCTCCTCTGTCTGCTTCTCTGTCCCTGGTCCTCTTCCCTGGTCCACTACCTTCTGGAAAACTGGTCACCTGATCAGTCACAGTGAGAGAGAGTTTCAGTCTGCAGAAGGTGTGATAAAAATGGATCAGCGCTGTGTGAAATCATGTTACTCTCTTCAGATTTCTGCTGCCAGTGAGGTGTGACGCCCCTGAACCAGTGAAAACAGAATCATGACCAGACCCGAACATGTTATTAGACTGCTGTGTGCAGAGTGTGTGTGCTATACTCTTTCAGTTATCATTTTTAGATTATTGAAACATATTCTGTTACAAGCATCCTACATTTGAGGTCATTTCTCACACAACATTATGAGACTTTGAATTGAGGGAGGTTTGTTTTAACAAAAGAGGTGACTTAAAGTTGTCAATTTGGGCTTCTTATGTTTGGATTAATATGTCTTTTTAGATTTGTATATTTATCCATAACTTTCAATAATAACTTTAAATAATAATAATAATAATAATAATAATGGATTTCAAAGCACTGAAGTTTGCCCTACAAGAAAAGACTGAAGAAATTATCTATGAAAAAAGATAAATTTAACAATACATAGACATAATAATGATGTCTGGATACAAATGTTATTGGCAAAAGCTGCTATGTGGTGCAATTTTTCAATATTTTTTTATCTGTGCCATGTTTTTGTGATATTTCCAACTTCAAAAATGTTCAAAAGAGACCAGATCCAAAGACTTTTTTTTGACGTGAACTTATAAAAATTCCCTTTTATTGTCTTTTCCAGCTCTAAAAAATTAACAAATGAAATTAAACAACCACTCTGTCTTCAACAGCACCAAAATACCTCAGCATCATCCAAAGATGTGACATGAAATAAATGTTCTTAACTCCTCTTTAAATAGAAAATACAGTATTATGTGCATCTGTGGGACACTAGACAAAAATAGACGTTTTCTATGAGTGTCTATTGTGTCTACTAAGCAGACTGCAGATATTATCTCAATTTTGCAACTTGATAACCATCACGTGCCATAATTACATCATCTGATAGATGCACATCCACACAAATGTGGTGTTAATTTACACACACTACCTCCTGTCTGTCTTCCTTTTGTCAGCTGGAGTCTGCAGTTCCTCGTGTGTCCAGCAGGTGTTCTCAGAGCTCCTTCCTCTGTGCTGTAGATGGTAAATGAGGAAGATGCACAGCGCCAACAAACTTAAAGGTAATCCCCTGAATGTGTTTCTGACCAGAGGAAATTCCCATCCACGGCACATGACTCTAGTTTTCACGTGTAAACTTCAGTTTTGAGTATTCAAATAAGTGGAAAACATCTATTAGTGACTCTGCTTGTTAGGTTCAATCTCTAGTTCAGTCAGTCAGTGATACTATGAAACTCAGCTCTGTGCAGGGCAGTGGACAGTTCAAATAATAGGAATCAAACAAAGATACTCACAGCTTCACAGAACAGAAACAAAGCAATAAAATCAGATAAATAATGTGAACACACAAACACAGAGAGAGAGAGAAAGACGGAGGTTAAAAAAAACAGTAAGGAGTAAGGAGCAGAGAAGAAAAGTCAGAGAAATAAGATCATGTTACTTTTGGATTTTGCAGTTGAAATAGTTCAACATGAGCAAATGTAATGATGATATTGATGTAATAACTGTTAAAACTCAAAGAGCAAGAGCAGAACAGTAAGCTGTGAAACATGAGCTCTTTTCCCTCCCATGTTTAAGTGTATCTTTTTTTCTGCTGTTATTCACATAAGCCTTTTTCTTCAGGCTGACCTGAGGTCTGAGGTAAAGCTCAGGTGTGACCCTGTGTTTTCAGTCTCTGCTCTCAAGCTCTGCAGTGCGCTCTGTCCTCCCGCCCAGCTGTCCCCCACACTACCTGTTTTTAAATCAAACCTCAAACAGGGCCAAATGGTTCAGTATGTGGCCTATGCAAGGGGGTCCTCAAGCAGGAGGCCAGGGTTTGATCCATACATCATAATCAAGACATCAAAACACCTACTTTAATGTAACTGCAGTTTCTTGGTAAGGGCAAAAACACTTTTATCACACTTTTTTTGTATTACACTTTTGTCAGCAGAAATGAACACACTCAGTTACTGCTACTTTTGAAAGTCCACCTTTAAACACAGTTTTCATCTTTGATTTATTGAGAGACTTAACTTGTTTAGATGTTGGAGCTGGCGCAGTAAATTTAATCTATCTCATGATCTGCAGTCTGAGAGCTGCAGGTTAAACTCATCCCACTTTATTACAGAGTTGATTGGATAATAAACAGCATGCAGAGAAACAGCACAGTGAGTGTGTGTACTGCTCGCTGCTGTCTCAGCCCATGAACAGTTTTCAGTAAAAATCAATATTCAGCTCCTCTCCAGCCCCGAGCTGCTGCTCCCGTCAGCAGATATCTGACTCCTCTGCCACCCAGCAACTCAAGTAATGTTGGGTCCGACACAGGCAATTTGTATGCATTAATCTCCCATCATGCCTCAGGCACTGCTCACAGGGGGAGGCGGCTACTGAACATGTGCAGAACAGGGCAGGAGACAGCAGAGGGGAAAACAAGAGTAACAGAAGAAGTGGGAGGTGCCGCGGGGAGGGAACTGGGGTGCACCAAAACAGACATGATTGTATAAATAAGTAAATGAGTCAAACAGAAGCGAGGACTAGGGGAGCATTAAAAAACAGACATAATATTTCGACATGTTACACATCAAAGAACATGATAATATCTGAAAATAATGGTTGATTACTATGTAAGATTGAAACTTCTGTGTCTTCAGTTGACAGTGCATGATGTATTTAATCTGATCCCTACATGCTCAAAGCAACGATCACACCCTGTAAGAATCAGAGCACAAAGTGCTTAGTTATGTCTCTTAGCTGTGGGGGTTCCACAAGGCCCTATATTAGGCCCACTCCTGTTTTTACTGTCTCTGTTGCCATTGGGTTTGGTTTTTAAAAAACACAATGCTCCATTTCACTGCTTTGCTGATTATATCTGGATCCATCCACAAACTCAATGTTGTATGTTGTCACTGCTCAACTGAAAGATGTGAAAAGCTGGTTGGGCTTTTCTCTAAATGATGAAACAGTATTTGCATTAGTTGGACAAATGAGCGTGCAGGATGACTGCTCTGCAGCTGTAGGTTCTCTAGCTGCTAACAATTGTTAGTTTGTAAAACAATTTGATGTGATTTTTGACATTTAATTCAAATTTGAGCTGAAGTTTGAGCAAACTTTTAGCTGAAGTTGAACCTTATCTGTGCAGAAATTCAATTCAATTCAACTTTATTTATAAAGCGCATTTCATGCACAAGGCAGACTGAATGTGCTTCACAACAGGTATACATAGTTAAATAAAGAAAGAAACAGCTATATAAAAATCAATTAGAAATCAATATAAGAGTGTAAGTGCAAGTAGACAACTTCAAGCTTGTACATGTGCACACACTCACACATGGTAAAGACTTTGATAGAATGATCCACGCCTTCATCACAGATCACTGTAATTCTTTGTATTTGGTTTAGATCAGTTCTCTCTGCAGCATATTTGGCTTGTGCAAATTGTTGCTGCTAATCAGCTTAGTGGGTAAAAAAGTACAACAACATAATGCCAATTTGAACCACCCTTGTTGACTTCCTGTCTGTTGGTTTTACTTTTTTTAAACATTGTTTTAAGCCTTTACAAAGATTGGCATTAGTAAAGACTTGTCTCTTCCTGATGTTCTTTGATCTAAGTTGACCCCATACCTTACAATACTTTATATTTTTATTGTCTAGCCAGTGTTAATTGTAATATTTCAGATTTTATCTCGAACCTAATGGTCTTACTCTGTTCCAGTTTCTATTTTATGGTGTGTGTTAAATTTCTGTTTATCAATTGCTGTTTTGTTGTACAGCAGTTTGGTCAAAGAGAGTTGTTTTTTAATTTCCTTTACATGAACATATGACTTTAATTTAGCTTTAAATTAGTGATAATGTTATTGTAC